AATCAACGGCTAATGTGGTGTTATTAGCCCATTCACAGGTAAATATATATTTATAGATTTGAATAAACGTGTTCACTAATTTTAAAAGCATTCCATTTGTAAATGAATGTTGAGCACCAGCGTATTCGATATTTTGCAAGTGAATGAATAATTATATAAATTGTTGTAATTTATAATTTATTTAGATAAGTAAATTAATTGTTGTTCAATCTGTAGTTTGGTAAATATATACTATAAATCGCAAAAACATACATATTTATTAATAAGATGAATCGGCTGCAAAAAGCTATAGTGCATTTCAAAAAAAATACGAATTTTATTATAATAAAATTTACGAAGAGCAGACGAAATTTATGGAAAACAGCAATACTAAGTTATACAAATAATACGTATTTATGATTAATATAAATTTTTATAAACTTTTCTATTCTAATCCAGTGTATTTAAAAATGATAATATCGATATAAGAATTGATCAGTTATTTCATCAAATTTTAGACAATGAAAAGATAGCCGAAACTAAAAAGAATACTGTTATCTTAAGTAATTTTTTTTTACATTATTTTACTAATTTTTCAATAATTACCATAATAAGCTATATTTACTTAGCAGCTAGCTATCAATCTTGAACATATTTTTTGAGACCATTACTTTATCATTAAAATTTTTTAAAAGATAATCATAATTTTTTGTGCCATTCATCATTTGATATTTTTAAGTGTGAGTCAATACCTTTAACAAAATTAAGTCAATGCAGTCGCAATCGAGCTACCATTATTTTAACATTAAAGCCCTTCAAAAATAAGAAAAAAATAATTACGATATTCAAAAGAATCGAATCATTACTTATCGTGCGCACAAATAGGGGGTTTACGTTTTGCCTTCCTTTTAAATAATAAAAAAAAGTAACGCATTCTTTGTTCAAATTGTTGTGGCTTTTTGTTAGCATCGTCAATTCCAAATTTTAACTAAAGTCTCACTTATAGTAAACGCGTTATGATCAAGCAGTTCGTTATTTAACGTAGCGTTATTTATATATTCAAGCCAATAAATAAGTATAATTTATAAATATGGAACATTATGATGATAACGCTATGAAATTTTAAAAACATATGTTGCGACATATATTTCAAAAATTATATATAGCATTAAATAACGCAATGCGAGAACATAACGCGGTTATTATAAATAAGGCCTAAGTTATAAAAAAGAATTGGTTTTTGTAAAATTTACTATAATCTACCTTTTTTTATTTCATTAATTTTCTAAATATTCCATTTTAAAATACAAGTTATTTTTTTAGATTTTATATAATAAATTATATTTACATACTAATGTGGAAATTGAGAATAAAAAAAACTTAAAACACTAATAAAGGATTTCAATGCCCCTCTTCTCTTTATTCTTATCTAGGTGACAAGGTTTTGTCAACTTTTTTTGAGCAGATTTTTAAAAAAAGCTAACTCAATATCATATCCAGAAAAATATCACGTAAGCCCTTAAAATTTTTTCCATAGATGGCGCAAAGGTTTGGACATCTATTAGTGAAATCTCGGGGCTAACGCAGTATTCTATCTAAAATATTGAGTTAGCCATTTTTTTTAAATCGACTCAAATCGAGCCGTTTAACAAGACTAAATTTCTTGAGAAAAAAACCGAGTTCTTAAGGGACTGGTTGCAAAATGAATTTAAAAAATAATATTAAAAGGTAAGTTTGAGTTTTTAAGTGGTTTTTAACGTCAAGCGATATGACTAATTTGCGCATTACAATGCATTATTTATTTTTACAACACATTTGAAACGCAACGATTGAAATGGTCAATTTGTGCGCGCTATTATTCATTATAGTACGACACTATGAATAATAAAACATTATTTGATTTATTATTAAAAATTTTTTTTAAATGTTTTGAAAGTGGAAAACAAGGACTATTAAACTAGTGTTGCAAAATCGATCCACTCAAACCGACTCCAAAACGGCTTAGCCGAGTTTATAGCCAAAAAAAATTGGCTCAGTCTTGGAGCGCGAGTCAAAAATATTTGAGCTCAGGAAAAATCGGCTCAAACTGGAGGGCCAGCCAAAAAAATAGGCTCAACATTGGAGCTTGAGTCTTAAAAATTGGCTCAGCCTTGAACTCAAAATCTGTGTATTATTGCTCAAAATTGGAACTTAAATCCCAGCCAGATCCCAAACAAAAAAATTTTTTTATTTGTCCGGAAAATTAATTTCAATATGTTTTAAAATAAAATCTTACTTTGTTTACCTCCTTTTTTGTATAATGACATCATTTCACTATATGTGTATAGTAAATTTACTACATTTCATCTTTTTCAACTTAAAATTATCAATGTTTGAAGATGTCAACGGAAACACATTTTTTTTTAATGATGATTGCTTTTATCATTTCAAAATTTATAAAAATTTCAAATTAACTAATATGTATTGCTCAACTTTTAATTATTAAAACATAATAAATTTAAGAACAGGAAATCAAAAGGAAAAGGTAATTGAAAATTTTGATTTTGAAATTTTATACGATTAATTCTTTAAAAACATTACGTAAAAATATGTTTATGTAAGTATTCTATTTTCCATAAAAATTTAAACAAAACAGAAAAATAGAAGAAATTTATAAAACGCAAAATTATATTTATAAGGTGGAATTTTTCCATAGAAATTTAAGATAAAAGCAACACTATACTCTTCCTTATTTTTCAATAGTCATATATAATATAGAAGTATATATATTTATTAAGTTCCAATTCTGAGCGATAATACACAGATTACGAGTTCAAGGCTGAGTCAATATCTTCGACCCGAGCTACAAGACTGAGCCAAATTCTTAGGCTCACATTCTAAGGTTGAGCCGATTTTTTCGGCTCGCGCTCCAATGAGCCGTTTTTTTCGGCGAGAGCGAATTTGCATCTACTATTAACGCTATTTAAAAAAAATACGTTATGGCCAACTACTTTGCAAAATAAAGTAGCTTCGCTACTAGTAACTTTATCAAAATCATAGTAAGTTAACATTATATTTTAAATGTAGTGTAACCTTTTTTTAGTATTTCCTTAAGCGTAAATATAGGTGAATAAATAAAATATTGCAGCTCCAATTACATATTATTTTTATAATAGTATATGAAATTTTTATTCATATTCGATAATATATTAATATCACATAATAGAATATTAATTTAATATAATTTTAATCAATATATTTTGTATTTTTAAAAGAATATGTCTCTCAATATTTTCATCTAGCTAAGTATCAAAAAGATCTTGCTAGATTAAAGAAAGAAAAATTAGATGGGACAGGGGTATTGTAATTTATAAAAAGTGGGTTTAAAAGAGGTAACTCTTTAAATATTGTGAGATCTGGGAATATTGATGATCTCAAAAATTTTGTTATAGTTCAATTATTATTTATATAATTATTATTTTATTTTCGTATGTTCTCGTTTTGTTAAATGATTTCAATTTCCTGAGCTAATCAAAGGGGTTATTAATTATCCTTAATTATTGCGTTCATCTCTATTTTCTACCACATCCAATTTTCTCTAAAGAAATAAACTTAAAATACTCCTGATATAAGTTAAAATTAAATTTAAATATTTCCGGGGTTTGTTCTACATTATCTATCTCAAGCTTTATAAATAAGATATCTAAATTAAATTGTTATATATATATATGATTACGAATAAGATGACATCTTCCAAAAATTTAAATAAATGAATGTAAGAAATGAATGGATTTGAATAAATTTAATTTATCCATTTTATTTACATTCACTTCTTTTCTATGGTGTATGTACCCTTTTTTAATATATTTTTTTTTCTCCTAGTTCTTTTTTATGTTTTTCTTCAATTATATATTTTTTTTAATTTAATTTTTATATATCCTCATTTGATTTTTATTTTTAATATATATTTTTAATTCAATAGTGCATAGCATATATCATATTTTAAAATTAAGTATCATCTAACACTTAAAAAAATAAAATTATAAATAATTAAAATTAGTTTATATTCTTCATCATATTAAATTAATTATATTATTTAGCTTAATAAGTAGCCATTTTTTTTTAAGTATAGTTACTCGAAAAAAAATATTAACAGCATTACTATTAAATCTATTTTAAAGGATCAGTCATTCATTGTGGAATAAAGAGAAAATAAATTGAAGGTTCAACAAGTAAAATGTTGTACAAATAAGTTTCGAATAATTTATAACATTATTTGTATTCGATTCGAATTTTCATATCGGCTAATTTTTTATTCATAAAATACGAATAACGAATAATTCGGTTTAAAATGAATTATTATAGATAGAAGTTGGCATGTATTCATTCCTTTATATTTATTTACTATTTAGTTGATGAAGAAATAAAAAAAAGCAAGAAACTTATAACAGAGAAAGAAGATGAAATTGTACTTATAAAGGAACTCATCGTTAAAGAAGTATGTTCATATCATTAACATTGTTGAAGTGTCCTTATATATCTAAATTTGAAATTTTGAAATAAAATAGATATAATAAAAGAATGTTGGGAAATTGGTATAAAAAAATTAAACAATTAAAGTTTATTCAAAATTTCGGAAATGTTATAAGAAAGGGCACTTCAATAATCCCCAAAACGATAATTTTTGGAAAAATATATTTAAAAATTTTTTTTGATAAATTTAGGAAGAAAAACTGAGAATATTAACTGTAAATAATGAATTATTGAGGTACCGGCTTAAAAACTTGAGCCAAAAAATCATAGATTTCGAAAACTCCATTGGTAATTCACAACTACATATGGTAAAATTAATTGACGTGTTCAATTCTATATTATACCTTTCATTAATTAAAGGCGAAGTTAGAAAAATTATTTACGCAAAAATTGGCAGAATTAGAAATGAACTCTAATACACATTAAAGATGATCCCTTTTTTTAAAATAAATTATACATATATTGTTGTTAAATTACGAATATTTTGTTTTTCCAAATATAGTGTCATTTTCATTTTATTTTTAGAAAAAAATAAATAGATATTATACATATTAAGTTTAAAGTAGTATAAGATATTAGCATCCTTTGACAAGATTCCAAAAATAATAAAATAATTGCTTTTCAAATAAATTATAAATATCACTGAAGAGCGTCAAAATACTGTGATTTGCCGCTTTCGGCTTTGTTCATACGTATCAGGGGAAGCACCTCGTTACCCTTTAAACTTTTCCCGTCCTTGTATATAGCGGACGTTCGCGAAATGTCCGGTTGAGATTTGGCATTTTTATTTAAGATATGGCAACTGTTTTTATTAAGGATTTTATCGGGACACGATTGAATATTTCTTAAGTCTCTTACATCTTGATCCGATTTGGGTTCAGGATCCTCTCTATGACCATCGTACAATGTTTGGTTACTCGAATATATTGGTGCTGATAAATCTCCGGGTTCCTTACTGCATACACTCTTTAAATAATCCATTAGTTCTTCTTCCAAATTTTCCTATGAAAATTCATGAATGTATAAAAAAAAAGGAATTAATGACGACTAATATTTAATATAAACCCCGCCTAAGTGTATGACTCAGAAATTGAAGGTCCCGCCTGCAGTCTCGTTAAATGAATTTCAGTCCCGCAAAGAAAATTTAAAAAATCCTGCTTAAAATGCCAAAAATATCAGTCATAAATCTTAAGATTTCATTAAAATAGCGTAAATTTTATTGATATTTTATCATATTTCTTTCTTTTGCCGCTAAATCTTGAAATGAACAACTTTAAAAATGTTAAGATTGTACTTCTAGAACAAGTTCAAGTAGCGAAGAAAACGATATATATTTTAAGTTCATTATATATAATATAATATTTTACATCAATTTAAAAATATATAAGATTTTATAAATATTTTTGCATAAGGTTCTTATAATATTAACCATAATAGCACTAATAAATAATTATCACAAATTAAATTTAAATCTTATTTTAATAATATAAAGGTTATGTTTAAATATTAAAACCCTAATCTGGCTTTTTAATAACTTTACTAGTAACAATTCAATACATAAGGCAAAGTACATAATTTGTTCTAGCAAATTTTACATAAAGTTTGGAGGGCTATAAATATTAATTCAACATGCTAAGTAACATTTACCTTATTTATAAGATATTAATAATTCACAAAAAAATCCAAGATAATTAATAAAACTGTTAGAAGAGATGAAAAAGTTGCTATAGCAAAAGTTTATATGTTTATCATTCTATAACACACAATTTTAGCTATTTATTAGCAGATTGCAGCTTAACCCTTTACAAATCAATATTTACAGATTCTAAAATTGTTTCACACTTGCATTGTAAACGCATTAAAGATACTGTAATTGTAAAAAATATTTAAAGACCCTATTCGTGATACATTTATTTAATTTAACATTTTAAAAATAAAACCTCAACTTCAACAGTTATGCCCGCCAAACCGCAACATATCAATAGGAAACCGAACGCCGAAGCTATGCAACACACGATGAGAGATATGATAAATTTGAAATTTTCTGTGGTACACGTCCTTCTTATAATTGGTTCGTAGTTTATTTCCACGTTTCGACCCGCTCTTTCAGTTTGTAACATTCTTTGCAGATCATTTTTAATGAATTGTTTATCCTCGCGCATTTGATACAGGTAAAAGTCGATATAAGCCAGCTGGGAATATTTTTTTGTCATTTTAAATTAGAAAATATAATTTATATGAGTATTTTATTCTAATATAAACAAAAAAATAGCGACAATTTTTTTATTCAGGTTTTTTGTTCCTTTCTGAATAAAGAAATTGTTAATCCAATGTGTACATAGATTTTAAATAATCACCTAGACTTGAACCAACCGGCATTTTTGAACCGATGGAAAACTTCCTGATGGAATGTCCTTGATTCCTTGGTCAAGGAGTTAGCTCCTGTCTTTGCAGAATCCCTGAAAATAATCAAATACAGTTCCCTAGACCCTTCTTTCTTATTCATACCCATCGCTTGCTCCGTTCTCACCACCTTCGGTAGCAAAGCGCAATGTTTTTTAAAGAATTAGGCAAACGGATTGGTGAAAAAACCGACCAGCCTAAGAAATCCTTTTTCTTAGGACAAAGACTTGATATCGCCATTATTCACTCTAACTTTCTAAGTTTTATCTCTTCCGTCGAATAATCTTCCATGTCTATGCCTTCTTTCTTCCTTTCTCTTTCCTAATTTACATTTTATTTATCGCTTATCCTTTTTCATAAATTCGTAAATTTTATTTTTAATATTTTTCACCTTTATTAATTTTATCTTAGAAAAAATTAATTATATGCTATTACCTTTTGATAACATATTATATCAGCTACTATTAAAATAAAGTAAGTAACCAATGACCTAAAAAGAAATTTATGAAATAATTTTCGCATCATCCGATCAAATCTTGATTTTATTTCCTCAATCATCATTTTTTTTAAAAAATATTAGGGACAATGATATTATATCGAATAGGAATTCATTCAATAAAAGTGAACACAAATGGTAATAAGCTGTATATGCCATTTCGTCTGCACGTAGACAAAGGACACTTAATATAATAAAGGGAAATTTTTTTTTAAGCGGAAATGTAAAAGTCATTTAGTTAACGTGCTGACTACAAAATGGCGTTTAGAAATGTCTCCGATGTATTTTAATTTTTAAATACCGTTAAATAAAGCAGTCGTTAGTCTATGTATACCATTTCACGCTCTTTAGTTCTTGGCCACTCTAAAAGAAGGATAGTTCTATCGATTTGATATACTTCGCCGGAACTCATATTATTCCAATTGAAATTATATTTATAATCTTAAAATCACCCCCCTCCCCCTCATGATATTTTAAAAATTAACTTCTGGACAATATAGTGGAAAATACAAAAGATAAAGAGATTAGAGAATCCATAGGGACTGCAGAGAGTTTTAAGAGCTATAAAAAGATTGGTAGCTAAAGAAAACAATGGTAAATATGGAATAGGAAAAATATGAAATTTATTCCTGTTCAGCCTAGGCAGGAGATATTGAACTAGGACATCCTAATAGAAATAAAGAAAGAAATGAAGAAGAAAAAAAGAACGTGTACATTAAATAAATATTTGTTTTATATTTTTTGGTACCAATAAAGTAAATACGCGGTAAATCTAGAGTAGCCCCATTCATTTGGCTGTTTAGAGGAAGAGCTACATAGACAGCCAGGCGATTGTTTAGAAAAAAAAAGAACCAGAAAGGCCTTAGAATTTAAATTTTATGACGTTTTTTTTTAAAAAAACTAAACAAAATAAAATTGAATTTTAGTTTTTTTTATATTCGATCTACCAATATAAATAAAAACAGTATGGATGAATAATATAAGATATAAAATATTTTTTTTTCTTAATCCTACCTATCCATATATTTCATTAAAGCTATCTTATAAATACTAAAAAGATAAAAACAGAAAACTAAACTTTAAGAGTGTGTCCTGATTCGACTTATTACTTTGACAAGAAACGAAAGAAAAATTATGAAAAGCTAGTTCAAAAGCTGGGCTAAACAGATATCAAAAATAAGTCGAGCCAGGTTATGGTCTAATCATTTTTAATACGAATATCGATTTGCTAATTTAAAAATATACTCTAGCTAAAAAAAAATTAAATGAAAAAACAAAGCATTACTTTCCAAACCAACGAGCCTATGCACCAGAAAGTAGTTATCAATCCAAGAACGAATAACCATTTACCCCATGTAGACCATTCGGAGGATTTTAATCTCTTCCAACTTTTACGCCTTTTCTCAAATTCTAAAAGCGTTTGCCGGCGAATGAAATACAAAGAATTTTTCATCCATTTGTTGGAAGCGGTATCCGAGTCTTCATATATTCTGTGTTCGGCAGCAGTTAACCCCGCCCCACTTAATTTGCTAGGTTTTGGGCGATTTAACTCTTGGTCACTATTTTGTTCGCTTATATCGTCAAGGTTTGTGGGATCATTTTCAATTAGGAATGATAAACGATGATTAGATAAATTCCTCAGTATTAACTCCTCTGAATTATTCATGGAATCTTTATTGTTGAGTCTTTTGTTACGGTGAATAATCTGGGAATTGTCCATACTATCACACTGACAGTATACCTAAATGGAAATATCATTCGTGTCCAATATTTTTATTCGGTTTTTAAATAAATAAAACTTTCGCTGATTTTCAATAAATTTTGTAGCATTAAAAATATTTATTTATTGATGAATTTTTGTAGCATTTAAATCTTTTTGATTGTTGATTAAATTTATAAAATGAATTGCAATAAAAATTAAGAATGTTGACTGATAATTGAGTGTTTATATTGATTAGGAATGCCTATAAAATTACAAATGATCAATATTTCATTTCAGAAAAATAATTTTAATTTTCTACTAATTTTTTTATATTATTTTTCAAATTCTATTTACAAAAAAAAAGAAATTATTTATAAACAAGCTTGTTATTAGGTCAAGATTAATATTTTTCATATCGGAAAAAATAAAATACAATCAATATCAATTATAAATTCAATCGTTAAAATTTACACAAAAATATTTTATATATTAATTTAAAACAAATTATAAAAAATATTTGGTAAGAGAATCGATAATTAACATATTCAATTTAAAAAAATATAAATATCACAAAATTAAATTGCTTCCAAATTTTTGCTATGAATGTTTGGGATTTTGTCGTTAATGTGATTTGACCAATGAGATTTGTGGTACTAGGTATATATTTTATCACGACTTTCCATAGAAGTTGGGGGGGGGGGGATGCAAAACAAAATTACTTCATAAGCATGTTGGAGTTGTAAGAATTAGTATTTTATGTGAATTTTTGGCGTATGACTAATAACTGAGTAACTCTTTTCACTTTGTAAAAAGTGAAATTAAAGCGTTTGTTTCAGGGTAAAGTTTGCTAATATACTGAATTTAATCAATATACACGAATTTATAATTGAATATCATATCAGAAGGATTTTAAAATGAACTAAAAATTTTGTTATTTATAATTAGATCATTTATATTTTACATTAACCCAAATAAATGGAAATTATATATTATAAAATCGCTTCATTTTCGACTAAAATTTAATATTCATAGGCATACCCAATATTTATAAGAAGATATATATTTATTTTAAGATGTGATTAATAATTGCATTTTCTTAAAAATTTATGACGGGAGCACGCTATTACGCTGCATAAGAGATGCGAAATTAATCCTTAGCGACATCACAGCTGATTCGTCACAGCTATAATACTTTTTATAATATAGATAAACAGCTGTGGTGATTTCATCATTTCAGTCAGTATTTATAAATTATACATAATATTATTGGCAGGCTTTTGTAAAATACGCGCAACGATTAATTTAGTATCGCTTGAGCAAATCGCCATTACTATAAAACCTTATTCACAAATAAACCGGTAGGGGGTGTTGCATAATGAAAAAGAAAGAAAGAAAAAAAAGAAAGAAAAGAAAGAAAGAAAAGAAAGAAAGAAATGATTTATATAGTGTTAAAGGAATCTGTTATCCAATTTTATCTAATTATTTTTATAACCGGTGCAATATATTTTGATTTGCATTACAATTTAGTCAATAAAATTTTTTAAAAAACCTTGTCACATTTTTATCATTTTATGGTGTGTCATCAAGGGAAATTAATCCAAAAATAATGTAAAATTAAGTCTTTCTCCAATTTAATAGTAGACCGATTTTAAAAAAAATGGCTCTTCTATTTTCAACATAATTAGAGATAGGCAACTTATTTTTAAAAATTTATTTTAAAATCTATTGAAAAATAAAATAATAAGCAGTCAAATTCTCTCAATGTAACTTATAGTTTTTTCAAACTTAACTCATATTTGTAAAAAGGTTTGGAGATGGAAGAAATATCTGTCAAATTGAAGAAACATTAAAATATAAAACAAAAATCAAATCTAGTTAATTTGTATTAAGATTCTATATCCCTTTAATATTAGCATTTTTTCTTCAAATTGTCCTATAAAATTAATTTCAAGAGCATGGTCATAGCCTGGAATTTCTTTCTGGGGGGGGGGACTTCTTACTTAGGAGGGGGGGAGTTAATATTTTTAAAAATTTGTAAATGTAAATTACAAAATAATACTCGACGATTTTTATTTTAAAATTTTAACACAAATGAATTAAAGTCTAAATTCTGCATTATTTTTTCTCCATAAGCTATTAATATTAAATTTGGTTTAAGTCGATCTTTCGTCGGTTCTCTAATACTCTAGTACTCTATAGAACATATTTTAGTATAGAGAATGAGGCTTCGCAAGAAGTCATTGATACACCAATGATAATGGCTGCTGAGTAGAATTTGTATAATTCCTTAAATCCAAGATGATATTTTTTTTATACATAATATTTACGATATTTTTTAATATTTATGTTTCTTTAACTTTTGTAGCTGATGTAACGTTTCCACATTTAAGTTAAATAATGATTCTAAAATGGGACCATTTTATCTGAATATAAATTAATCAGGGTTAAGGGGAGACAATATTATAATCATCTTGTGTAAATCTATCTAAAACATGATCTTCAATAATTTCATAATAATTCATTTTTTATCAATCTTAAAGATTTGTAGGCGTTTTAAGTACCCTTGATTATATTTGAGGGATGAAATTAAATATTGAGATATAAGTTTTCAGCCATAATTCTTATCAAATCGAAAAGAATTATCATTTTTGTATTTTTTAATATATTAATTTTGGTAATAATAGCACCACTCTTTTAATACCAACTGACTGTAGATATTTAGATTTATTGTTCATAAACTATAATGGCGTTAATTTATATTAACACATTGAGATTAAAAGCCAGATGTTTCGACTGAACCATGTGGGGATACTTCTGAATTAAAAGTTCCATTAGAATATTTCACCAATAACCTTACAATTCTCATAAATAATGTGAGATGTTTCCAAATGACCAGTCCACCTTTGGTCTAAAAGTTTCTTAAGAATATGGCCTATATATTTACAGGATACTTTAAAATGACTAGAAATGCATTGAATAAATTTTAAAAAATATACCAAGACACTTTTTTATTAATTTTTTTTTTTGAAGTGGGGTTTGTACTCCTCCATTTTGGTCAGACATGACCTTTGCACCTTCATATGACTTTGTTATTGCATGCGATGAATTAATATTTAATTCCTTAAGTTGCTTTAAAATACAATTAGTAATGTTCAGCAGAAAGACATTGTAAATTAATAATTTCTATTAGATTTTCTTAAATCTTTTCACAAAAAATATAACGAATATTGTCTCATTTCTTAAGACAAAAAAAAAGGCATCTCATTTTTGTTATATTTTTGAGATATATTCCACCACAATCCCTAGATTAGACTTCATTTTGAATTTGAAGTGATTTATATTGTGCATTTTGGATGTTCATTTCACAATTTAATTTAAATCAGAATCTTTTTGGATGGTGTAAAACACATTGATATAAATAGTCCAGAAGAATAAATTATGTTTTTATCTTTTGCAGAATACATAATTTTTATCATCAAATCAAATATTGATTTAAGATAATAACGATTGCGGTTAATTTGCTGGCTTAGCAGAATTGATATTATTTCAGTGTCCTTATATTAAGATTTTTATCAATAATGTTATTAAATTTAAAATGGGCTGGGTAAAAAAATCCGGGAGAGAAAAAGTATATCATTGAAAATTAATTGTTCATCAGAGTCGGTACCCTTAATTTGAAAATATAAATATTTGATAAAAATAAATATTTAAATTAAGTAAAATATTAAAAATTTAAATATCCGTCTCTGGTTTCATCCATGAATTTAACAATATGAGCGTTTTCATAGCTTTTTTTAAACATAATTATGAAACTATGTTTAAGCAATTGTATATATTTCTAATGCCTTTTACACGGGTTATATTTATAAATGTAGATTATAATTTATCTAGAAGAACAACTATAAATTAAAGTTGTTGAAATATATTTAAAAATCATTTTTAATTTGTTACAAATTGCTGTTAAACTATTTTTATTTGAAATTTTGTCTGCAAGTGTTTCGACATAAGATTAGTTTCATCCTAATGGTATTCATGAGAAAGTTATAATAAAATTACTTTTGGGTGAAAACATAGGTCAAAATTAACATAAATGATATTCAATATTCGAAAATATTATTTATCAAAAAATCCATCAATAAACGTATATTTTATTTTCTATTCAATTTATAAAATAAAATATAGTTCAGCCCGATCCGAGGAAATAGTCAGTCTTGATCAGGAACCCGGAGTGAACCGTAGCGAACCGTTAAACCATTAAACCATTATAAATATTTGAACAATAACCGTGACCTAACCGATATAGTTATTTTTTGAAGGAGTAAAAAGAACATTTATAGAAAAAGATTAAACCGCTTTAGTTTTTATATTTTAGAAATAGAAATAATTTGAATATCCAGAATTATATACACTTGCTTTTATAGTACTGGCGGTTCCCGCAACACAAGTTTCTGTAGAAAGGGTCTTTTTGGGGCTAAAATTTGTGTTATTCTCTCTCATCAAACAAATATGAATTCATTTATATTAGAAAATATATTACTTATGCGTTCAAATAATATATTTAAAGAAGTGTTATATTGAATCTTATATATTTTTTTTATATATAATTCATAGATGCTTATAATAAAAATAAATTAGACGATGGTGTTACTTCAATAAAAAAAAATTTAAAACCGTAATGAACCATTATAAACCTTTACAATTAGCTGAACCGAACTGAACCTATATATATTTTTTCCATGCTATGATATTACATAAAAACGGTTAAATATTATGATCTGGATTCTTCAGTAGCTTCATAAAATATATCTTAGAATCTATATCCAAATTTCTTATATTTCGGTTGAGTAGTTTTATAGATATAAGCATTTTGTGACTGATTGGGGTTTGTGAGACCCCACCAGAGTAAATTTGTATGTTCTATATTTTTTTTTATATTTAAATTCATTAGTGTAATTTTTTTTTTATATTGAAGAATAAACATATTATGAATTATCATGATTATATGATGGATAAGTTATTTTTTTAATTTTATATTTGAAAATTTAAAAAAGTAAACTTTTTTTAAAAAATTTTTGCCACAAATTATAATTATCCTCATCATCTTTAATCTAGGCATAAGAAATAAAAATATTTAAATATTTTATCAAGCTTAAGGTTAGATCTATCTTATATCCAAATATAATAATGAATATTACTGGAGATATATACATTTGAAATTGGGGTCTATTAAACACCACCCGAGTACTAGCGTCATTTTTTTCACCGGAGTATTGAAAGGTCGACTCGACATATTATAGTGTTATTAACTACACTTTTACAAAATGATTTTTCCCCATAAATCAATTGTTTTATACTACATTTTCCCAGGCGCTTTTACCACGGGGTACGGGTGGGAAAGGGGCTATGAGGCAAGATCATCTTTGACTTGTCATAGGTTATCAATGAAATAACAAATGAATAAATTTTATCTATCTATTCTGATAATTCGATTCAAGCGATTCGAATAAATATAATTATTTGAATAATTTGTCAAATAAAGGAAATATTCAAATAATAAACCGAATAAACAAATTATTAATATTACCAAATATTCAAATTATTCCTTTAATTCCAATTGAAGAACTTTCTAATCGAACAAAATGTAAATTATTTTACTCGTATTTAAACAAAAGGAATATTCTTTATTCGTATTCGAAGAAAACAAATAATTTACTATTCGTATTTATTACTATTCGATTTGATTTTATTGATTAAAGGCATACTCTAAATAGACTTTTCAAATATATTTTAATTTTATTAATGGCATGGTTATTTAGAAAATAGCAAAGAAATATAAATTGTATATCTATTTTAAATAAAATAAATTGATATTTCTTTCAAAATTAATTTAAATTTAAAACGTGTTGATTTTAAACTTAAGAAATACACTTGAAACAAATCACTAATAAAGAAATAATTTAAGGGACCAGCAGAATATTTAAGGAGCGAGGAACGTTGATGATGAGATGTGGTCTGAATAAAAAATCGCAAACATTAACTTTTAATTTTCCAAAATCTTGAAACGATAGAAACTTTATCTAATAATTATTATGGCTCAGAAAATTTACAAATTTAATTTACAAGGTATAAGAGTATCATCGCTAAATTTACAATTTTTCTTAATTAGAGCTAAAGATCCGTGGGTCATCACAAATTCAAAAAGGTACAAATAAAGTTCTATAAAGTTTGCTAGTAAAAGTTTTATAAGTTAAAAATAATATTTTTTTATAAAATACAAAATAAACATTTAACAAAGTATAACCAGGTTCAAGCTCTCATCCTCAGAATTCTAATAAAATCTATAGAAGAAAAAATTAATAATTCCACATGTAAAATACATGTAATTATAAAAAATCACTATAAATGTAATTTTATTAATATAACACGCCCCATCTATATATAAATAAATACCCTAACATATACTGTGGTATTGCGCAAAGTATAAATAATTCCCATTTTATAAATATTATTCATACGCTTCATGCTCAAGGGATTGTGGCTATAATTATCTCATACCATAGTCGCTTATCGTCATCCGTATGGTGGAGTCTAGCTTAGATCTTTAATGTCTACGGACAGGAAATTTCACTCATGCAATCATAAATTATTTTATAATTTCCCATAACGCGTTAGTCTAGTAATATGTTGAGTTGTTAATTAAATTAGTGTCAAATATTTTTCTTAATAATTTTAATGATTTTTCAATATATTAAATTTTCATAATAGTTGCAATTTGGTCATTGTATAGTATCGAACTTTTAGGCCCGCACTCGTTAAAAAAATGAAATCGAAAACCAAAAATTTAAAATCCAAGTGAGAATTTAATGATTTATTATTTAAATATTATGTTTCCAGGTATGCTATAGATAAAGAGTTTAAATCATTTTTTATCGGGAATTCAATAGAGGTACATTTTTTCAAATATAATATTTAATAAAATAATCAGGTTTCTAATGATGGTAAATTTCTATTCTGTCCAAAAAATGATATTTTGAATGTGATTGATTTGGAATTGAACAATATTACTCATACAGTTGGCCAAGTATCATATATATTAATTATGCAAATGTAACTTATTATGAAGATTGATTCTGGAGAGCAAATATCATCCTTTTCATTATATGGAGTAGAAAATGTAATTATATCATACAAAAGTAACTTAATAAAATTGTGGAATTGGAAAAATTTAGAATGTTTAAAAGCTTGGAAGGTATATTTATCGATAATGTTTAAAATGCATAGGTTTTAACAGACTTTACTAATGACACCCATAATTACTATGACAATTGACAGCATTTCCTCCTCACTATTAGCAATAGGCACAACCTTTAATTCAATGATTAAAATATGGGATCTTAATAAGGGTTACTATACACATCATTTTAAACAAATAGGGAGTGGGTCTGTTAAGTTTGCTATTAATTTCAATATAAAATAATTTTCTATTAATATAGTCATCTACAATTTTTTTGTGATTTTGAAAATTCTCAAGTCAAGGCTATAATAGCTGCATGTGATGATAATTCAATTAATATATGGACATTAAATGATGTCGTTCAAAATAAAATCAAGAAACAAAAATTAGATTTAAATACTACAGAACACAATATATCTAATTTTCATTCGCTAATAGGTCACAATGCTAATATTACTGGGCTTATCATTTTAAATGGTCAAAACAAGTTATTAAGGTTTACTAGATTATGAATACATTTAAAGTCTTTTAGAATTTTGATATATTTTAATTTTTACAATGTTTATAGCATGGTAGCAATTTTTGTCTTTTTTAAAAAAAGAATTTCTGAATAATAGTATTAAAATTCTTTACCTTTGTAAATCAATTATTTGATAAAGTTGAACTAATAAAACTTGAAAGTATTTAAAAAAATTAAACTTGTAGAACAAAAGCATTATCTTTGCATATCTATACATTGTCAATTATCAAAGTTATTATTTTATAATTTAAGCTCAGGACGAGACAAATTACTTATCTTATGGGATTTACTTACATACACTTCCCTTAAAATGTTTCAAGCTAAACATGGCTTTGAAGGAGGCATGAAACAATTACCATCATTGACTTCCCTCAATAATAACAATTTCTTATTTTTATGTAATTTTGTCTCTGCTGATTCTGATTTAACACTGAGAAAATGGGAATTAACTGCCTGCCAAGAGGATGGTGATTTAGGAAATAAAATTTATTTAGACAATAGAAAATTGACCTGTCAGACCAATTATAATCTAAAAATTACCCTCGAAAATTCTTTAATTCCTCTCCAAAAAAGTGAAAATGATATATTAGAAAACGATTCAGATTTAACCTCTAATAATGCCCTGACTCCCAAATATCTCACCCTCGGTGCAGACAAACTCTTTGTAACCAATCACCAGCATGATATCTTTGGTGTAAAATGTGATACACTTAAAAATTTTACCATGGTTTGTAAAAATATATTTAAAAGGTCCAGTTCGATATGGAAGAACCACCAAAAATGGACTGGACCTATGTTTTTGGAAAATAGACTAGTTCAAGTCATGGATCTTAAAAAAAATCGACTTTTTAAAAATATTTTTGCAACATATCAATGATTTTAAAAAAAAATACAAATTGAACTGGTCTGTATTTATTTTATATATTTTTTTAAAACTTTAATCATTTAAAAAAAATACAGTATATTGGAGACATTGAGGAAGTAACGGCTGTAAAATTTATAGCCGAAAAAGCTGACGATCAATATCCATACTTAGCGGTAGCTGATAATACCCCTCAGGTCAATATTTAAGAGAATTCCTTATTAATATTTTTTTCAAATTTTTATTTTGTAAAAGATTTTAATTATAACAACATTACTTGTAGTTTTGCTTTTAGAAGTTATTTACAATATATTTACACCAGGAACTTATAACCAATAATTTATCCCAACATAAGTAATATCAGCATTTTTAAATTTAAATTTAGAATGCCAAAAATGAATTTTCTTAAGGGCAAGCTTAAATGATATAAGTTAATAATTCACTGCTTTTATAACTGGTTGTTTTTCCTATAAATAATAATTAAAAATTTTATTCCAAAATTAGCCCAAAATTTTTACCCTACCATCTTTTGATTCGTTCGTATTATATGGACACACTGAAAATATTATGGCCTTATCTACATTTCCGAAAAAATCTGGTCTATTAGTTAGCGCGTCAAAAGTAATTAATTAGTTAAAATATTTTGTAGCACTACACTTATTTAGGGATCCGAACCATTATCTATAAAAGTTCGGTTACAGTTTAGTTGGGAATTTTTTTTTAAAATCGACAAAATTATAAGGAGGTTTTTTGGCAAATTGTTTTTATTGAGTAAATATACAATGCACATTAGAACAAAATACTATATTTAAGACGTATTATAAATAGATCATGTTAAATAATTTATATTTTATTATTTATATAAATATCAATTAAAAGGATAACACGATGAAGTTATGGAGACTTAACCCCCTTAGACGGAGATTTAAATGTTTATACACCTTCATAGGCCACACCAACTCTGTTACAGCACTGGCTTGTTCAGCTGAGTAAAATATATATATATTTTATAAAACCATCGATGCTCATAAGTAGCTCCCTTTGATAAGTTTACTCCAAAATGGCGAAGTTGAGTTCTAGTACAAATTTTTTTTAAACTTGGCCTCGAGATTTAAGCTTTAAAGAAAAAAATCTCTCCTCTCTAGGCTGAGCCGTTATTTCAACAATTACTATTTTCATGAAATTACCATTTTAAATCTCTCACCCAATTTATATCTTAACAAAAAAACAATTATTTAAAAAAAATAGAAATAATCAAATCTGTTAACGCATATCTTTTTGTTACATTTTCTATAACTATTTCTTCTCTAAGACATCAAATTGTTATCATAATTTTAATCTTCATGAGAATAATAAATGAAATATGGGCTGAGTTTTAATTTTTATTTGAATATAATGTTTTTTGAAAGCTAGAAACATGGCTAGAGGTTAGTATTAAATTATTTAAAAAATATTATATATAATAACATAAATCATTTTATTTTCATTTTGACTTGATAATCAAGAATATCACATTAAGAATGGACTAGAACTCATCATATTATACACACATGATTCATTTTAATTAAAATTATACAATATAGATGGAATTTAGACTCATATTCAGGATTGTCAGGTTAAAATTTTCAAATTGTTGCAGAAATTTGAAATTTTGCGGGAGAAATATGAAAATTGAAGAAGAAATCTGAAAATTTCTATAAAAAAATGAAGATTTTGCAGGCGACCTTAAACCAGGTTTGTGAAATGACTTAGTTACCCCCCCCCCCCCCCGGGCCATTCAATGTCAAATCGATCACGATTTGGCCGACCCCTTTTAATTTAAAAATTTCTGTAATTATTTAGATAGGTAAAAAAAATGATATCCGTTTATTTTAGCACGCTAGCACACCTGGTTCCATAGATACAGGGCCTCAAGGGTGCGAAAATTGTGACCTTCAAATCTGCAAATTTTTTCAAAATGCTTATAAATTTATATAGTAAAAATAAGTATAATTTATCAAATTGTAGGTAAAAAAATTTCTAAAGGTCTATCATAAAAAAAAAAATTAGGCGCCAATTTTAGTTTTTAACTTTCGGATTACCTATATTATATTACCCATTTTTTTAAACAATAAATGGAGTTGGTTTTAGATAATTTTATTTGACTTTGAACCTTTTAACTATGTGAAAACCTTGACGACGCTATCGGCTCTTCCGAAATAAGCATTTTTACCAAAATGTGAAAATTTTATTTGCATGTAATGGATGGCATTATACGAAACTACAAATTATGGCTAAAATTTTGTTGTTAATTTACCAATAACAGGATATTTTCACATTTTATGCTAAAAAATTTATAATTTCTATTAAATGTGCCAATTAAACTGGGAAGCATTGGGGGCAAATGCCCCTTAGACATCTTAATGTATCAAATTTTCAATAAAAGATATTTTTCGTATAATTATTTATTATTCATTTTTATTAATGATAACGATTGATTGTCATAGATACAAGTTGTAATATATTTATATTTTTGATATATTAAATTCGCATTTATACTCGAATAAAATCTTTTATTTAATATTTGCGATTTTGTTGAATTTGAATAAAATTTTTCAATTTTATCCTGAGAAATTAGATAAAAATATGAAATTTATGAGTTCCTGGTATAGTGAGCGCTTTATAGAATCTCTATTTGCACTTCCTCATATTCGTCTTCCATAATATAGGAGATATAGATTCCATAAATAAAATTTATACGCATTTGCCATGAGATGACAGAAATGCCACTTAGCTTTTATTCCCAAATTATCTTCATTTTGGAAAAGATCGATTAAATGTTTGCGATTCTTATATTGTAATGCTGCTCCATCTGAAAAGTAGTAGAATTTCTCAGCTAAGTAGCGGACTAAATATTTTTGGAATAAATGAATTACAATTGTATTATGAATAAGCAATTCCGATATTATTATATAACTTAAATTATTTAAATTATTAAGTGTCTTAATTAATGAAAGGTAACTTGCGCTTTATTCCAATAAAATTCTTGCACTAAATCTTGAACCACATTGGTGTAATTTTCAGCAAAATCAACAATATATTCTCCTTCATTTAAATTCAATAGAATTCATGCCTTAAAAAATTTTTGAGACACTAAACAATAATTTTACATTTATTATCTCCTTTCTCCAGACTGTCCTCATCAGACTTAAAATGCGCTCTGATGAGGCATTCGAATGAGTTAAGGAAAATACATGCTCTTATATTTTTTCCAAGAATGGGGATTTAACATTATTACGAAAAAATTCTACTTACTTCTTTCCCTCTGCTTTTAGGCCATCTATTTTGAGAATTTTGGAGAATACTAAAAAATAGAGAGCATTACAATCTCCTCAAACAATACATCAATCTATATCGGTATTTTTTATATTTTTATTAAATTACAAAATCTATCAATTGTTGGTTTCTGCTCCAAGGTCATAACTTATATACATTTGTAAATCGACTTATTAAAATCAAATATAATTGCGAATAATCTAAAATTGTTTTAGTAAAAATTCTGCTTCATTTAAAATGATGCCATTAATTATGGCAACACTTGAAAATTTTAAAATGACATTTTTAGAAATAGCGTCATGAAATTTATTATCAATTTTTAGCTGTAAAGATGAATAAAGTTGTGGCATAATTTTGTGAGTCATTATTCAAAGATTCTTCTGGTTTCAATTGCACATTAATAGCATGTAGTAGATCTTTAACATGTGAAACCATGCTTAAATATGGTTCCGCCAATTCGTTTGCGAAAATTTTTTAAAATATTTGGACAACTTTTATAATTTTCATTTAAAAAAAATATCACTTTAATTAAAGGTTCGAAAAAATTAAAAATCATTTTTAAAGATAACACGAAAAACCCTTGAAAGGCAATCATTAGCTTTGGGATATAGAAGAATGCCTGGCACACATTCATTTGATAAAATTGCCGAGTTCTTGGAAGAAGTTCATAGAGAGTATGGGATTTCTGATTACGGATAATGCATCCAATTTTGTCAAGTCATATACTCAATATGGTATAAAATTTAATACTCTTGACAACGATTTTGAAGATGAAGATGACCTATTAGAGTTTAATGAAATCAATGATGGTTAGGACAGAATTTATTTTAAAAATCATTATCTTTAGATGATATATTATTACCCAGTCACATTAGATGTGCTTGCCACACTTTGTCTTTAATTGCTACTAAAGATAGTATATAATCAATATCAAGCTCAAAGAATCTTAGAAGGATTCATTATGGAGTAATGGGAAGATGCACAAAATTATGGAAGGCCAAATTCTTCTGTAAGGATAAGGGAGATAACAGGTGGTATTCATCTAAAAGTTCCATGCATAACGAGGTGGAACAGTTTATATGATAGTATGACTTCATTATTAAAATGTAAATCAGATTTAAATTTATTATGAAACAATTGATTGTCCTATTTTAAAAGAAATGGATAATGTTTATATGGAGGAATAGTGTACTTTTAGACCCTGTATCAATTGCATTAGATAAACTACAAGCGCAGAGTAGTACATTTTACGGGGAATTGGTGCCTATACTATTTATAGTTAAAAAGTACATAGGCCAACTTGAAAACTCTAGTTTCAATATTGTCTACCTTTATTAAACGCTATCCAAAATAATATGGGCAAAAGATTTGGGAAAATTTTTTCTTATGATGATGAATATAATGAGGCTTTTTTGGCATCAATTATCACATCCATATTTTAAGAACCTATGGATTGAGTCTGATGATAAAAAAAATATTTTCAAAAAAATCCCTCCCTATCGCAACTATTGGGCTAAAACTAACATTAAAATGTCTGATTATTATAATTAACTCAGTAAATAATGGTTGCATCCTCATTATTTTATATTTTAGGAGCATACTTTTGTATTGCAATAGATGTAGATACACTCACCTGCACTAACTTGTTCCTCCCACAATGTTGTAATTAAATGCAATAGAGCATAGTCTACAGAGTGTTTTTACAGAATTGAGTCAGCACAATGTTAACCTAATACCAATTGGCTGTATAGGCCATATACAGACTTTGGCAGGTCTTCCGGAAAAAGAATCTTGATACAGATACAGATTCTTTATAAAAAAATGAATCTTGGATACAGATATTAGTATCTTATTCAAAATACCAAAAAAATGAGATAAAAGATACTTATCATTCATTACCAATTAAATTAGAATAGTTTATAAAATAAAATTTTTATTATTTATTGGTGAAGAACATAACATACACATATAATATTAATAAATATTTATAATAATCAATAAAATATTTATTGATGAGTTAATTATAATAATCAGGTATTTTAATATTAGTTTTAGCCCAATAGCATTGATAAGGAGGAATTTGTAATATAAATTTGAAAATAAGTTAAAAAAAAATTAAATCAAATCATTATTTTTTTTAATCAATTTTTCAAAAAATTTGTCATTTGAGCCTTTACCATTTCGGCGTATTTAACATTGTGCCAAAACTAAATAACCTTTCAACAGGGGCTGATGAGATGATGGTATTCCAGTTAGTGATCTGCATCGGGCCTAATTTTTCAAGCCCGGCCCGAAATTATTTTTAAAAGGTTTTGCCGTCCCGAACCCGAAATTTATTTTTAAAAAATTTACCGGTCCGGCCAGGTATTTAAATATAGAAATTAATTTTTATAATTATTTAAAATAAAAGACATATTATTGCGTTTAGTTTCAATAAATTAAATCAAAAATTTTTATTTTACATAAAAAATTCAATATAAAATTGATAAATTTAGATATATTTAATAAAATTTCCAAGGTCCGACCCGACTCGGTCCGAAATTTTTTTAAAAATATTAGGCCCGGCCCGAACCCGATTATTTTAAATAAAATTAGGCCCAAGCCCGGCCCGAAGTCCGTATGGGCCGGGCCTAACTTTGCAGATCTCTAATTCCAGTATTATATTTTAAAAAATTTCCTTAATTGAAGGATAAAAATTAAGCATTTTTAGTGTATTTTGGCGATCTTTAATATAATTTAAAACTTCCAGCTCAATGTTGTTTGTATTATTGAACTTAACAACATTTGTTTCACAAATAACATCATTTTCTTTATAAGATATTAAATCCATTGGTGATACAGTTTAAACTTGAAGGTATACTATTAGTGCTAGATTTAAAGCTTCGTTTAGTAATATATTTTGAAAATATTATTTTTGGGCACCAATTCCCCGTAAAATATACTACTCTGCCCTTGTAGTTTGTCTAATGCAATTGATACAGGGCCTAAAACTTTACATTACTCCTTCATATAAACAATATCCATTTCTTTTAAATTAGGACAATCAGTTGTTTCAAATAATAAATTTGAATCTGATTTATATTTTAATAATGAAGTAATACTATCATATAAACTGTTTCACCTCGTTATGCATGGAACCTTTAGCTGAATACCACCTGTTATCTCCCTTGTCTTTACAGAAGATTTGGGCCTTCCATAATTTTGTACATTTCCCCATTACTCCATAATGAATCCTTCCAAAATTCTTTGACTTGATATGGATGATATACTATCTTTATCAATTAAGGACAAAGTGTGGCAAGCACACCTAATGTGACTGGGTAATAATATATCATTTAAAGATAATGATTTTAAAAAAAATTCTGTCCTAACCATCATTGATTTCATTAAACTCTAATAGGTCATCCTCATCTTCAAAATCGTTGTCAAGAGTATTAAATTTTATACCATATAGAGTAAATGACTTGACAAAATTGGATGCATTATCCGTAATCAGAAATCCCATACTCTATAGACTTCTTCCAAGAACTCAGCGTTTTATCAAATGAATATTTGACAGGTATTCTACACCCCAAGGCTCTTGATTGTCTTTCAAGGGTTTCTCGTTATCTTTAAAAATGATTTTAAAAATTTTTCGAACCTTTAACACATGTAGGAAATCTACTACATGTTATTAATGTGCAATTGCAATCAGAAGAATCTTTGATAATAATGATTAACAAAATTATGCTACAACTTTATTCATCTTTACAGCTAAAAATTAATAAAAATTTTTATGACGCTATTGCTAAAAATGTCATTTTAAAATGTTCAAGTGTTGCCTTAACTAATGGCTTCTTTCTAAGCAGCATTTTTACTAAAACAATTTTAGATTATTCGCAATCAAAATTTGATTTTAATAACTCGATTTACAAATATATAAATATTATGACCTTGGAGCAGAAACCAACAATTGATAGATTTTGTAATTTAATATTTATATTAAAAATACCGATAGAGATAGATGTCTTGTTTGAGGAGATTGTAATGCTCTCTATTTTTTAGTATTTACCAGAATGCTCAAATATAGATGGCCTAAAAGCAGACAAGAAATGGGTATATTTTTTTCTTAATTACGATAAATCCCCATGCTTGGAAAAAATATTCTAGGATGTATTCTCTTTACCTCATTCGATGCCTCATCGGAACGCATTTCTAGTCTGATGAGGATAGCCTGGAGAAAGGAGAGAAATCGGATTGCTCTGACAACATTAGAGGTCGAGCTCATGGTTAAACAAAATTGTAATTATGTCATGCCATCAATTTTATAAATATCTCAATAACGACTATAAACGTTTTGTTTCAATATTTAAATCTCATATAAATAATTAATACTATAACTACCTATTTGAATTTTCCATATTTTATAAAATCTTTTTTATACATTCACCTAAAATATTCTATTTTTTAAATTGTAAATTAAGGATCGTTTTTTTATAAAATTAATATATTTTAATTAAAAAATATTTGTGGGCTCTTCTCGCACCACCCATTGCACATTCGGAATAGAATTTCGATTAAATTTATTAATTATCTAAGGATAAATAATATTACTTATATTTTGCCTTTTTATATTTTTTTGTTTAAATTTTATTTTGTCAAAAAATTGGTTGAGTATAATTTACCAAAAACTATATAGCCTATGGTCCTTTAACGTGCATATCAGTTTTGTATGAAATCTTCCTTCACCACTAATGGGCTTTCAGAGAAGAATTTTTCTTTTTAATTTTAAATTGAGAAATTAGAGAATGACATTTTATAGTTAATAACTCCTGATTATCAATAGGCAAAGTTCCGACATTTGATTTCGTCAAAATCCTCTTCCACTAATTGTAAAAAGTTTTGGTTAAATTATGGTTATATTGTTATTCGACTAGTTCTTATTCAAAAGTTAAGCAAGTTCTTGTTTTTCAATCTTTAATTAATGATGTAAAAGTAGACGACTAAAATTAAATGTAAAAGGAATAAAAATCAATATTTCTGCGAAGATTATCTATATCCCCATCAGTAAGTCCCGCTGACCACTTATACACTAATTTAAGCTAATTTAGAGATTAAATATGATTTTATTTGCATAAATATTCTAAATTCATACTGCTTTGTTGTTAAGGCTGTGCATTTATATATAACTAACAAAATTAAAATTATTTTATTCAAATAAATTAAAAAGATTTTAATACATCTATAGAAAATGAATATATACCATGGGAGCATTTAGGCGTCTTTTCATTTTAGACCAAAGATTTACCATGTTAAAGGTTTTCTTGGCAAGAATTTTTAAAATCCTTCCATTAAAATCCTAATTTAAAATCGGCGAAATTGAGCCGTTTAACAACATTAAATTTTGAAGCTGTTTTAAAAAAGTCATTCGAAATAAAATTTTTATTTTTTGTCGTACATAAAATAAAATAGTTTAGAAAGCGATTACGTTATAAGCGCCAGTTCCGATCTCACTATAAAATTTTGGTCATTGCAATTCGGTCAGCTGAAAAAGAAAAAGGACGAACAAACTAACCCGGACAAATCAACCGAAATGTCGGATGATAAAATAATCGTTAAAAACGTGAATGTTAAATACACAATCAAAGCCCACGACAAGGATATCAATTGCCTCTGTTTATCGCCTCGTAATTCAAAATATTTCGCCACCGGGTCTATGGACAAAACCGCCAAAGTTTTTTTTTAGATATAGATTTTTTTTAAAATATGAATCGATTAAAGCCTAAAAAGCAAAGTCAGCACATCAAAATGGCATTTAAAAAAATCATTTATCATAAAATGATTTTTTTTTAAAATAACTTTTGTAATGTCAATCATTTATTTATAGCTGTGGAACACAACCGACGGTAAATTGGTAGGGATCTTCAAGGGTCACAAACGAGGTGTCTGGGATTTAGCCTTCTCAGATATTCACCAAATTTTGGCCACATGCTCAGGTGACACAACTATAAAACTATGGATACTCTCTGATTTTAATTGCATTCGTACTTTGGAAGGACATACTTGCGCTGTTTTGCATCTTCAATTCGTCACTCAATCTACCCAGCTATTAACTTCGTAATTATATATTATACAAATTAATTACCCTACATGAATTTTCACAATGACCCTATTTTTTTCTCTTTTAATTCGAAAGAATTAGAATATTTGTCGGCTTATTGAAAAAATTACTATATTTTTAGCTATTAAGCCAATTCTTAGCCGAAAATTATCACTTTGAAGAAACGAATATAGAGTAAAACGCCTTAATGTTAGCGGAGTTTCTCCGACACACTCCTGTAGATTGAGCGGATTAGCTGACATTTAGCCATTACCTAACTATAATATAATATTATATGCTGCATTATATCAATTAATTTGAATATTCAATTCATTTTTTTTATCCTAGTTCATCAGATGGCTTGATGAAGTTATGGACGATCGAGACTGAGAATTGTGTAACCTTTGATGCCCACGAAGGTAAAATATGGAGTTTTACTACAAATAAAAATGAAAGCTTGATGGCCACTGGGGGTGGTTCTGATGGGAAAATCTTGATTTGGAAGGTTCCTATAAATTTTTGGAATATCAAAAATTGTCAACTCATAATATTTTTTTTAGTTAGCTTCTAGATTGAACCTGCTACTGCCAGTTTTCTATTTGAATCAAACCTTTTTTTTTTAAATTTTACCCGAACCAATTCATATTAAACGTTTTGATGGAATATAAAATACTGGTTTTAAATATATTTATGAATTTTTAAATAGAGTAGGATTAAATTAACCCTCAATTGCATTAAATATTTTTAAAAAAATGTACTAGTGATCAAACTATATATTTTTCTATTCATTTTACTTATCTAAGAACAATTATATCTTCATCTTTTATTTATTTATCCTAGTGAACGTGAATGATAAAAAAAATTTATATCTCGCCCTAGAAACAAAAAGAAAGTTTTTCGCCATATTTGTAAAATAAATAATTATATAAATCATTAATTTATTTATTTTCAAAATTGTACATTTTAAAAATGATGATTTGATATGACTTATTTATTTTTATATGTATGCTTATTTCTTGTTTATACGGTAATTTGATCTTTATTTTATTCTTTCATTACCTTCGAGTTTTGAGAAGAGAAAAAAAGAAAGAATATTGGAAAGAACAGTCTTAAACCTTTAAAATAACGGTTAGAAGCACGAAATTAGAGTTATAATAATATGTTTAAAATATGTAAGCAGCAAATTAATTCGATTCTGAGATATAATGGCATATCTAATTTGGAGTTTGCTTGAACCACACCTAGTCCCATGTTATTTCCACCTGCGATACTAAGGATTATTATGTAAACATTAGTTATATACAATCGGATTCATATTAGTATTCATATATAGTATGAGTAATACTGTAAAACACTCATATAATTTAAAGCCCAAATTGAAATTTCAAGGAGGAGGGAGGGCCATAACTGAAAAAGCATCCGATAGTTAAAAAATATTATCTGCTTTAAATTTTTTTTATGATCACAACAAAATGATTGGTTGATTCTAATCACCGTGATGGGAGCTAGACCTCGAAGAAGAAGGCAAGGATTAAAATGATAGTGAAGTCATAATACAAACTATACATTGTCTTGCTCAAGATTATGGAAAATGGGGAATGGTGATCTGAAGGGCTCTTGAGTTACCCCAAATAATATGCATATGATAGTTTTTATATTAAATCAATAAATAGGTATTTTGTGTTTTAAATGATTTTAACACTTCAATCTGTGCAGTAGAGGGTTGTTAACACTTTTTTAAAAATATTTTTATTTTATATCATGTCCATTTTTTTTAAATTAAATTTAATATCAGGACGTATCACAAGAAGAAAAAAAGGAAACAAACTTAATCAAAGAAACTCAAATTAAAAGGTTTTTTTTAAAAAAAAAAATATATAATGTATGAACCTAAAATTATTTTTTTTAATAGTCGTCAAGAAATTTCGAATTTAATGAAGGAAAAGATATACGATCATAGAATTTTCAAACTTACGATCGAAACCGAAGACAAGGATACCCTTCTAAAAGCTTTAAATGGTATTACTATTTTTCAGATTTAATAATAAATTTATAAAATTAAATTGGTAAGAAAATACGTATTATAAAATAAAAGAGTAAATATGGCAATTTCTTTAATTTTTTAAAAAAAGAAGATATTCTAGAATTCAGCGTTGGGGGCAGACTAATATAGACTAAAACTGTCCTTTAAAAATTTATGATAATTTTTATTTGTATTACAAAATATATATATGCATGGCAATATTAATTTATATCTACCTCGATATCATGTGTATCCGGTCACTGATTTTATAATAAGAATAAATTTCAAACTAAGTGTAACTGATCTAATCCCCCCCCCCCATAATTTTAGATATGCTTTTAGATCCTCAAAATATGGTCAAATTGGAAAAAGCTATCAAAAAGTTGGAATTAGGAGAAATCGGTAATTATAATAGTCAATAATTATAATATAATAACCAAAAAAAATTACATTTTTATTTTTCTGCTTATTTTTTGGTTTGATTTTGATTGAAATATAGCGTTTTTATATTTGATTTTATTTATTAAATTTTATTTTAGAAATGGTTTTTTGGTGTTTTTTGTTTTGCCTGATTTAACTAAAAAATTTTGATTTTAGTCTTAGTCCTACTTATATAAATAATTGAAGTTTTAAAAATTTATTTAAGGTTATTATTATATAATATGGTTTCCTTAACTTTATCAAAATTTAATTGCTCTTATATATTTTTTGCTAAAAAACAATGTTTTAGATTCTCTCTTTCGTTTTTCATCGCAATGGAACACGAACGCCAAAACATGTTATCCGGCACAAATCGTCCTCAATACTATTCTAAAATCCATTCACCCCGACGTCCTCGTTAAATTGCCTAACATCATTTCATCTATCCAATCCATCGTTCCTTATACAGGTATCATTTTTGAAACCTTCTGATAGTTTATATTTATCATTTGAATGCCGGTCCTAAATTTTCCAGCCTTTCAAATATTTAGCAGATTTTGCTCTAACGATTAGTCGAATTTTCTATTAAATTATACAATTTTTTTTTTATTTATAACAAATATTTTCCAACAAATAATAAGTATTGCATATTGGTAAGTTTAATATGCAGAATTATTTTAATTCTCTCAATAAAATAAATAATTAATTAATTACAGACAGGCACTACGATCGAATCAACAAATTATACCAAGATTCCACTTTCATAGAATATGTTGGCAAGTGTATCGCCCTCGAACCACTATTAGATTAAAACGCATATCATGAATGACGAATGTTTTATAATCGACTGTGTTGTACGAAATATTTAATAATAATAAAAAAAGCGCGAATCGTTTTATTTTTAAGATATAACCAGAGTTTGGAACCTAATTTTTTAAAAATGTGTTTCCGGTTTTAAACAATTGAAGGCAATCAAAAAAATTCTAATAATTTTAAGCAAATCAATAAACCCTCTATAATTGAATCATAAAATATTTTAGTTTTTATATATAAAATGACTTCCGTTTTTTGTTAGAACCGGTTTATATAAATTTAAAAATGGGGGTTTTTCCGGTCTAAGATTTGAACTTGCTCTGAGGGTTATCTAGTTTACTTTCAAACTCTGATATTGCTGATTTTAGTTTGATGGATTTGCCAAGCATAAATTTAATTTTGGCTTGCCTAAAATGTAATCTATTTGAGACTTTGTCTCATTTTATAAGTTTGGATATTTTTTACTGATTAATTGCAAGCAAAATATATTGAATTGAATGGGTTATAATTTTTAAAATGATTTATATTTTCGATTATGAGCCATTTTGAAGTATTGTTTGATTAGGAATACCTTAATTATTTATTAATATAATTTATTTAAAGATTTATTCGTGATTATAATTAATTATAAATAATATGTAACAATTAGTTAAAGTTACCCAGATGAGTGGATAAAGGCTATAAACTGCCCGGTACTTAAGTTATATTTATAAAGATATGATATAAAAATATTTTTCATATATCTTGAAATAAAAATGATATTATATTTTTTTGAATGAATTTGTTTTATAAATAATAAATCAAAAGTATTTTTAATTTTTAATTTCTATTTTCGTATCACAATGTTCATAGTAAGGACATTTCGGAAATAATTGCCCATACGGGTGTTCGGATAACTGACACACATTGCAAGCTTCTTTCTGTTGTTGTGTCTTTTAAAGAATATTAGATAATAAAATACCTAAAAAAATTTGCACATAGTCTAAAAAACCTGGCTATTAATTGGTACATAAAAAACCAAGTAGGGATTTTTTCACATCTTTAAAAAAAATGATAAGAAAAAACCAGGGCTGTGAACCCGAACCCTCATTTTACTGAACCCAAACCCATCCCTTTTTAAAATTTAGGATTTATGGTTTAATAACTTTTTGAAAATATCGTATCGTCGCCTGATTATACTGTTCTTTATCCACTTTTTGAAAAAATTGATTTTTTTTCGCAAAATGTATATTTTAAGGTCAGAATTATCGATCCCAACAATTAAAATGCTATAAATGAATCTAGATTTCCAAGGATCTCCGGTAAATTGTACTATGTGCTTTTTTAGTGTTTTATTAAGGATTATATTCTATATCCATCCAACTAATAGGATTAATGATCATTTTATCGCCAATTAAATTGGCTTAATAAGTTTAGGCTTATTTTATTCTACATCCAAATAAGGAGAAATTGTCAAATTAGAGTGCTAAAATTTTTCCCAGAATTTATGTTTTATCTTAATTTTTTTTTTACATTATAAATTTCTTCCAACAATTGAAAAACCGATAATAAAATTCCTGTTAAAATTTATTTTTGGGAACAAATTTAAGAAAAAATGCTGATTTTACATGGATATAGAAACATAAACCATGATTTATGAATTTGAAATTAGATTTTTATTCTATCTTCAAGACGTAGAAAACATTTACGAATTTTTGCAATTTCAAATTTTATTCTATGTCCACATCTAGGAAAATTATATTGCAATTGCTTTATGAAAATTTTTCATATATTATTTTCAGTGTGATCTAAAATAAATATAAAAAAAAATTTCTAGCTCTTACCGTTTTGAAAGGAAAGATTTAAAAAAGGCTCTCCTGTAAAGTTGCAAATGTGGAGTTAGAATAGTATAATTCCCAGGCGGAGATTTATATAACTATATTAAAGTTAAATGTAAAAAAAAGGATGCAAATTATTTAAAACCTAACTTTTTTATTTTCAATATAGAAACATTTTTTGGTAAATTATTTTGCGTGGAATCATTTTTATAATATTTTAGAGTACTCCATTTTATGTAAAAATTTTACCCATATATTTTGTAAAAATTTTTTAAAAATAATACATAAAAATATATATTTTATGAATAATTATTTTTGTTGGATTATTAAATTAAAAGTAAGACCAAAGAAAACGACATAATCACAAGGTAAAATATCTATATTAATTGAAAAATTGATTTTTTAATTTAACATCTCGATTTTGGAAGATATGATAATTCGCTTATTTTCTAATAAATTATTTTATGATCAAATATAGTAAAATAAAGTATAAAAACTGATGTCTCTGTTATTTTTTTAAATTTTATAAGTCTTTATTTTTCTGGATCACAGACCCTCAACCCAATCTGGTTGATAGATTTTCACTGAACTGAACCCTTTTTTAAGAAGTAGGGTTCACATCACAGCCCTGAAAATAAAACAAAGTATTTTTAAAATAGACTTGATTTTTATTTATCTGCGGAATAAGCAGTAATTAGAGCTCTACACGAACAGAGCGAATTTGACCTGTTCGAAGTCGAGCCAGACGAATTTGGACTTCTCCAAAGAGTGTCGGGCAGGATTTGCAAAAACACTCGATTCAGGGCTCTAACCTTTATTCTTGGTTCTTCACTTTTGCTCATTTTTGCTATGATGCCAGATGTTAAAAAACGAGTATAAAAGCTGCATATATAATTAAAATATACAATATATGAGTACCTGTCTCAAAATGGTTTCCACTAGAGTCGAAGAAAACTCTTGCGATTTCTTGCTGTTCTTTGTATTATAGAATTTTTCATAGTCAAATATTGCCCCCTTGGTCGAAAAGGCTAACCCTGCCAATTTTCTCAAAGATAGAGGATTTGGGTTTTTGGTTTGAATCTATTTTTTTTATTAAACAATAATTTATAAAACATTTTTTTGAAATGAACCATTTATAATTAAAAAAATTTCCATCTCAAGCTCATTGGCTTCACTAGACTTGAAAATCCCAGGGGGCTCAAATTTAAAAAAAAACTGAATTTTTTAAAATATTTTTATTTAGATTTTCTAATTTTTTTTAATTTGCAGGGGCTACAGTTCCTTCGCCCTCACCCTCATAGTAGCGCTCTCAGATTAGTATATGATCATTAATTTAATCGTATCCATAGCCCTAACTATATTGGTACCAGAGTTGTTAAAAGATACTTTTTAAATGGATCTAGATACAGATACATCGTCTAAAATAATATCTAGATACCGATATTTTAATCAAAAATCTATCTAGATACAGATACCACATTTTTATATCTAGATACAGGATCTAGATCCTAACTCTGATTGGTACAAATTGCTAGTTTTACCCATCCTCTAAACTAACGGTTAAATATCAAAAATAAAATTTGTTGGTGAAATGAAAGGAAATTTTACGTTATTTCAGTGTTAGTTCAATCACACTAATCAATATAAATAAAAATGCGTTCCCTTCGATAAATTCTTCAGTACTATATATTTCCATATCAATAATTAATAATGTTAACAATGAAATAATTTATTTAAGTTATTACATTGTGATATCCTATTTAAAATGCAGAAAATATCTAATTTTAAATACAGCTGAATTTTTTTAAAAATTGAATGTATAGAAGAACACCATAATACGCAGTCGAAGAAATGTGAGTCAGATTTCCCTTGAATAAGAGTATCCCTTGCTACAAGGCTTATTTGACTTTTTAATGTCTTAAATATTTTAAGAATGTTTATTTCATTCTTTTTTTAAATAGCTCAAAGGAGTGACAAGAAAAATGTAAATAATAAGATCTAAAAAAGCATGGATGACCATCCCAGGAAGGAGGGGATTTTCAAGAAGTTATATCGAAATCGACAGATCTTTTACCCTAAGTAAAATTCATCTAGGGATCACCGTTGTCAGGCCATTATTTTTTTTTCTCCAAATTATTTATTTCTAAGATGTTGGTTAGCGATTATGATAAAAATTACAGATAAATATTATTTCTAAAGCTATTTTAAAAAAATTATTTCTTTTTGAGCCTTATCCAGAATTCATATTTAATGTGGACAGAGGAATAGAGTATGCCTTTGAATACCACGTTTTATATTTCTTATTTTGTCTTTATAAATTAAGGCGATGCCTGCGAAAGTGCTTATATATTTTGTGTAATAATTTGCCTTGAATCATTATGGATCAAATATATGTAGGGCGAGATGGGTTTATTTTTAAAATATTTTTATCTAGCCGAATAACTTTGCCTTAAAGAAGTTATTTTATAAATTGCAACTTTTATGCTCTTGAGCGTTTGTCGAAAAGAAAGCTTACATAGCACGGCCCTGATTATTAAAATTGAGTTATTTTAAAATAATTTTGACCCAAAAATTAAAAATAGAAGAATTGAATGAATACCCATGTGATTTCACAACAGGTGAATTAATATAATTCAAATTTTTAACCCCTGCCTTTATATTTATTATTTATATTACCCTTCCCAGATTTTAACGCCATTTTTCTTGCCTATATAAAGAAGGTAATTTGAATTCTCTATATACCTTAGTGTTCAAATAGTTGTTATTGTAATCTAATCCATAATGAGAATCTTCGTTTAAGTTTTCGGGATATCTACTAATCACGTTATAAGTCACTCCGTTCTCCCACAGTTTTACTTTAATATTGTTGAATTCCGCCTCGTTGTATAAAAACTATCAAAAAAAATTTTTTTTTTTTTAAATAATCGATTAGACCGACCATTTATATTATTATTAACTAAAATAATCTCTTAAAATTAGTAAAAATCTTTATTATTATTACTTGTAAAACAATACCAGACTCACCTAGTTCACGATAAAATCTTAAGCAACATAAATCTTTTTTTTCTAAGTTGATGTTATGACAAAATTCTAGGATTTAAGAATTACTTCGTCTTGGGGTGTTATTGAGATGAAAATTTTAATGGCCGACGGGTCAAATATATAGTCCTCGAGAGATCGATAAAGCAATTTGCAATTACAAGTTGTGGTCTCAAGATTGGCGAAATTGAGAAGAGGCGTTGTTTTGGGAATATCCGCTGAAAGAGTGTTTCTTAATTATTTATAATTTCGTTACAATTTTGATTTTTTTTTAAAAGATCTACTTTTGAACTCATTTTCGCCTTTTGGAACCCATCTTATTCCCTTCTTTAAAATGTTTACTTTTTAAATCTCTTTCAAGATCCCCAGCTGGACCCAAGTTAAGTCAAATGTTAAGAACTAGGACTAAAAAGGAAACATTTACTTTTTTAAATTAGGGTCAGTCTTGTGAGAAGGGTTAACTAATGTTGTTAAACGGCTCTATTTTGTTGATTTTTAGCCAAAATATTATGCAGGCCTCGAGATTTCGTTCATATATGTCCAAACATCTGCCATCTATGAGTAAATCTTCAGGGTTGCATAATATTTTTTGGCTAAAATATTAGGCTATCCATTTTAAAAATCGAGGCGTTTAATTATACTAGGGGCACCCTATGCAACTCTTTGAAAAATATGATCAACGCTTTCGATTTTAATAACTAAGATATATCATTATTATATTCTTAAATCTTTAAAAAATGTGTTCAATTTTAATTGTTCATAGATCATTTTCTTAAAATTATTTGAAGACAATACAATCTTCATTTTTTTACAAATTATAAGCCAAAGTGACGATGTAAGGCTTCCCCAGAAATGTCTTATAGGTGACTATGCCAAATTTAACATCGTTATATCCTTCCTGGTGTAATCTTTCTCCCAACATTTTAAGTAGATTCTGCAATGCCAACGTGTGGTCCGTGCTTTGATTTATATTTTTATACAAATAAGAATGAATAAAAAAATAATTAATTTTATAAATTAATCCGTATTATACTAATTAATCTCCTTTTCCGGGTTAACCAGTAAGACTATTTGAATCGATTTGTTAGGACTTTCCAATTGTTGAGGTTTCCAAATATCTTCCAAATACTTGCCTTCATAGAGAACTATAAGATATTAACCATAATTTAATGGGTATATGAAAGCATATATTTACCGCAAGCAGGATTTCTTTCCAAGTGTATGTACTTTGCCCCACACATTGTAACGTATGCATTTAAGGCAGGGCATAGATTTTTTTTGCTTGCTATTTGATTTGAACATTGTTCTGAGAGAAGTGTTTATGAATGATAATAAAAAAAAAATTCTATCTTTATTCAAAACCATAAGAATAGCAAAAATGAAAACATATAAATCACAACATATATTTGTAAAAATACAATTAGCCACATATTGTTCGATAGTATAATGTCTTCTCATTTCATAGATTATGTGTTCGTTTGATAATCCGTATTACAGGGTTTGCCATTGTTTTCGCACAGAAACTCTTATTATGTGGCACAAAATATGCAAAAAACATTTTTTATATTTTGTCATCATTCAATTCGAAAATCATATGAAAAAATATAAAAAGTGTAATTACCCATCGTTCCTTCGAACAAATTCTCGAGTATTTAATAAAAGTATATGGAGTATCTATAAAAATATTTTAATAAATTTATTCGCTTAAAATAATTTTATCATTGGTATTGCATAGAAATATATTATAAAATAATGGGAATTTAAAAAAAAAGAATATCTATAAACTTATCGAATAAAAAGAAAGTTGTGATTTTTTAATAGATAAATATTCATATATATCATGTACGAGGATAATTTTGCTTTATAAGATTGTGAAAGTAATATAGAATCAAATTTTTTTATGAAGAGTTTTAACATTAATTAATTTTCTTTTCTAAAATAACCATTATTGTGTGATTTTGAAAGCAATTAGAAATATGTTCGTTGATATAAAAAAATATTAATTAAAAAATCTAAATCGCATGTGCATGCATTTAGTTGGAACTTGTAAAGACATATAACTGATGAATATTTACTTTCTTTAAAAAAATTTTTTAAATGAATGATGAAAAAAGGAAAATAACGATTAAATTAAATAGAGTTGGCTATTCCATATCAGATATAATTAATAATTTGGACATATCCAGGCATCAGGTTAATCTTGCTATAAAAATATTTAATGATTCCGGCAAAGACTTTTCTATAATTCAGAGGAAAATCTAGTAAAATTAAAAATTTGCATATTTAATATATATTTAAGCGGAAATTGACAATTACTACATAACACTAAAAGAAAAAATAAGATTAAATTTATCTGTTGACCTATGGTTATCAACGACAAATTAAATTTTTTCTATTCATTCAAGAGAGTTATCAACGTACCTGAGAGAAGTAATTCAAAAAAAAGAGGAACATTCATGTTAGAATATTGCAGGTTGTTAGCATTGAATTTACAATAAATTGCTATTTTTGGTAGAAACTGGGTTTAACATAGGATTTATATCTATATATTGCTGTATTTCCAAAAAAAGAAATTCATTTTAAAATTTTACAAGGCCCGGGATAATATAATTAAATTCCAAGAATATTTGAAAGAATTATTTTATATTCTGATTCAAAATAATCTGACCAACTGTACTATCATTATGGATAATGTTCCATTTATCACTCAACTGTGAGATTGAATAGGTTTTTACTACTTATTCGCCATTTTCCGATCAAAGAGATGTTTATTAAACTGAAAACTCTTGTGAGAAAAGGAGGACGAAGTAACGAAAGTGAATTGATGGATTTAATAAATTTATCAAATACAAAGGTAAACAATAATAATTTAACATTTTGATGACATTATTGCATATTATTTTTTTTTCTCCTTTTAAATCTATAGATATCGTTTGAGGATTTTGAAGGATATTTTTCTCAGTGGAATTTAATCCTTGTTTAACTATGACACCTATTAATTATTAAACAATATATTTTAAAAAAATTTATATTTAAATATCAAATGTTTAGCTATAAATTAATTTTTAAGATTATTTCTATTATTTTATAATACACTTTTATGCAATACCAATGATGCATAAAATTTAAGCAAATAAATTTATTTAGAATTTTTCAATGAATAAAATATAGGTTTAATATGAAATATATTTTTTTTAAGAAATGTTCGTTTATTGTTTGAGATAACAATAAAAATAAGGGTATTTGACTTATTATTATTTTTTTTATATGATGTTAGAATTGAATGATAACAAAATATAAAATGCTATGCTGCTTACGTATTTTGTGCTCTCATAACAAGAGTTTTTGTGTGAAAAAATGGCAAACCTTAAAAGTATATATAAATTTACGTATAAATTATGGTATAATTTTAATTTTTGGGATTGTTTTTTAAAAATATTATTTTATTTTTATGGATATCTCAGTGATCAGTTACTGCTCCAGTATTATAACTTTATGATTCTTACGCAGGTCCTTAAATAAAGGATAAACAGAGATGCAAATTAATTTGATAAAATACATTTTCGATTCAGATACAAGTATTTTATTAAAAATATCAAAAAGATACAACCAACTGATGCTATATAAGAATGGTGACATAACGATAAGAGTGAAAATTGAAAGATGTATAATGCAATCAAGAGAAGTACTTAGGGAAAAATACCTCTACGAATTGAAAGATAAATGACATCAAGTTGTATAGATTATTCCTCAAGCAAAACTATCCCGTTTAGATTTTTTTTAAATTATATAAAAGTAAAACAAGCAAGCATAATATTTCGATGACTAAAAATATTCTTACGATATCATTTTCAGCCTAAATTAGCATTAATGTCATAGGGGTAGCTTATATTACGTATTATTTTATTATCAATTATAAAATATTCTAATCTTGAACAAATAAATAATAATTTAAGATTCCATTCAATGAAATTAAACCTTTAACATGTTCGAATAGGCATGCCTGATAGTACGGTGAAGGATCAAGGGTGCTAAAACAGTCAGAATAACGAGAATCGGATTCAAAAGGATACAGATCATTGCATAGTTTATCTTTGGAAGTTTCTCTCATAGTTTCTATATCCTCTCTGCTCCATTCATTCCTATTATCATAATAATTGTTCAACATTTTACAATACATCCTCTGTTCGCCAAATGTTTTAGATAAATCGTTTCCGCTATCTGGAGAATTTTTCTTACAAGACTGAGACCCTTTGGGATCAATGTTGAAATAACCTTGAAATGTGTCCACACTTGGAACATATGAATCATCGTCTTCCGCCTCTAAATTGTTGTTACCCAATAAGCCGACTATTTTGCCATGGTATATATGACTGATTTTAATGTAACACAAATTTTGTGTGGAATAACATCCGAATCTTAAGCCAGGGATTTTTACCTTTTTTTAAGAAGGAATGGGGGGGGGGGGTAAAGAGTAATAATATTATTTATATTATATATTAAATATTTCCATAAATTAGTTTTTTAAATTAAACACTTCCTATATTTTTATTAGATAAACTCCATTGAAAATATACCTTAAACATATTATTCGTCGAATAATTTTTTATCTATTATTCTATCGAATTATTCGAGATAATTTGATTAAAATAATAATATTGAAAAATAATCATATATTATTAGTAGGAATATAGGATAGTGGAATAATGAAGAAACATTTTTCTAAAATTGTTGTTAAGGGCTGTTTTTATTCGAATAACTTCATAATATAAAATTAACTTCCGATAATTGTTTTATGATGGACGAAGAAAGTATTTATTTTTATATGCAATTTATAACACATATACAATTATAATAAACTAGTAGCCATCCCGTCAAGAAAGACGGGCGAACCAGATATTTCTCCGTCGTTTGATGGTAGAGAAATCATAAATTTTACTTTTTGCAAAAACTTTTTGTTTTAAAAATTTGTTGTTGGTATATTTGTCTTCTACATGATATGAATATTATATTGATTTTACTACATTATATATAAAAATACTATATATATATATGCTTCTATATTATCTTACTAATAAAATTTGTTTGTCTTTTATCCATAATTAAATTTTACAAAATAAATTTAATATTCTATTTTTTTTTAATTTATGATTAAATAAAATTTTCGAATTGAATCGAATATTCGATGAACCAAATAATCATTTTATTATTAGTACGAATACGAATAATGAATTATTCGATTTAAACGAATACGAATAATTCCATTATTCGATTCGTATTTTTGTAGGTATAATTGAAAATAAAATAAACCAGCCAATTTTTTAAAGTAAAAGGCTTACATTACTTTGATAAAATAATCCAGATTTACGAAGACAGAAATCCCATTTTTTTCATCGTGATAAGGTAAATTTGGTAATGCTTGTCCATCCAAAAATGTATTGTAAGAATCAATTCTCGCATTATTTATTATAATTGTTATATTATGGGATGGGGTTATAAGTGTCAGTTTATCTAACGAACCTAGTAATGCAAATGTATTGTTCTTGTAGTCCGAAGCTAATAAATATCTTTAATAAAAAAAGAAGAAGTTTATACATTATGCCTTTTGCAATATATCTTTTTTCACAAATAAATATAGAAAGGGGTGGGGTATTCTTTATTTTTTTTTGGGGGGGGGGGGGGCTACAGTGATAATTTGTAAACTTTAAATATTTACGTTAGAGCTTTTATATTTTTGTAATATAGAAATGATATGGCGTTAATTGAAAATCGAAAACTTAAATCTAATAATAGCTAAAATGAAAAACTATATATTATTAGTACATCAGTCCGCCGAGATATAAATTGGCTGCACTTTGTTTTATTTTTTTCCCATTACAATTTTATTTATAATAATTTATTAAAATAAATGCAAAATAAGCCGAGGTAACTACTATAAGTCATCAGATTAATTAATATGGACACCGTCTTTATCTAATTTATTCGTGGAAATAATAATTTAATGGACATAGAATTATAAAAATAGCCCAACATTCACAACGCTTTAACATCGGCAGAAATTAATATTCTTAAATCCAGTTTTTATTTGTAATTGGAAATGAATCCATTATCAACTCCCGACTCAAAATTTTTCAAAATTTCGAATGGAGTACTATTCTGAACCTCCGATCTATTAGAATTTGGCGGAGAGCCTGTCGGCCCAGCTCAACTCAATTGGAGGTCCATTTGGCATGACAAAAATTGCCGGCAGCGGGCGTGAGGCCAGCTTAGCAAAACGTTACGGTAAACAAACGAATAATGTCATTTTTTTCATAATTTTTAATATACAAAAAAACTCGTTAAATATATTTATTTTTTGATAAACAAAAGTGAACATTAAACCTAAATTATTTAAGGAATAGATATATTTTATAGGAAGATCGCTTTTGCTCCTCTAGTTCCTTCTTATAGTGCCTATGTTTTGCTTAGAAGTATATTACAAAAATAATTCGATATAAATATTTACAGTTTTTCATCATTTCCACATATCGGATATTTATCGTGCAGGCCATCAAATGTAACATAATAACCATTCCCAAATATAATTGCATTGCGATAGGAGAATTTGGGACCATTTATTACCTTCGTCATACTTGTCTTTTCTAATAAATCGAACTGATAAATGAAGAACCTATCTATTTTGACTTCAGTTAATATGGGGAAAGTCTAAAATTACAAAATATAATCACTTTGAGGTTGATATATAACAAAGTTAAACGGAAAAATATCACCAAAATAGAAAAATACAACGAAATCTGCCTAATTTGGGCAGCGTTATGACCGGATTTTTTGCCTAACTTACAGTTGCCTAATTTATGAAAACGTTTTATAATACATAATAGTTATAAGAATTTGGGGACTCATAATTTTGGTGAAATTAGGGAGTTGTTTGAATTATCAAGAGCTCGAATTAGAGATGTTTTACTATAAATATTTTTGTCATTTAATACTCCTTAATGGTATTTTTTCCTTTTATTTTTCATTATTTTTGATTTTCTTTCTTTTTTAAAAAATCTACTTTTTGCGATCTCTTTTAATTTAACATTTTTTTAAATCTATTTTTATCATCTTTTCTCGATTTTCTTAATTTTTTTATATCGGTTCATGTTCAGTTGGCAAAAAATAATAATATCGGTTTAGTTTGAACCTTTAAACCGATTCGAACCTTTTCATATACAAAAATACTAGAATTATGGAAGGGAAAGCATATTTTTTAAAATCAACTCATCACTAGTATCTAAAAAATAATATTTAAAGCCGTTTACAATTAAAGTACTAGATTTTCTTTTATGATTAATAACATTTCAAAATATATATCGGTCACTCTTAGAATGTCAAATCAAATAACTTCAAAGGATTTTTTATTTTTTAATTTTTTTAAAAAAAATCAACACTTAATACTTTGAAATAAAATCCATTTTCAAATAATCAGATAATCTAAAGAATATATATTTTGAAACTTAAACTTTTTTTAAAATAAATATTATATTAAAAATGAAATACAATATTTTTCCATAAAAAGGGGGGGAGGAGGAAGGTGGTGTTAAAAAGATATATTGTTAATATTGTTTGGCCTAGAGCCATAGAACAGAAGATTGAGATACAATTGAACCTGCATATCTCAATAGATATTTTTTGTTTAAGATACAAATTTTCTTTAGGAACTCCAGTGATCGTTATTGGTTACTACAAAACAAAACAAAAAATTTACTATCATATTTAATAACTACTAAGTATTTTCCTTTGCATCAGAAATAGGCTGGTTAAATTATATCAGATATTGGGCCACTATTTTGAAGACCACTAAGTTTTGCATTGTAATTACAACTTTTTCTTTATCCTATCATTATAAGATTAACAAGGACAAAAAGGCAGAAATCGTATTCCACATGCATAATTATGCTCACCTGACGAGTCAAACAATCTTACCGTTATGGTTTTAAATTTATATTAATTTTTATATTATAGATGATTTTTCATATAAATTTTAAAAAAATTTAAGGTGACTAGTGCCTGAAATTTATAGGACAGGTACTCTACATGCTAAAAAACGCGGCAAAAGTGGCTCTTATTTTACAATTAAAATAAACATAACCATCAAAAAATAGCATTTTTACTAATTTAATACTAATTTATTATAAATATTAAGTAAAATATTATATTTTAGAAAATTAATATTTAGTTTCAACAAACATTAAAAAAAAATATCAATTTGGATTATTGTATCTTTTTTTTAGATGCAATTATCCTTCCACTTAGCATATTTAAAACTATATCCTTATAAATATTGTATATAAAATTGATCTAACGTTAGTATTTTTAAAAACCTTGATTTCGCCGATTTTAAAAGATGGCTAAATCAATATTTTAGTCATAATATTTATTTAAACTCTTAGATTTAAATAAAAGGCGGGTGAATACATGGCGATTATTTTTCTGGCACTAGCTGTTTTCAAGAATCGGCAAAATTTAAGTTTTTAATAAAACTAATTTACTCTCTTTTTAATTAATTTATTATATCATATTCTACTGTTATATCACAGACCAACTCGAAATCATCTTTATGGAATATGATATTTGCTACAAATTATTAAATGTAAGAAAAATTTATAAGTTTAGATAAATATCTAATAAAACAAATCAAGAATGGTTGAGGTGGAGAAATTTATAGGAGTGCACTTTGACAAAATAAATTGGCACAAATTAAAGGGGAAGATATAGAGTTTCATAGAACACAACCAACTATCCTATATAGTTAGAAATGGCCACGCAAAGAATCAGACATGAGCAGATTACCGACAATGGAGGTGATAATGTTGAGGATGATAGCTGGGGTAACCAAAAAGGATAAGATATGAAATATAAATATACTAGGAAGTTTAAAATTAGTGCCCATAAAACAAGAATTATTATAAACAGACTAAGATGTTAAAGTAATATGAGGAGAGGGCCCGAAAACTATATATTGAACAAGGTTAAGGTAATCAGTAGAGAGAGACCGAAATTCCAATATGCCAATAATATAAAAGCTAATATCACAAAATATAAATCGAATAGGGGAAATTATATGAACAAATTAGAATGTAAAATATCAAAGGTGATTACCCGAAAAGGTGAAAGCTAAAATAGAATAAAGAATTCTTAATTTTTGGAAGGATAATACCTCCTTAACAAAATTATTAATTACAAGATCATTTTCTCAAGTATATTATATCGTTATCATCAATCTAATATGTCTCATTCATATCATTTTCAGACAGATTATTTTAAAATTATAATTTCAAGTTTAATGATAATTATCTATTAATAAATAACCTTTATATTTTATTTTAAAGTGATGTAGCGCAAAGTTACTTTTCATTAAAAAAGTAGCGCGCTATCTTAAAGCTACTTTTTAAAGTAAAATGACTTTTGACGTTATATTTTGTGTTATAAAATGTATATTAAACCGAAAAATTGTTCCATTCAAAGGGGTGAGTAATTATTTTACGGAAAAAATTTCTTTGATAAGGATAGGACTTGCAATTTGACGATACACTATTATCTCCGTTGAATTCTTCATCGAAGTCCTTGAATTGAAAATGTTGGTACATCGAGTAACAAGATCCCAAAAAGTGAGGATCAATTCCAAATAATTTTTTGGTGCCCGTGCTGGCAAGTTTAATGATTTCGTTTATTTCATTTGGGTCCCCTTAAAATATATGATATATTACAAATGAATATTACAAATTTCTTAGTGAATATCATCCCATTTAGCCTTTTTGGAAAGCTCTTCGGGATACCCCCCCCCCACCATTTACCTGGCAGAGAATTCGCTAGTGGCAAACTTCCTTACCAAACCTACCCCTGACCCACCTAAAAAGTTGTAATCTAAAAATTAGTCTCGAGCATATTTATAAAATAAAATTATGTTAAAATGCTATCAATGGACGAATGCTCTTAAAATCGAAATTAATACTTTATTAATAAAAGTAAATCTTTTTTACCAATTATTTTGCCTTTAGTTTTCAAATATTCTTTATTTGTACTTTACCCTATCCCTTAACCTATACCCCTCCCCCTGCTTGAATATCTTACGCCACTGATTTAATGTATAATAATTATAATTAATATACTTTATAAATTTTAATTTTAATGTTTACTATTTTTTACGAAATTAGATATATTTAAAATTTTCCTGGGTGAATGAATATAAATATTTAAATATGTATTGGATTTCAAAATAAAAAATAAGTGAGGTTAGTAAATAAATTTTATTTCTCAAATGACCTCTAGTGTAATAATTTCAATAAAGTTTAATTTAAAAACAAAAGAGAAATTCAACTAACCAAAGATTCCATATATTGGACGGTCGCTTTTAATTTTCTTTGATGTCGCATATGAATTTAATGCCATAAATCCATATTGCACATAAATTAGAGCTATATAAGTCATATGATATGCTTGATTTATATATGCCATCGATTGTAGACCCATAGAAAAGTTTTGTGTTATTTCGTCTTTGTAGCGAGTTAAATGTTCGGAAAGCTTTTTTTAAATAATTTTTTTTTAAAATAGTTTTGTCTTTTTTTAAAATTTTCTTTAAATCCATCTAGATCTGTGCGCCGCCAACTCAAACCAAGGCCACCGGCAATTTTCTCTCGCTAAAAACAATCGAGATTCAAAAATATTTTAAATCTGGTAATATAGAAATCTTAATAATAATGGGTGCTTCCATAATTTACATTCTAGCGTAATTTTTTTTGTGGTTGTGGAAATTGATTGAAGAATTAATAACTTAAGCACCATAAATTAAGTCAATTCTAATATTTACGCCCCAACAATGTTTATATTTTTACCAAACCTTGAGCGGGCATAGTCGAGTGAGCTAAAAAACATCCCATTGCAGATCTCTAGTTCATATAACCCATTTAATCTTATTTAGAAATAAAAAATGTATTTCGGGGGAGGGGAAGGATTAAATTCCCGATTGACATTACAAAAGGCCAATCGCTCCCCTCATATTTTATTTAACAAAATACATGGCTTCATCACTATTATTATTTTTTAAATTCATAAGAAATTTCACAAAAGAGGTATATATATTTTGTAAAAAATATTTTCTAAAGATGTTATCATAATGATATATACTGTGTATTTTATATACCATTTCAATTCAAACATTCTCTTATAATAATAGTTATGTCTGAAAATAATTTGATAATCTGATATTAAAATGAAATTTAGAAAAACTCACATTTGCTAAATACACAGATTGTAAAGAGTATCTACTTGATATTATAATATTTAAAAAAGGTGTGGTATAGTTTTTGGGGAAAAGGCTTAGTTTGAAAAGTGTACACCTGCCACAAATACATCTAGGGAAAGAATATTTTTTTTATAGCTGAGATAATGCGAAATGTTCAAAAAACATCCTTATGTCCACCAATCTCTACTAAATCATAATTCACCACAATTATAATTTAACTATATTTGATATTTATTTTATATTTCTCACATATTTTGTTTGCTTTGTTTAATATAACAGAGAGCTGTTTATATCAAAAACAATAGTATGTCTGCGGTTTAGGGGTAAGGAATTTTTAAAAAATATTTGGCGCACGACTCATTGCCTTGCAAAAACCCATATATCAGGTTAACAGCTACACTTTGTCGTCAAAATGATTTCCTCAAGAATTGAACACGATACATCTCTCATTTTGAGTCCCTATCAACTTGGTGTGAGTGTCGCAGGTAGTTGTGAGGTCGCATAACACTCAACTCGTATTTATTTATGAAACGATCCCACAAATGAAATCTCGATTAAGTTCGACTTCGCCAATGCCTTTAAGACCCTATCTTGGAATTACTTCTTAAATTCGTTCAGCACTTTTTTTCCTGGATATAGCAAATTTTTCCATTCTTACTATCAATATCATTCCACTTTACAATTCGAATATTTTAATTCGTAAGAAGGGATTAAGCAGGGTGATCGTCTTGGATCATTGCTATTTTGTCAAACAATATAATGAGGGCAATAATGCCTCTTGCTTTCTTTCTCTCCATGTCTGATACATTGATGATGGTATATTCTGTGGTTCATCCAATGAGGTCAAAAGCCATTAATATAATCCTAGAGTTAAATCTTCTTTAGGGCTAATTCTCAATCAGAGCAAATTAGAATTCATCCAACTAAACTGTTCTGAACCTACACCCACAATTTTGAGATAAGATCATTAATCAAGAACAACTAATACACTTAGGATCCCCAATCGGAGGCAACTCGGCCATATTCACTTTTCTACATTCAACTCTTGAGCTCTTTGCAAGTTAGGTGATATCTTTCTCCTATTTACCTCTTGAAAACCGTTTTCTTTTGAAAAACTTTTACAATATCTCGGTCATTTTTTACTCATTTAGGTCTACCTCTGTTTTTAGATATCAAGTGTAATGATCGGCACTTACCAAAGAGATCCCAAATCTAAAGTGTGGAAAAATCTTTTGGGCTTAAGCTTCTCTTCCAACAAAATTTGACGGAGCATTAGATATTCGTCTAATTCAGCTTAAACTACTTTTATCTCAAGTGCTTATTAATAAAATCTATTGTTATCGCTTCCTCTTAGTATTGAATTTCTTGGAAAAGGTTTCAATTTGGGATTATTCCTATATAGATTCCCTAGCGCCTAAAATCTTGACCTAAACATTTTGATCTCAAAGATGGGTCTAAAATAAATAAATATTCTGAAATTTTCGAAGAGTACATTTTTATAACTATAGTCTTTTCTGCATTAGACACATTTGGTGGCCCTGCTTTACTATTCTTCAAAGAACTCGGCTCACATATCCGTAAAATTACCGTTGAATCAAAGGTTTCTATCTTAGACAAAAACTTTCTATCGCCATATATAAATCGAATTACATTAGTTTAATTGAAAGCTTTCGAGCCAACCTAACTTTTTTAATCCTCTCTTTACATATATTTTTTATTCTATTTATTTTTTAAAAATTTTTTGTTTTTGATTCGAATTAATAAAGATATAATATATATTGAGTTGTGTTATATCTTAGGAAGGTCGTTTATAATATAATATAAAAGGTGTTTCTGTTCTAATATAATATAGAAGGTTGTTATAAAGGTTATCGTATTTGTAACAAGATGTTATTTAAATATTATAGGTTTTAATAAAATACTTAAAAAGATCAATTGAATTAAATAATTATATTATATCTTACTAAATATATATATTACATTTTTTTTGAAGATTACCTTTTGGACCATATATGTTTTAAAATATTGAACGTAAAAAGTTAATTATTAATTATATTAAATTTATTATTTCACTTTTTATTTTTATAAAATACAAGATCATAGGGCTCGTCACTTTATTAAGTGACTGCTAACTCAGCGTGTGAAAAACCGTGGCCTTGGGCCCGCGAATCTAGATGGGTCATATTTTTTAATATACTCATAATTGTGATAATTTTTTTTTAATTATTATTTTGTTAAATGAATAATAAATTGATTCATTTAACAAAATAAATATTATTAGGGCTTGAAAAGTCCTTGGTTTAGAGTACTTAACTATTATCTCATAGATATAAATATTATTCCGTTAAATTATATATAATGAGTATTATTACTTTATTTAAAAGAATTTTTTCATACACCTTAACCAAATAAGAATATTCCGAATTTTCAAAATATTCAAATTTAATTCCTCTGGGAGAAAACAAATTGAAGCTTAGTCTAGCCGCTTTGATATTTTTGCCTGGGTAATCCTAAATAAATCATACATTTTTACATTAAATTTATTTAAACGACATATAAATTCCTAAAAAAATTTCTCAACGACAATCCCCTAAACATATATTTAATTTATCATTTATAAAAAAAATTAACCATATAAGCTTCTGATTAAGGATTATATAATGAAAGAAAATGATATATATGTTTCAAGGGTTTCACTTTAGGATAGTACACCAGATCAAAATTCAGCATTTTATCCTCGTTAACTAAGTTGATGTCGATATCAAATATTCCCTGACTACTGCTGTCCTTCACATATTTGCCTTTTCTATTTGTAAAATACCCCTTTTCCATTATTTTCTCTTCAAATGGAGACTTTAATTTATATATAAAATGCAATATACTTTAAATCTAAATAATATTTATTCGTTAAGAGAATATTATGAGCTCAAAAAAATAAATAATGATAAATAAAAGTTTTAAAAAAATTATTATGAAATATGTGAATAATATAATAATAGTATGACAGTTTTTTTAAAGCAATTTTAAGATTAAATTTTCAAAACTAAAACTATAAATTTTAGAATTTTTTTTAAAATATATAATATATGGAATTTAAAAGGGTCATTAAAATATTATATCATTTTACTTTGGCAGTCACATTGGTCTCACTATTTAAACTAAACCTGAGCCTTCTTCCATCTGGAATTTGAAGATAATATTCACTATTATAATCCAAAAAATTTCCAACAAACGATGCGTTTCCACTGAGTTTATTGAATTTATATATGATCAAATCTTTTCGATCGTTTAAAAAAAAAATAAAAAATATTCATAATATTTATTTTATAGATCATCCGTTTTAATCTTTAGCCTGCCGCTGACATTTTTAGCCGCACCGAAAACACCGCCGTTTATGAAAATCATGCCGACGCTCTGAAGATTTTTATAGCGGCGATGCATGGCCGGCGCATGGCCGGCGCAAATTTTTTTAAAAAATAATTTCCATATTTTTTGCAATTTTATTGTAATAATTGGTTAACATCACTTTTGTAAATTTTTTATGTCCATCAGGATTTTTATGAATTCTTATTTTATACTTATTCTATTAATTCAATCAATCAAAAATCTAAAATTCCATAAGTTTTCATAATTTTACATATTTTTAAGGAGACCCAATATTGGGTGTTTGTTTAAATGAAAATGAACACCCCTTAGGTTTGGTTTACATAATCTGATTACAGTAGATAGTATTAAATTCTTTTTGTTGAAAAGCTTATCAAAAGAAATTATTCTCTAGGATATAAAGCTGCATAGATGGAATTTGAGATCGAGGCAGATTAACGATAATGCGTTGATCTATACCCTCATACCAGTTTCAAATTGGCGATTCTAATGATGATAAAAACAATAATGCCACACATGAAAATGTTAAAAATAAATGTATTAATCAGGTGGCATCGTATATTAATTATTCTAGAATGCATATCTGAAGCAAATATAATTATAATTATTAACGTTTTGATAAGAATTGGGAAACACTTTCTCAAACTATGAATCAAATCTAGTAGAAGAACTATTAGCTTTTCTTCCAAAACTTAAGGAAACAGTTGAATATCTAATTGCAATAAAAGGCCTATCTTAAAGCAATACTTTTTAGAAGTGAAATTGAAAAAAATTTAATAGTAAATGGTAATGATAGCTCGAAAATCATTTCCCTAAGGAAAAGCATGCTAAAAAATTTGCGTTACGATTTTCAGTTTCTGATCTGCAAGTATTAATATATACGTATATTTATTTATCTTTTTTTACAAAAATAATCTATATCTTGGCTTCTCGATGATATCAAGGTAGTAAATATATCGATTGAGAATATTCAAATTATTTGACAAAATTAACAACTAAACATTCAGCAAGTACAAATTATGATTCCACTTTAAGTGATTTATATGCCATATTCTTCTTGAAAAAAGCTATTCACAAGTTATGGATGTTCTAAATTTCTGAAGAGAAAAAAGGATCAAACTTCCTAATTTTTTCAGGCTAGCAAAAAAAAAATTTGTGTTCCCGCAACTATCACATTTAGTGAAAGAATTAGGGTTGGCGTTGAATTCAAGTAGATCATCATTATGTCGGAAAATATAAATAAAATTACTTTTATACATGATAATTCTAATATTAAAAATCGATTTTGAATTTATAATTAGTTTTCTCAATACAGATCCAAAAAAATATGCCGAAATATCTGTAGAAAAATTAATTAACAATTAAGAAAATATATGCCAAAAGTGTATAACGGTATGCCGATTTACGCCGCATAGGTTGACTGGCTAAAAATCGGACCCGCCGGCCGCCGATTAGATTTACATTATTTAATATCATGTTATTAATTTTAACTCATAAATTGTTTATCCTTAACAATTCTTATGATAATTAAAAAATTAATGCAAAAAAAAATATAATCATTAGAATTTTTTTTTATAAAAAGCCCTTGCCTTTAAAACTTCATAGTAAAATGGGAATTTTTTTTAAGAAGTTTTAAATTCAAATTACCTAAAAAAACTCTTTGTAGATTATATATTTTTAGAAAAAACATACCTTTATATGAGGAGGAAGGTAGTTGAAAAATATTGGGTTGACAATACCAATCCTGTTCAAGTTTTATTTCAGGCGACCCAGATTTTTCGGTCATGCTGCTATTTCCAATAAAACGCATATTGAAGTATTGGGAAGTGTGCATAATTTGATAGCTTAAATGCATAATTGCAATTAATAATGTATGAATTTATTTTATTTTATTATAAATTTTATTCTTTTTGAATTAAATAACAACATTTAGATGTTTCATTTAAGCATTGATAGGAATAAATTATAACTCTAAAATCGATTTTATCGTGTATACAACAATGGTATTTACTTTCAAAAATGGATTTATTGCAGCTGAAGTTTTATTTTTTGTAATGGCTTTTAGATGGCCCCTCTCCCTCTTTCTATAATAATTAAAGCAGATTTCTCAACTAGAGGACTAACTTCCCTAATAAAACAGTAATATTTTAACCTATACCACACTTAAAATACAATTGGACTGAAGATAAAAGCTTAAGACTAATTAAAGTTTAATTGTGTTTGTCTTAATAGTAAATTGCAATTTATATGACTACGATGGAAATATTAAATAAAATACTTTCAATTCGTATTTATTTTTTTAATAAACAAAATTTCCATCTCATTTGTTCCTATCGACATCGTTTTATCTAAATTGATTTAGGTCTAACTCTTTATTTAAATTTCTGTTAGTCTATTTAGAAATTTTATAACCTTAGATTTAGTAGGTTATCAATAAAAATGATTAAATTATATTATTAAAAGCCATAACTCATATTTCTCAAATCTTTAATTAACCCTAACCCCTCTCAACCTATAATCCTTGCCCATACCTCATTACTCGTTCTAATTTTGAATTTGATTTCATATAATTAAAAAAAATTCCTTTAGATGAACATTCCTTAAGTTAAATTAATATCTTTATGATATAGCTCGCTCAAAAATTATGATCGATTTTTTTTTTATTGACTAAGTGAATAAATGAATGATGAAATTAAATTTACATATTATAATTATAAAGTATTATGCACGTCATTTATCCGATTATTTATCGTTTCTGAGTTTTTCAATCATCAGAGTCAGAAATCCAACTGTAAAATATTTTTCTGTTTTTAAATTTCAAATTTACTTTGGCGGAGCACTCTATTCACTACTTTTTAAGGAAATCACAGAATGCGTTTTTGCTTAATATATTTATCAGTTTATTAGACATGCAAAGGAGCATAACCATAATGTCATATAAATGAATCCCTAATTGCATTACATTTAGTCAAAACATGAACAAAACTCTATCTCTTCATCCATTCATATTTGAGGCATTTCCTTTTTAAAAAAATTTGTATCCGTGTTTACTTGTGGCATAAATATTGACAAGCCTTTCAATTAATTGGTAGGTGATACATTTAATTTCAATTTATCTTTACGTCAAAAGATTCAGATGTAGATATATAATAATATTTTAGTATGTATTTTGTTTGTGTGTACTTGATGATCATGATTATAATAAATATTAAATTAATATTATAATATGATAATAAATGGTAATCAAGGCTTTTTATTACTTTATTTATTCTCCAATCTTCTTGTTATTTCTTATGGCAGATTTCATATCATTTACCAACGCGTAGAATATTTCATAATTGCATATCTTATATGAATATTTTTTTTGGTTAACATCTACCAGTATAAGTGCTTCGACCGAATAGTAATCTATCAAGATTCCAAAAATTGAAATAACAACGAGGCACAATATTATTCAGTTATTCTCCCCCCACTTTCAATTTATTGGACTTGTGATAAGAATAGACCTATGCGCCACTGACTCATGTTGCCGCCGTAATTCCCCCCCCCCTAACAGAAATTATGAGCCCCAGGTAATTTTTTATGGCGGCGGAGCAACCTGTAAAATTTTTAAAATGCTATTTAATAAAAAATATAAATTTTATTGATATATAATAACACTTATAGCAATGAATCAGTTTGATTGAATAACTATTTACATTTTTGAAGTTAATAGACGCAGCTAATTTTTTACAAAAATTTAGCTAGTTACTTTAACAGCACTAATAAATAATAAAAACAATGGGGGAAAAAATCAGCTGTGATGGTAAAGGCAATTTCTTTTGGACTTTTATATTATAATTTGCACTTATATCGAACCTCTCCTATATTTTAAGTAGTAACGTTACTTAATATTTGGTTACTTTGCTCGTTACTTTCCAAAAATTGTTAATAGAAAAAAGTAACTGCACAATACCATTTTATATTTTCAATAATAAAATAATGCCATATGCATTAGATATTAGAAATTTTTATGCTTTGAAAATATCATTTTAAACGATTTACTGGCATTTTTCTCTTATCGTTTAAAAAACAAATCCTTCATTTTATTCATTAGATATTTTAATTAACGAAAGAAAATATAAAAACTTGAGAAGGAAAGAATCCATTTCTATTTTGACGAAAGATTTTCCAAATAGGTCATTATTATTGACAAATTCCACTACCGGTATACCCTTGCCTTCGTATTTCAAATTAAAACTATCATTCGTTTTCAAGTTTAAATCAAATTTCGCGACATAGCCAATGTTAGGTGGCGATAAAATGAAACTTGCTTCACCTAAATAACTAAATATTATGAAAAGGTATAAATAGTAATAAATTTTCCATTCATTTTAAATTTTATAAAAAAATTTAAGAGATAAGATGAGAAAATAAATAAATTAGAACCTTAGTTTAGGTTTTATGTCATCAGTTTCTTCGTATTCCTTTTGGGATTTTTTAGAAAGATTATACTTAAATTCGTATTTGAGAGGATCATCCAGAAATGAGCAAATGGCTATCATTTTATATAAGCCTTCTAATGATTGATTAGATTTTTTATTTAAAATCAACCCATTTATTTGCATTAAATCATTTAGATTAACTGAAAGATTGTGATAATCTACGTATTTCCATATTTTCAAGCCAGTTTCCTCCTGGGTCTCTAAAACGGGTCGGTATAAATTGTTGTAGGATAAGCTATAACCATACTGATTATTATAAATAAAGACAAAGTGTATAGAATAAAGGAAAGCGTTAATAACATTAATACCTTATGTGTTAGCCCTTCCTTGTTAATTCCACAATAGAATAAAACTAAAACTATTGCTCTTCGGACTAAGCTTTTACCATAATTTAAATTATATCTACTACCCTGTCTCATTGTAAAAACACAACCAATTTAAAATTTTAGTACAGTATTATTTTTGTAAATTAAAAAAAATTTATAATGATAATATTTTACAAAAATAGCTTTTAGGACATTTAGAATATTTTATGCATATTAGAAAAATAACTTCGATACATTTACTTTCATCCAGTCATTTATTTTAGCTAAAAACTGTGCCATGATTCAATAGAAAAAAAAGGACAACATGGGACCATGGAATAATAGTATTTATAACAGATCTAATTTTTTTTAAGAAAACATTTTTGAAAAACTTTTTTTTTCAAAATTGTTCATTTTTTTGGTCTTTGAATCGTGGAAAGTTTTGAAAAACTCTATTTATACATATAAAAGAAGGAAAATTATCGCTGTGCCTAAAACTTTATAGATATAAAGCTCAAAATATTATTTGAATATTAGTGCACAGTTACACATCGTTAAGGAGAGTTACGAAGATAAATAGAACAAAATGCTTATAAAACATGATAGGGTTTTAGTTAAATAAAAAATAAAAAAAATGATTAGACTCGGAAATATTTCAAGTAAAAGTAAATTCAACTGGTTAGAAGATTGTCTCATACCTTGATTGCATAGTTTTATTCATTTAATATAAAGATATAAGTTTATAATTTCGTCTATATAATATATTTTTAATAAGGTCAAAAAAATAAGTACTCAAAAAAATCGTAAAAACTTGATTGGACAATTAAACCTTGAATTAAACTTATGCGAAATGGAATCAACTGGTATTAAACTTTTAATACTGATTTGAAAAAAAAATACAATATCCGGTAATAATCTCGTTTTGAGAAAGTAAGATTAAGTTGAATAAAATTGTCTGAAGTGTAATTATCTAAGATTACATGATTGGAAAGTGTATGGGGAGAGAATTGATTTTATTGATGGCCATGTCTAAATTATCTACCGATAATTGGCTTTATAGTAGACTATATGTTATTTTCCGTGTAGGAATACGTATTTCAAGAATAGGGTCCTAAATTCATCAAAATCCTCAAAAAAGGCCCTTATTTAATGTAGATGATGGAATAGTCTTTACAAAGTATAGACTATAATAAAATAAGAAATATCTGTATAATTATGAAGAGAGCGATGAGAATGCATCGTATTTATGCAAAGACAAATTTACAGGTAAAAATTCAAATGATGTGACATAAATTAGCATCAAAAACTTAACAAGAGTCAATTCACTCATTTTTCAGTTAAAAAACGAATCATTCAAACAAATCGGTGACTTTGTTATTTTAGAACTTATAAAAGTTTTTAAATGTATTTAGTGGTTGTAGATTTTGTTAAAACAGCCCCACTTTTTAATTCATAATAATTCTGATAGGAAAATATATGATTTTAAGTTTTTTTTAAAATATAAATAAAGGATTTTACTATAATTTAAAAATTATTAAATCTTTCAGGCCATATCCTGATTTGACCTATTACTAAATAGCCTACAAAGGAAAAGAAAAAAAATCAAAAACCCAAAATTTTTAAATATTCAAAAAATGAGAAAAAAATAAGAAAGATAACGCACCAAACATTTGGAACAAACCAAAATAAACTGTCCTGTTTAACCTAGGTTAAACAGCAATAAGTGTCAAAAATATGTTAAACCAGGACAAGACATGTTTTTTAAATTTTAAAATTATATGTTAAACAAATTGAAGGGTCGTTTTTTGTTGCAGTAGAGGGCAAGGGAAGACCAGGGCTAGTTTGGATACTTTTCTTTCAAACCTGAATAAATTCAATAATATTAGATTAATATAAGACATCTTCTGAATCATAGAAATATACTCTATTTGAAAAAGTTAATATAGATTTTTATTTTATAAAGAGGACTAAATATAAAACAAATTATCTTTTTGATATTGATATAATAGAAGATTTAACATGCAATAATTAAGTAAACTGAATTTGGAGATTTTAAAAATTTTTGTAAAGAAAAATTAAATATTAATTTAAAAGTATATTATATTATAGATTAATTGTCAGATTGAAAAATAGGGTATAAACTTTTAAATTTATTTATTAATATTTTAAACGCTTTATTTATAAATCTAAACCACAATGAAATTATTTTTTGCTACCTTTGGTATTCTAAAACACATCCTTTGTAAAAATTGAAATACAAAACACTTTTCAAATTTTTTTTAACTAATCATATGCAACCTAATTAATTATATTAGGGTTAAATTTTCAATTTTTTTAGCCAAACATGCATGACGTAATTATAAGTATTAGGTTAATTTCCAGTCTTATAAATTACTAGCTAATTATAATTGTGATGGACTAAGGTTTCCCTGCATTCAACATGCCCTGGTTTTTCGTAACTTTCAATTCTAATAGCCTTCTTTTAGGCACTTGCCTAAAATTATTTAATAATGTGATATGTGAGATGTAAAATTTAATGTGTTAGAAATAAATTTCTAACCTTTTGTTCCTCGGATCCTGCATTAAGGCTTCCATAACTTTGCAGATCATAGAGACCTTTACTAAAAGAACTCTTAAACTTTATAGTCGAATTGTAATTTAATTCTGATTCAAATTTGAAATCTCTTTCAACCATTGTGATGTCTAAATCTTGTTTGAAAAATACGGAATGTGAAAATACGTATTTCTCAATGTCATCTGAACTGGCATTTTCGTTATGTATTGATCTGCACCACCAGAGAGAGGGGCTATGAAAAATAATTTTTAAATGTTTGTTGTTAGTTTGATTAATCAAAAAATACAAATCGGCTTCCATATAGCATCCAAATTAGCCCCCCCCCCCCCCAATATAAATTTAAAATGAATAATTATAAAATAAACATTTAAAATAGGACTTCAATGCATATAATAAATAATACACGAACTGATTTTCCTAACCCCAAATTGTCCTAGAAATTTTGCCAAAACAAAATAGCTAATTAATACGAATAAAGGATAGAACCAACGGTATATATATGTGCTAAAGAGAATATTAGTAATTGAAATATATTCGTATAACAGTAATATTTTATATATGGTTCTTATCAAGAAAGCTCAATAATAATATAAGAAAAACTTGTAATATGATATATACTAGTTCATTAAGATGGTTATATCTTAATTGAAGAAATTGAATGAACCTTTTAATGATAATCTATACAAGTGATTGATTTGAAAATTAACATGAAACGCTTATATGTCCGATATAGAGGGGTAAAAGTATGTTCTGTAGTTATAAAGTATTTTATTGGGAAAGGAACATTTTTAGAAGATATTTAAGACGCCATCGTGAGAATTTTAAAAATTAAAATATTTTTTATCATTCTAATAATATTATACATTATGTTTCAAAATCTCCATACATCGAAATACATTTGGTAGACATCTTTAGATAAGATCATAAGGTTTCTAATTCATATATTCAGGCGAACAATTTAAAAAAAATAAATATCATGCAATCTGATTTATAACATTAATAAGAAAGAAACGCTATATTTTATTATATAAAAAATAAAATATTAATCTGGGGTAGAAGGGTCTCATAAGTAATATAGTTTAATGGAAAACAAAATTTAGGCGATTTATGGAGTTTGAAACTTCTAAAAATATTAAAACTTAAGAATATATGTATAATACCAATGCAGTAGAAGAGTTAAGCTATCGTTTCTGCTATCGGAGGTCTGTAAATTTTTTAACAAGAATCCCACCCAGGCACCATCATGAGAAATATTTAACAATTTGTTTTGAAACTTTATAGGTCTCCTTACCAGAGCCACCTTACTTCCGTTTAGCGCTTCTAGACTATTTTCTCGTTCATATGACTTTTGTATTTTTATAAAAAATAAAAAAATTAACTAAAAATAAATATTGTAGTAAAAAGGAAATTTTTTGAATTTTAAAAACTTTGTAACTTGTTTATATTTATATTAATTATATAAGACCTTTTTGATATCCAAAATAGGAATATAATTTATTTTTTCTTAAACCAAAACGAATATCGGTTCGGTTAAACGTTATGTCCGATTCGTAAATTTAATTATTTCGCTTTGGTTTAAACTTTAAAAAATCAATTCAAGTCCTTTCGTCGCCTTCAAATTAATTACAATTATGTATTGAGAAACACATTTTTTTAAATTTTATCACTAAAACTCGTAAAAAAACTAATCTTTATTTTTATAATATTTCTAAATTTTAAAAACAAGCATGGTATTAATTAACGATAGAATAATCTCCCTATTACTAATAAGCCTTATACAATTAATATTATCAATATTCTTTTCTGTCAAATTATATATCTAAGGAAGAAGTTCAAATTTTATGGTTGAGATCAGTGTTGTTAAACGCTCGATTTTAACCGATATTTTATTTAGAAAAATATTAGCAAGCCTTTAGTCATAGATGGCACAAACGTTTGCACATCTATTAATGATATCTCAAGGTTTGGGCAATATTTTGTTTAGTAACACTAGTTGAGATAACTTTGGCAGCCGATGCAGTCAAATAGAAATATATAAAAAAATATCTAAAAATTACTATTTATATTTATCAATAAAATTATTTTGACTACCTCACTATTTTGACGTCATTTTTACTACGGTATCATAATAATATTATTTATTTACCTCATAGTTTATTTTTATGATTGCCTCGTTAATTGTCAATTCTCCAGTTCCCTTTGTGTTGTTCCCGTCATTCGAGCAAATTATATTTAAATCAAAGGTGTTTTCATTGTACACGGTTAATTTAAGAAACTTCGTTGATTGGTTATTCGAAAATTTATAGGATAATTTCGGGAAATCTATATTAGGTTAAATGAATTTTATATTTAAATAAATAGATTTGTATACTTATATCAGCTGGTTAAAATGTAGTATAGCAATAATATAATTATTTTGAAAATAAAACTAATTTGTTTCCTAGAGTCAGAAATTTTTTTCTTTTCTATATTAATAAATAGTTATAAAGATTACCATCTACACTGTACTCGAATTTACTTTCGAGTAAATAATTCTTATTCAAACGATTTGACAAGTTATTTTGATCCTTTGCGTTGTTATTTCCGGTAAAGATTGTTTCACCGCTTAAGCGCAAAAAATGTTGCCTATATATAATGGAGGGGCAAAAACATAGGTTTAATATATAAAGAAAAGAGATATCTGTAAATCCATTTAGTGAATAATCCGTTTTATGTTTATAAAGATCGTTTTCAAATTACGAATTATAAATCTCAAAAGTATTTAAAGTTCTAGTATTAATTATAAACCACTTGTTGTTTTTTTTATTACTTTTCATCCAAAGGTTCAAAGCTAACTTCAAATTCGAGTGGATTACCGCTTAAAGAATTGTATTTACTATTATAGGCATACTCCATTTGATTGAATTCTTCCCTTATGCAGTAGTTAAAACTTAGAAAATTTGACATGGAAAGACAATTCTTATCGGTGTAAGGGTGTACAGGTCCATTTATGACCTGACCTTGTTTTATGAGGTATAATTTTTTCCTTTTTTTAGAAAAATAAAATATAAATTATGTATATAATAAATTTATTATGAAAAGTATCAACCTAAATCAATTTATGACAAAAATTTTATTTCATGGGCCTATATTTTTTTTTATAAATATTACTTGTATTTTATTAAAGAAATGGGTTTTGAAGGTGCGCTTATTTTGATGGAAAAATTTCCATTCTTGCTATATATCTCCGGAGCTAAGTTGACATCAGAACTAAATTTCAGAAATCTTTGTAAGCCTAATGCTGTTTTCGGACCTATTACAGTAGATTGCGCGTCGATTGAGAGGGTTAAGCTAATATACATTATTAAAAATTATACGTGTATGTCTTAGACGTTTCCAGGATTTTGCAAAGGGGTGGGGGGGGAGCACTATTAGATGAAATTTTTCTCCATATATTTATTTAAGATCTTCAAGTTCCTATTGTAGACCTTTGACTATATTTGATTTTTATAAAATTTGGGTTTTTCTTTTTTATTAACATCCTTATTTTAAAAAGTTATTAACTTAGCTAATTTTTTTTAAAAATTCTTCCCTATAATGATATATTATATATATTTTTGGGGGTGAGGTGAAGAGGGGGGAGGAGGTGTTTGTGGGGAGAAATATTTATTGGTTTATAAGTGGGAATTTTTCCCCACTGGTTACGTGCCTGGTGTATGTTATGTTAAGTATTATAAATATCATATCATTTTAGCCACTAATTATTAATTATATTTTCCCTTATTTAAAAAATGTTATATACAAAATAATATATCTCTCGCCATTTATTTTGTAAATTTATTAAATTATCTTAATATTAAAAATATTACCGACCTTCGATGGAGGGCTAATTTTATTGGATCGGTAATTTGGTCCAGCTGACCCGATTTAAATTTGTTGATAAAAACAGTCATCGCGCTATTCACTGACAAATGATGGGTGAAACCGGAATAGGTAGGTAAAGCGGTATTTAATTCAATGTGTTTAATCAATCTTTTCAAAATAAAAATAGTAATAAACTGTTTAATTCCGTTTTTTTATTTATATTTGTTGTGAACTCTAAATTTTCTGAATATTGAATAAATTATCTCTCATTTTTATGATTTTTTTTTAAAAATCTTTTATAATTTTATTAAATATAACATTTAAAATTCTTTTTTTATACCTTAGCACGTTAATGTCGGTTTCGATAAATTTGGAAAATGGTTCTACTTTTTTGTTATCGAGTAAACATTTCATGCCTTTTAACAAATCCACGTGATCAAACTCTTTGCCTTTGATTAGTTGTTATTTTATGAAAAATTATTTTAGAAATTCAACAAAAAAAAGATCAAAATATTTCAAGTATATATATTATAGCATATATTTTATTTTAGAGAAGTTATCGGGGACCTTTGTATTATTAGACCGGCCTGTAGTGATATAGTAATTGTAATTTATTTCAAAAATTTTTGCTTGATTCGATTTTGTATTTTTTTTTAAATCTTGCCACTTATGTTTGATAACCAGTCTAATTCGATTTTAAAATGTATTTCTTCATCAAAATAGAATCCTATCTTAACTCATAACTACATTTAACAGAAGTAAAGCTAAAACAACTTATTAAATGAGCGAATTTACATATACACAATTATAATAATTCTAAACCTAGAACTTTGAAGAACATAATAGCTGGGTTTTTTTCGTTGTCATCTTTTTCGATTATTCTCCTGAAATCCGTGTGAATTTTATTTAAGCTATTCTTAATCGTGGGATCAGACATGGAAGAAGTAAATATACTTTCTAAATGTTCTGTTGATAAATTTGGCAAATCCTTTGGGAAAAAAATTTCAAAAATATATATAAATGAATTGCTTTTTTTTAATAGTAAAAATAAAAGATATTTTTAGATTAATTTTATACTTTATTTTTAAATTTATTTGAAACTTAAAGTAAATTGATTTAAATTTAAAAGTGATAAAATAGTGTCGGTTCTAACTTGTTACTAAACTGTCGGCTATTTAGCTGGCTGCTCCGACTAAATAACTTAAAAAAAAAAAAATAATAAAATATTATAAAAAACGAACAGGACAAAAAAAACAATAAACGAAGATAAAATACGAAAAATCCCTGCCACCATTTAAACAAACCAAAATAGAGTATCCCAGTTCAAAAGCTGACAATAAGTATCAAAATTAATTAGGACACAGCCTAACTATACTATCACTAATTAAGTTTGAAGGTTTTAAAATTTTTTTATAAAACACTAAAAAAATAATGAAAAAATTTTATTATATAAAAATTGAGTAAGACATTACCGGAAAGTTTTTAGCTATATAACTTCGTAGAGCATCCACCGGTTTGCTGAAGGCCGAGTACAAATCAAATATGTTGAAACTATAATCTTCTTCAGGCTTATTTTTTCCCGATAAAGCAAGCAATGCCTTTTCCAAAATGGGCCCGGCACCGGCTACCCCTACCTCAAAAATAGGATAAAATTTGGCATCGTATTGCAATATAAAATAGGTTATTATGTATTGAGGCGCGTAACTTTCCTTTTCGAATATCACATGAGTGAATAGATGCATAGCTTAATATAACGCATTAAAAAAAATATAAATTATTATGTAATGCTATTTATGAGGAAAGAAAAATAGACATCTAAGTTATATTACAAAGATTTTATCTGCTAAAATGTAGTTATATGGCTAGGTTATAATTTTTATAAACTTATAATTTGACTTCTAGTAAAATGATTCATTTTATATTTTGACGGATAAAATAAAACAAAGTATTTAAATATATGATAATTTATAATATAAGCAATCTACCACTCGCTAAATAACATTCAAAAATAATATATTTTAAAATGATCTATTTTTACTAACATAATGGTCCTATAAAGGGGGAGTGAAATGGAATGCTTTTCAAGTAAGCTTGTGAGTGGGTCAAATAATGTTTCGATGACATGTCCGGGATTTCAGGAAGATCTGCCAAATGCATTTGCAATGACAGTTTAAAACTTTTTATAGATATAAATAAATGTAATATAATGTATATCAAGTGAACTTTATTTTTTTAAGGCTGTGTCCAAACTATTTTAAAAATAATTCAGAAAGTTTTTAAACTTTCGTAAATTTTAAAATTTTAATGAAATCATATGCTTAATTGTTGGAAATAATAAAATTTTCTAGAAATAAGTTTGGGACACATATTTTTATTTTTATATTTGAAATAGCTTATTTATTTTTATTAAAGTTTCGAAAGTTTATGAATTTAATTTTTTGATATTTTGGACATAGCCAGTCAAAATAATAAATCTTAAATCAATATTATATCAATATATTTTTATCGTGGCTCCAGGTTTCCCTTCCATTTAAATAGGGTTGAATTGGTTTCTGTTACCCATCCCTCATTTCTCCTGCTGCCTTTATTCCTCAATATTAAGAATTTCGACCTAGAACGATATTTAGACTTGAGTGAGCAATTGTCAACCTGGCAATATTTGACCCACATTCCCCCTCCAGAAAAGCTTGGATATTCCCCTGTGTCTCACCATTAAACAATGCCCCATTCTAAATTCCAAATTGGGCTACGGATGGCTGTCTGCTGTTCCAAGCCCAAATTTCGATCTTCTTCTCACTAATGAAGAACCTCATATTGTTGCTTCGCTTCGTCTCGGGCGTGATATATATCGCTTACTTCCAAATGCATTAATTGTTCCTTACCATGTGATTCCAACACCATTCTTTACATTGCAGATATTTTGAGGCGTCTTTCACTACTACAAACATGAATAACTTGATGCAAAAAGCTCTTGAATGGGCCAGTAATCCCAATACCTTAGAGCCCAATTATTCATGCTCAAGCAACAAAGGAAGACCATGGTTCCAGTTTAATATCTTTGTCTTATGGATTTCCAATTGCTTGGAATTACAAATATATCGATTTTACGGCACGATTTAACAGAATTACCTCAGCAATTTATTAAGCGGAAATATTGAAAATAAAAATCATCGAACTTGATTTTTATCCCACTTGTCACCAATATTCTTGGTGATTTGGGTGAGGAATTCTTTAAATTTATCACATTATTTGGTATAAAATTAGCTATTAGGCAGTGTTATAAATCGGCTTAATACTTAATAGTCAGCTATTTAGTAGGCTTCGGCTAAATATCCAAAAAAGTAAAAAAGAAATTAAAACTAAGTAAGAAAAAAATAATATTTAAAGCATGCCGCTAATTTAATTTTCTAAATAACGATTGTACATATCAGTTTAAATTATATTAACATGACATGCAATACCGTAGAGTAATGGCCCGTCTGAAATAATTATCCTCATATATTTTTAGAATTGTGTTATCATTTAAAAATTTTTTAAATGAATTTCACTCTTTATCATGGCGATTCTAACATATTTCGTCTATTTGAAATCTTTTTTGAATCATCAAAGGGTGCTGGAGCATATATTAACTGTAACATTTCCATTAAAATTATTTCCTCTATTTTAAGTTATAAAAAAATTATATTTAATAAACTTGAAAAGTAACTTAAAAAGTAACTAGTTAATTCGGTTTATATTTGAAAATATGCCACTCATTATAGTGCCTGCGCATTTTATCAAATTCGAAAATAACTAAATAATAGTGATTTATTAGCAAAATTACATCTCCAGTAAATCTAACTAGCATTAACAACACTATTCAAATTTTAAAAAATTGTACATTTCCATATTATAAAATTTTATATCAAATTCATTTTTTAAAAAAAATCGTGAAAAAATTTCACCTTGCATGAATTGCTAGTCAGACATTAAGAGTACTGGACTAACTGAACTATTAAGATAAAATATTTTTAATTTGTATATTTTATGAGTCAAATGAGGTTAGTTGTTAATCTACTTATTATGCTATTATGATGATATCAGGATGTGGTAATGTATACACTTTTATGTTAAAATAAACAAAATTAGGTCTATTTGTACATAGAAATTAAATTTTTTACAAAAATATATATTATATACTGTATATATTTAATATTACTAATCAGAATACATCATTCTATAATTATGTTATTTTACTATTCAATTTTCTCCCTTTTAGATCTAAAACAAATGTTTTAAACAATTAAACACATAGAAAAAAAATTACCTTTTATGGCTTTTAAGTATACTTATTTAAAAAATGACGAACTTGTTCGTACTTAAAACAAACCAAATTAGGGTGTCCTTGTTCAAATACTTTATAGCCTTTACTAAAAAGTAATTAAGTATCCAAATTAAGCCTACCTAAGACAGAGCCTTACGGTGGATATATATCAAAGTAATTGAATAACTTTTCGTGGTTCCATATAGCACTTACCCTTTTTATTCCCTAATTTAATTGTGTTTTTTTTTAAATTTTATATATAATCGGTATATTTTTATAATTGTGAATTGTTTTTTTTAATATCCCCTTTACTTTAAACTTGTTTTAAATATAAGAATATCTTTAAAAAAATAAAAAATATTATAACAATATAAAAGGCTCATTTTTACCTAATGATATTTAATACTTAAAATAGTTTAAAGACTAATAGAAAATATTTTTTTTAACCGATCGGGATAAAAATGATTCTAAATTATTATTAAAAAGATTTTGGACAAATATGAGTTGATTACCGATTTAGAACATTCTTCTATTTCTAGGTCAGAGACTGAGGAAGATAAAATTTATAAAATTTTAATTTATATAAATCAAATTTTAAAAATATTAAAATAAATTATTATGACAAACTCTTCGTAAAATGGTTCCTTCACGCCCAATATTATTTTGATGTAGGATGAGATCAATGTATTCAACTGACTGCCTTCCTCTTCTGAATACCAGACTTTCATAGCAATTCCAGCCGTTTCAGGGCTGGATACTAATTGCAAAAAAGCTGCCCATCTCATGGCGTTTGGTAGGCTAGTGTTTTGCAATATTGTTTTTACCGTTTGAGTTAATGATTCCGAATTTGGGGCGTGATGAAGTGTCTTTAATTTTAATACATAAAAATTTCAATGGAGTATCAATTTCTATATATTTTTTTACCAATGACATATAATACTTACCGTGACTGACGATTAATTTATCAAAATGCATTTTTAAGCATACTTGTATACGCCATTTTGGTTTTCGATATAAAAAATTTTATAACTAAATAATGGGAAACCCAAATGGCATGTCACCCCTGATATTGATTACACATTAAAAATGAATCAATGATCTAAGGAATATTATATGTCATTGGTCTCAACAGTACTTAAAACTACTCCTAAAATGTTCACAATAAATCCTAATTTTTTTATTTCGCGTAATAGTAATGTCTGTCTTTTTTTTAAAAAAAAATTTATCACTCCTATGCCTAACTATTGCCCATTTAGCTTGATTTTGTTGATAAGTTTAAATCCTTTACATTTCTATATATAAAATAAATTCTTATTTTGACACAACACCCTTAACTAATATTTATTATACATGAAAAACAAAAACGCTTTATATTGTATATACTTATTTTTTGGTATTATATAATATAGACTTTTGTTTTGTAATTTATTAGATGGGACTGGGGAATCAATCTTTTATAAAATAATATATAAATATTACTTCAACGGCCGCTATTTTGATAAGATAGGAGTTTTTATCATTTAAAGCGCATCTTTTAAGTTTTTCTACCAATGCTGAATCCACCTTTTTCAGAACGTCTCCAGTATTCAAGATACCCTTTAGTGCTGATAGCTGGAGTAATACTTTCTCCTGTTGTGTTATTAGGTTACTTAAGAAAATAAAATTATTCAGTTTTATTTGATTTTTATATAAAATGTCTATCATTAAATTTTTGTTATGCTAACTAATAAATATAATGTTAAAAAGAAACTCATAGAGTGGAGTGTTTAAAGAACAATCTTGCTCAATATATTTGCTCAAAATGGTATAAGCTTTATTCAAAGCGTCTGATAATGTGGCCTGGTTTTGTTTCTTTTCATAAGAAAGATAATAGTAATCCATCGAAGAGCCCAGCGCATATAAGAGATTTTTATTGATGATATTGTTGCTTAAATCCTATATATATTTTTGTTTAATATTATAAATGTTGGACAAAGAAAGTAAATAATTATTATAAATATTAATCGACTATATAAGAGAAATCTAATTGATTTGTCAGAGGGAATAACTACAAACTGTATAGGTCTTTAACTTAATGAATCTGCCGCTGACATAAGCGACTGCAGAAAAAATATATATGTAGGGTCAGTCCGGGTATTCACTGGCTTTATTTATTTATAACTAACAAAGGTTATATAATGCAATATTTTATTATACTTACCATAATATATTCCAATGTTATGAGATCCGGACTTGTGATCAGACCTATTTTCTCGGCAATCAAATCGATTTGCTCCTTTTGCATGATCTCTTTACTCTTGACCAACCTGACTAACTCACCTACGCAATTATTTGTGGCACATTGAGTTAAACCATCAAGATAAGTGCTCTTTATATTCTTTTTATTTTGTAATAGAATTATTTTATAAATAATTTTGTTAGACATATTAATATTTTAACCAAAATATTATTTTTTTTTAAAATACCTTCCCATTTTTAGAACAAATCGAGCCCAAAGTCAATTGACAAAATTGGTCAGAAAATATTTTTTGACTCAAATCTTGTAAAGCCTTTAAATCCGATCCTCGCAAATCTGATAATAACCTATCGAAAAGCTCCCCTATGTCGTCTAATTCACTTTCAACAACCGTTTTAACCACTATATCTTTTATAATTTCTTCGGCTGTAGTATAATATAATTAATATATAAAAATGCAATAATAAAATTGGCACAGACCTGCAGGCCAGGGCCGGACCGAGCCAGGTCGTATTTTAATTTTCCATTCCCTGGCCAGGCCTAAAAAAATTTTAAATGCTCTGGCTGGGCTCGCTCTCTATTTTAAGACAAATTATTTTAAATCGCCATTATTAGCAACGAATACTAAAAATAAATGTAAAAACGAACTAAAAGAAATATAATAAATAATATTGCCTTTGCGAGAGAGATTAGAATTAGTGGTAGGTGGCACATATATATCAGTAGCTTGGTAATATATGTTTGATCTTATAAAATTATCCCATTTGGCCGTCCAATCCGAGGTCGTTCCCGGCTTTTGCTCTAACAAATTGAAATATGTCCTGTTTGTCAAAAAGTGATGAAAAAATAAAATATTTTGCATAATATTATCGATATATATAACTATTCTAAGGTAACTAAATAGTACCCATTTAAACACATAAAGTTCCTTTTCAAAGATATATTGTCATTTTTAGATACACAATTGGATGGAGAGAAGATATTTTAAAATAAATAATCAGAAATTCTTATAAGTGGGTGGGGGGGGGGATAATTATTTATTTTACAATTGATAGCACCGTCAATAAAATAGATGACATTAAAATATTTCCATTCGAGCAAAATATTATAAAAATAAAGTAAGTATAACAGAGAACTCTGCTCGAATAATCCAGAGCTAATTATCTGAAAATAAGGGTAAACCTTACAGTCATATTACTACCGACTATAGCCACTACGTAATTTTCTGAACAATTCACTCTATTTAAGACAGCATCAGGCTTCGATATCACATATCTGCAACGTACAGTTTGATCGACGTAAATGTTAACAGTCATCTAAGATTATGTTATTTTTTTTTAAAAGACAATGTTTAAAATATCAAAATTTTGCGATGAAATTCTTCATAAACTGACTATTCATAAGAACAGGATGAGTGAAGGGAGGTTATTTTTGGACTTATGCTTAATTATTTAAGAACCCATGATGATTAACATGCCATAAATTTAGTAGAGAGATGTTTCATTGTGAAATCTTCTAAAGATGGTGCAAATATATCAAGCCTATCCTTCGAAGATAAATCTATAAAACTAGCAATGATCAACCTATATTTAATATTAATTCGTTTCAATTTTGGGAAAAAAATAATTGTTTTCCCATCTTATTAAGCAGGCAGGCGATAAACGATTTTAACATTCAAATTCTTAAAATAATATCTATAAACAAAATACAAATGTTTAAATTATTACTTCCATTTTCAAGTAAGACAATGGTGACTTCACCAATGCTCCCAAAAAATGATTGTTTTCGCAAGTCTTGGGATATTTTATCATATTTAAAATTTCACTGTCATTGGCATTTGAGAAATATCTGTTAGAAGCATATTTCGTCAAACATTTCCCTCTAACGTCATCCTTAAAAAAATATTTTTAGCAATCATTATAAGTGTTATAATTAAGGGATTTCTAATAAATCATATTACGTATAATAGTGAATGTCAATGACCTTCTTTAGTCCTAAACAAAAGGAGAAAGAAAGATCTGCCTGAATAGAGATCCCAAAAGCTCAAATCATTTACTCAAAACTTTTTTAATTATATTAAGAATTTAATGGATCGATTTTAAAACTGTATATATAGTTTTTCCCAAAATAATAAATTAACTAGCTCTATTAATTAAATCTTATTATGAATATGAATGCAATGTATAATAAGTATTTATACTAGAGATCTGCAAAGTTAGACCCGGCCCGGGCCGGACTCGGGCCTAATTTTATTTAAAATAGTCGGGTTCGTGCCGGGCCTAATATTTTTAAAAAAAATTCGAGCCGGGTCGGGTCGGACCTTGGAAATTTTTTTAAATATATCTCTAAATTTATCAATTTTATATTGAATTTTTTATGTAAAATAAAAATATTCGATTTTATTTATTGAAACTAAACGACATATAACATATGACTTTTATTTTGAGTAATTATAATAAAGATTAATTTCTATATTTAAATAAATTCGGGCTGGGCCAGGTCGGTAAATTTTTTTTAAAAAAAAGTTCGGGTTCGGGTTCGGGCCGGGCCGGCAAAACTTTTTTTAAAAAAATTTCGGGTCGGGCCAGGCTTGAAAAAGGCCCGATGCAGATCACTAATTTATACTGCCAAAATGTTAATAACAAATATGTGCATTATAATAATAATTAATTATTAATATTAAGATTCAAATCTAGATATTAGGAAGCTGTGGCCTCACTAGGGTAGTGCTGCTATTGGGGGCTTCATGTCCTGTCTAAATTTCGAGCCCCTTTAAAAATAAAATATCTAAATTTTACAATTTTTAGAATTTTTTAGAACCCAATCTTTCCCTTGATCCGATTTTATAATTTTTTTTCTCCAATAATCAATTTAATTGAACAACAATAATAAATTAATAATCAAATAAACATGGCAATAATTTAAATTACTACAAAAAAACTGAAGATATATAACAATCAGAAATAATCATGCTGATAGCCATATCCTATTGAAAATTTACAAATAAAAAACTTCTAGGTAATATTTTTTTCTGGAATGGTTAAATTAAAATTCTTTCACTTAATTAATATAGTCTTTCCTATCTATTATGCCACATAATTCTGGTATTAACTTTAAAAAAAGAGGGATTATTGTAAAATTTTGAAAATATGACTTTATGAACCATCTGTGTTCATTATTTATTACCAAAACTAAATTGCTACATTTGGAAATATTTTGATTTTAACTTCACATATTAACGAATCTAATTTAGACGCAGTATGTCTTATGACAATCGTGATATCAATGTTAGTATTTAATATTAGCATTGGGTGCATTAAAAAGAATACTTTAGCAAAAACATTCTTCTGAAAATGGATGATCTGAATGCGAAATCTTTTATTAATACTCTTATAAAAATACATTGCAATAAAATTTAATTAAAGGGACATGTGTGCCATAGTCCTGCGATGCAAATGTGGAGAAAGGCCACATTACTAGTGAAAAAAGGTCACCTTATGGAGTGCAAGATTCAATAATTGTTTATGTGCATTGCTTATGTCTATAAGCTAAAAATTTAGTATTTATAACTATGAAATGACCAGAAATCCTATAATTTTATTAAAGATTTTACTAAAAACTATATCGCTTAATACATTTCATCACACTCATATTTGTTTAGAATAGCATTTAACCTACCATTTATAATAAAGGTCATTTTTTGCAAGAAAACATATAAAACTTTAGTTGTTAGAAACAATTGAATGGCACTCATTTATGAATTTAACCATATCATTAAAAAAAAATTGTACAATATTTGTGATCCTATTATAGATGAAAAATGCTCTATATCTTATAAACATATTTAGTTCATTTTATCACTCTTTAGAACCAAGTTTTTTTTAAAAATATTTGCGTAGGCTAGTTCAAAAATAGCAAAAAATTTATTTCGAAAACTTTATCAAAAAACGCGAAATAAATTTATTTTGAATTAAAAAACGTGGGCAAATTTTTTAAAAGTTTTGCAAAAATTTTAAAGCACCTTAAAGTTATAGAAGTTTTGAATGAGATTTTTAAAGCCGTAACAAACATTGGCGTACGCAGCGGGGGGGGGCAGGGGGACAAATCCCCCCCCCCCCAAGCCAAAAAATGCAGATGCCAAATATATTTTTCAAAAATATTATTGTTTATATTAATTTATATTTGTTAATATTTATTCGTATCTCATATTAAATATAAATTTTATTACAATTATATTATCACATTCATAAGTTATTTTATCAATTAATTTCGATTTCAAATTTTCCGGCGTAATATTTACTTATTATTTTCAAATTTTTAGTAGCGTAATATTTATCTACCATTTTCAAATTTCTAGTCAAATAATAATTATTTCTGAAACTTCTGGTCCAACAGGGAAAAAGAAATTGCAACCTTGTCCAATGAGATAGAGCCTCTTCCATCAAGCACTAAAAGCTAGTAAGAGTTAGAAGAGCCAATTATTACTGAAATATCAAAATGGCCTGAAAGAAATATTTACTCAGAAGCAAGCAAAATTTGATTCAATGCTTATTTCAAATTTTATTTCTCATTAGAATGTATTATTGAATTATACAACTATTTTAAATATTACTTTTCAAAAACATGACATTGATTTGATTAAGAAGATGAGAATAGCAGAGAGCATTTTATCAGAACTCAAGGAAATTAGGGCTAATGTTGATGAAGAATTTCATATTTTATATTTTATTGTTGAGTCTAAAGCCGAGCTATGCGTGTTTAATATTTGTCTCCCTCGACTTGTAGCAAGGCAAGCTCATCGTTAAAACATTAATATAGGAACAGTAGAAGAGTATATCTTAAATACAGATACATTTATAACCCAAATAAATAAATTTTTAATTCACATGCAGCACTTACTAATCTGCAAATATTACTTCCACAAAAGCCTTCCCAACCTTTTTCAGATGGTGATAGAAAAAAAAATATTTGTTAGATTATTATGAAGATGTTAAAGTATCTTATGATGCCTTACTAGCTGAATAACTATGTTTATAAGATTAACTATAGTTGATATAGTTCCAAAAAATGCTATGGATGCTCTGCATTATTTCAAACACATTTTAGATTAAATTCCCAATGTATTAAATGGGTTTATAAACTCTTCCCATTAGTAAACTAATGAGAGAACACTCTCTTTTTTAAGAAGATTAACAGAGGCCTGCAGAAGTACCATTTTCAGGGCACTGCCCGGCTTTTTTTTTAAATAAAATTTTTAGGCCCGGCCCGGATTTTTTTAAAATAAATTATATTTATTTTTGATTTTTATAGCTAATAATAACGATTTCTAATATAGGCTGTTTTAAAAAATACATCCCGGCCTGGGTGTTTTTTTAAAAATATTCAAGTCCGGCCCGGGTGTTTTTTAAAAAAATTTCGGGCCCGGCCCGGGTATATTTAAAAAAATTACTGCAGGTCTCTGAAAAACATACCAAGAAGTACAACATGTGAAAGTAGATTGAAAGGTTTGGATTTTTTGAATATTCATAGGCATTTGACGACAAGCAAGGATGAGATAATTGAAAAATTAGTTCAATCCCAACGAAGATTGGATTTTACATTGTAAATATATTACATACAAAATACAATTATTCCTAAGAAACTTTTTGTGTAAAGGCTCAAAAAATTCATTTAAATTTCTATTTTCGGTCATTTAAGTGATTCTTTACATATAATTTTTTTATAATTCACATTAATTTAAAATTGTGTATTAGAAATAGTTATTAGTCCTAATAAATTTATGCTTGATATTTTTAAAAAACAATAATATTTCTTAAAAAAATTTATTGTCTCCCCCAGACCAAATTCCTGCGTACGCGCCTGGTAACAAATAACTTGCTATAAAAAAATATGGTATAACAAAGAATTTAAAAATATTCGTTAAATATTATTGTAACATTTAAAAAATTGAGTACAAACACTTTGGTCCCTAGAAACTGAAAAGTCTAAGGCCCCCTTTTGGTAGACACGTGCAAATGAGTCAATTAAATGCCATTTATATGAATAATGATATGGTAGGAAAATGATTTCGAGCATTTAAATTGGGCATTATAATACTCTTATATTTTACTATTATTTCTTAAAACCCGTATTAAATTCTTATAAATTTGTTTTAGTTGGAATATTATATTATATTTTTTTTTGTAATAATGTAGTATACCAAATTCCATAATTGCGACGTTATATTGTCCGTATTTTTGGGAAGGTAGAGACCAGATATGATAGATTTTTTAAAATTAACAATATTTGCATCCTCTTTCGGGTGTGAGTAAACATCGGTTATTGAATCATTAACGATTTTGATTAACGTATAGAAACTAAGTAGAATATATTTTTTTTATATTATTAATGTAACATGAGAATATACATAGTTTGTTTATTGATCTATTATATAATTAAGAGTGAATTTTATATAGTTTTCAAAAGAAATGTAATACTTTTATACAAAAAAATGTCAATAAGTTTAAAATATATTTATACTTTTCAAGATCACCAATATTTTCAATGAGTGTTTGGTTCACTGGGCCTTTGTCAAATTCATTTGTCAATTGTTGAAATTGGCATCTACTCAGCTTCAGAATAATATGTTTTTTTAAAGGATAATATATATATTTAATATCAAAATATAAAATGTCTTAAACAAAAGCTAAGCTTAGGGTCATTGAAAATGATTTACCTCTATATGATATATTAGAGATATCATTTAATTTATATTAAATTTGTCACAAGTATAACTTAAAACAAAGGAAAACTTTAGCAATATTACTTTTATTCAAGGTAAGGGCAATCGAGATTTGGGATTAGCAGTTATCGGAAGAAAACTTCTGGTCAACAAATGAAGAGAAAATAAAAATGGTAACAAAAACAACATTTTTACTTTAGCCGAAACCTAAGCATAAGCAGACATGAATGCAACAAAATATGTTATTGTTCTTCTTACGTTCACGGTTTATTATTAGTTTAACTTATAAAATAGTTTTACATACCTGGTTTTATATAATTATTACGGATAATTAAATAATTTTGAAAATATCTTAGAAATCATTCCAATCTACCGGCGAAATTTAATGTACCTTAAATCGAATAAGGCAATTAGATGGCCCTTGCTCGATGGTTATAGCGCATTTTGTTTTGATTTTTATGCTGGCTGGATACGATTGAGCCTGTGCTATATACTCATTTATAATCTCGCTCTCGTAACTATACTTATAAATGATGCCCGGTTTAAAGTAGCTATCTGTATATTAAAAAATGCAAAGTCAATATTAAATTAAACCTGTAAATTATATATGATTTATAGACCAATGTTTTAAAAAGTTTTTGAAAAAAAACACTATTTATATATAGCGGGCATTTCTTTTAATACATATTTGGAAAACTAATTTTTCCCGGCACGGCATTCCAGGAAGTATGGAGCACCTACCCTATATATGAAATAATTTCCTCAATAATCTTAATAAATTTATCTAAAAAATTGATTAATAAGGAAAAATATTAGTACACAATTTCAGGGATAATCAGGTTCTTTCAAAATTACAAAAATGAGAGCTAAAATAATTTAAAAGTTTTAAAGATTCGCTAAACCCCAGATATTTACTAAACCACCACATCATAATATATTACAACAATGAAATCGAAGTGCTTAAATATATAAGCTACCCCATTATTATTTTTTCTTAATAAATTGAGCCATTCCTGGGAATTCATAGAGTATATAAAAATGTTATTTAAAAAATAATCTATAGGTTTTATATTTTTTTAAAGTAATTTATTAACATTTTTTAAACTTTTCAAATTTAATTATTTTTTTGAATAATTTTTTATCTTGTAAATTTTAATGTAAACTGTCATGTCTTAATGATTAAATCAGATTATAAAACCTATTTCTATTAAAAATTGTGTTAATAACAATACGACCTTAAAAATAATCCTTGAAAGTCTAAATGAAATTAGAAATGATAATTGAAATAATAATTATAATTAAAAATTAGATGATTTTCATCAAATCTTAACAAGAAAATTACTAGCATTCATATAAGCAACTATCTATTGTCTTAAATTTTTATTTTTAGAATCTAGATAACAATCAAATTTCATGTCATATTCATATTATGAAAAAAAAATTCAATGTAACTATCAAAATATCTATCAAATTAACCATAAAATTATAAAATTTCAATTAAAGGAAAAGATTACTTATACAATAATAATATTATAAATTTATTACAAAAAAAAGTTTTCCCCAGAAACATTTAAAGATCCTTTCTTATGATAGAATCGAATAAAAGAATTTTTTTTAAAGAATTTATATGTATTACTTTTTATTTAAAATTTTTAGAGGGAATTAGAAGCAAATTTTTTTTTCTTTCCTTTTTCGTTTTAAAATAAGTGAATAAATATAAATAAAAGAAATACCCGTGTTTTGGCAATTATCGATGGCAATATTTTGAGCATCTATATTTTTTTTTAAATGAAATAAAATAAATTGATATTATTACAACTAGTGTATAACGTTCCTGTTTGCGTAGAAGAAATCTTATAATTTACCATACAATGTTTTGAAACTTGAACCTGAATATCCTGGACAAAATGTTCCAGACAAAATTAACGCGAACAAAAATACCTGGGACTAAAACACTGGACAAAAATACCTTAAAAAAAGACACAGGACAAAATTTTTCCAATTTTTAAAAAAATTATTTAAATTCTTAAAATAGTTTTATCCTGTTTCATTTTATGCCTGGGGTAATTTTTCTCGCTTTTCATTTTGTCTATTACAATTATGTCCTAGTTTCTCTGTTTCCATAACTTCTTAGTGCACCAATCATTGGATTTTTAATCCGTGGTATATATAAATGCTATAAAATACTGAGGTAATAGTTTTTAAAATAGCGTTGCTAAACTGCTCTATTTTTAAAAACGGCTAAGCCACTATTTTAGCCATAAATGTTAAACAAGCCTCGAGATATCGTTAATTGATGTCCAAACTTTTCTGCCATCCTTCAGGCATGCCTAAAATTTTTTGCAAAAATATTGAACTTTGCCGTTTTTAAAAATCGAGACATTCAACAACACTAAACAGAAGTGACTCTAAGTTAATTATAAATCAGTGGTATTTACCATAATATATAACATAACGAAGATGCAGTCCGCTTTATTTTAAGTGAATTCATATTTATTTATTTTTAGAAAATTAATTTTGCCTTTTTAATATAATTATTTTTAATTGACATTATATGATATAAAACTATATTCTACGCCATTTAATAACAATAACAATTAGTTTCAGTGATATCGTATCTGAGGGAATTTAGGTAGTTTAAACTTCCTTGAGAAGTTTGGAAAGCCTCTCTCTAGACAAATTTTGACTTATTTTTTTAAATAAGAATTTTATTTTTTGTTATTATAATAGATTTCCCCCATTCCCACCCCATAATTTTGTTATGATTTAAATGAAACTCTATTCCTAAAAAACAACATAGCTATGCCACTGAATTCTAACTAAAATATAAATTCATTAAAATGTACAATAAATTAAATGATTTATTAAATATGTTATATAAAGAGATAAAATGATTTCGTATAGTTTTTTTTGAAAAGTATCAATAAAGGAATTGAAATTTGGTCAAACTCGTGGGAAATATTTACATTGTTTGTATAATTTTTAAACCTGAAATATATATGCAGTCTTATAAATTTGACAAAATTAACCACCTTATATATGTCAACCTTAAAATAAGATTTCTTAAATCTCGAACCTAAATATAGAAAATGACATATACTCATAGTCATATATTAATTTAACAAAATGGGTAGCCTTCAACTTCGTTACAATATAACACCACCTTTAATACATGGTAAAATATAATAATTACTCCTGATAGATACAATATTCATAATTTTTGTTGAAATTTACACACAATATATAATTAGGGTTGTAAGAGAAGTATTTCTTTTCCACTAGTTAATTAGGTCTACGATTCAATATTATTTTCTAATCTAAGCAGTTTCTTAAGAAATATGTTTAACTATGCTATATCCTACATTGATATTGCTGTTGATGGGCATTATGTTATTCAACGTCTAAATTTAAGTTTAAACAAACCAATTTTTTGAGCCAAACCTTCTTATTACACATAGAGGCAGTGACATGATTAACTAATCTAATAATGAACCTTAATTGATTTGCTTGTTGTATCCAGGTTCTTGGCAATTAATTATATTATGACCTACCCTGAATTCACATTTAGCGCCAATTCGCAGAGAAAAAAATTGGTATTTGAACACTTAAACATGTTACAAAGGATAAAAAAAAATTTTTAATTTTATAAATTTCATAATATTTAAATAATATATAATAAAATTAGACTAAGAAATTTTTAAACATTAGTGTCCAATAGTTTCATGGAGATAACACAACATTTATTGCATGCTTTTTCATCTATTTCTTTTTACTTAAATACGCTTCATTTTTCTTTTGTATATAAATTGCAATAATTTATTCTATGATATCTTACATTCTCTGCACTCTAATTATTTGGATTTTGACTACCTCCTTCTGAAGACATTTTCGGTATGTCAGGAAATAAACTTTAATTGCAAAATTTGTGAAAAATTTTATTTATAAATATTCTACTAAGATAAATTTCCAACTGTTTCTGGATAGAATGAGAGATTTAAGGATATTGTGGAATTAAATCATATTTATTAAATTTTATATATATTGGTTTATTTTTTTTGTTTTGGGTGATTTCATCTATTTCATCATCAATATAAACCCTTTCTCCATGAGATACAAGCTCCATACCTGCCTACCACCTATATTATCTACTACAAAACCTTTACCTTCATCTCTATTATACTCCACACTATGATTTCATGTTTTCCATGTTGCTGAAAGGAAGTTATTTAATAATTTATTCCAATACCAACAATTCTTTAGTGCTTTGTGTCTAAATAAACGTGTCATATAAATAACTATAATATATTTTTTAAATATTTATATGATCTCTACTTTTAAATCAAATAATATCGTATAGTGTAAAATTAATATAAAAATTAAACAATTAATGGGAGAAATTTTTAAAATAATAAATATTCGATTGAGTTTCCAGTGTTCCAACATCAAAACATGAAAAATAAATTAATTGTTCATATGCAATTAATTACAGTGTTGTGATGATTTAATGAAACATATTGACGATTAAATTCAAACCCATTCATATAAAATTATAATATTTGCAAAAATAATTAACAAAAGGAATAATAAAAGAAATTTCAATTATACTTTGTCTGTATTTTTATTATTTTTGCTAATATTATAATTTTATATGAATGGGTTTGAATTTAATCGTCAATATGTTTCATTAAATCATCACAACACTGTATATCTTTTCTAAACAATATTTTAAAAATATTAAATTTGTAAATATTTATATATATATGAAACATATACCTGTTTCATAGTCAATTTAAGAAAATAATTATACAAAATATATATATATAAATAATATAACATCGAATAAAGTAAAAAAGAAAAAATAAAGGAGTTAAAATATTAAATAAAAAAGTTCCAGATCAAAAAAAAAATGAAGGTGTTCCGATAACGGAACACAATCAAAAATGGTTTAATCATTCCGATATAAAAAATATCAAGTTTAAATATTTAGAAACTGTTGTGTACGCTATATTTTATAAAATATTTAGGATTGCTCATAGTGAATTTAAGTTCAGCTAATCAAGTTCTTGCTTCTAACTCTAAAGTGAACTATCTATAAAAAAATTGAATATGAGTTGTTCGATTCATAGGTAATATGAAATTGAAAGAAAGGATGCATTTTTGACACTATAGAATATATATATTTCGCCCTGATTTTATTTTTTTATAGATATAAAGATGTAGTAGGTTACAAACTCTGATCTTATCCAATTTTAGTTTCAAAAATTTCAAATTCATTAAAACAAAAATGAAGTTAAAATTTTTATTTTTTTTATAGTTTTTGTTACCTGTTAAATGGAGATATCGATATGATAAAATTACTATTAGTACTGGTATATATTTGAACATGATAAGGGAAAAAAAAATTGAAAAAATATTTAAAACAAAAACCTTTAAATTTTTTTATTATTATGTAATTTAAAAAAAGAATAACAATTTAATACTAAAATTTTGTTAATTTATAAACTTTTAAAAAGAAATAATTAAATCAAAGGAATTATTAATTTTTTTTAAATAACAAAAAGGATAATTACAAAGAGATATACAGAGGCGACCTCTACTTTATTCCGCCTTTAATCGGGTATCTCCCTGCCAAGATCCTACTTAGAAATATTTAAAAAAAGTTCTAAATATTGAGTACCTCTTTATGCTTACCACTGGAAATTTAAAAAAAAATCATATAAAATTTTTATCTTAATAAATCATGAATTTGAAAGTCAGGAGTTTTAATAAACTTGTTTATACATGTTATACAATTAGAATTTTAGGTCCTAATTTATTGCTTATTCATATATTGTGATAAGGAGAAAATCAAGATAAAACATAACATATTTTATTTTTTAGTCTTAATTCATATCAAAATGAAACAGCATGTTTTAGTTAAAGTTGTCAGAAGAAAGAAAAAAATAATTTTCAATAAAATATATGAGTAGTTTACTACTGATTGTTAAAAAATGATAAGATATATTATTACAAAATGAATATCATATTAGATTGTAATTATAGCAGAGTTGTTAAAAGATACTTTTTAAATGGATCTAGATACAGATACATGGTCTAAAAATTTATCTAGATACAGCTTCTAAAAAGTTATCGAGATACAGATACAATTTATAATGTATCTAGATACAGATACATTTTTTATTATACTCTTAGATAAGGTTTGAATAAACCTAAATTAGGATTCTATTGTGAAAATTCATGAAATGATCTAAAAATATTATTGACTCGATATCACATTTATCAAAATATAACTAAAATAATGATTTTTAAATATTAATATAAATATATGATTAATATAAATAATTATTATATATCATTAATAAAATAATATAATATATGATTAAATGATTATAAATTATTAGATTTCAGTAATAAAATATTTTCAAAATTTTGGTCATTAAGACGTCCTCGTTTATCTGTAAAGACATTTTTAGCTATACTAAAAAGTCTTTCAACAGGGGCGCTGGAAGGGATTGTGGTGTTATATTTAATGAATAACATTTTTATATCAGGATATTGTTTAAAAATATTAAAATCTATCTCGGCATTCATTTTTGAAAAACTATTTAAAATTTGTTGATTATCAGAATTTAAATCATTAACAATCATATCTCCTGCTGTGGGATACTGAAAAAAATCGGATATTAAATTATTGGTTTTTTTCACAGGTTTATGATTCTGATATTCCAAAATCCTGAGCATTAGTATAAAGATCTGATATTGGTGCAACTGTTTCTTCATCTTCCAGATCATCTATGGATTCATTAATATTTTCAATTGGCTTGAAAACTCTATCATAAATAAGTAATATTATGTTTATATTTATAAATAAAATAAACCTAAAAGACTTAATAAAGTTTTTGGCATTATTAGTAATGCTCTTTGAGATTTTATTTTGTATGCAATAATCCTTTGCTATATCTTGTAAATATTTTGCTATTTTATCATATGTATGACTACCAGTCATTCTTTTACAAGCCAACGCTACATTTTTTCTTTCCAAACTTGTTGGATCTATATAGTGTGCAGCGACTCCTATGTATGAACTAAAAATTAACATTTCTTAAAACTGCTCAAATAATTTGTTTGTAATTAAATTAATAAATTTAAATGTTAGCTATACCGGCGATAGGCATTCCAACAATCTGCTGTTGTACATATTAACGTTCTATTAGACTTTTAATGATTTCTTTTTTTTTCATTCTCCCATCTTTTGGAGATACTAGCAACCACTGTATGTCGGCAAATTATATTTTTTTGTAGAGCTAATGTTTTGTTCATTTTTATAAATGAAGGATTTTCAACAATTGAAAATGGCTGAATGCTATCTATAATAAAATCAGTTATTAAATCATCTAAAGTGGTTTGGGTTAAAGTCTGAGGTCTCTTGGAAAAAAATCAATGGACGATGAGCCTAGTCCAATATTTTCTATAATAGGTTTTTTCTACTTCCCCTTTTTTATTTGGATTAAGAGTGTTTGATGTTTTCTCTTAAAATTTAAAATTGGAAACATTTATTTAGTATCTATACCCTTAAATGTTTTACAATGTTGCAAGTTGAGATAATGCTAACTGAAATTTGCATATTTTTTGGTAGACGTGGCAAACATTTTACTAACAGATATTTGTTTTCTTTATTTTGAGATATTAAAAATATGGTCTATAAATTGGCCATGGAAGAATGTCGTCATTTTCGTCATCAATATTAATCTTAAAAATTAATATAATAGAAAATAAAATAAAATACCAGTTGCAATTAAAAATGGCAAATTCCTTGAGATGGATTGTAATATCAGAATTTGCTTGTTAATGATAACTCGGACATAATATTTAATTAATATTTATATATTCTTTTTTATATATAAGTTTTAATATTTTACATATATATATAATTTTTTAATATATATATTAATATTAAGTTATATGCTCATATGAAATAAAATAAATTTTACATTTATAATATAAAAAAGCGTTAAATAGAAGTATATCAAAATGTATCTTAAAAAGTATCTAAAACAGATACAGATACCTCTAAAATAATATCTAGATACAGATACTTTAATCAAAAATCTATCTAGATACAGATATAGATACCATATTTTTATATCTAGATATTTTAACAACTCTGGTAATTAGTAACAAAAAAAAGATATACAAATATATATACTTTAAAGTCTCTAAGTTGGAATATTATAAAGGACAATTGTTGATGGAAATTGTATAAACTTTAAATCCCAAATCAAATTACTATTGGGGGTGGGAGGGAGGGATTATACTTTTTTGGGAAAAATAATGCTATATTACTTTTTCCGAGAATACTTTATTTAGTGTTGTTAAATAATTTATTTATTTTTTAAAAATGGCTAAGATACGAGCGGCCCAATGTGCCTTATGAGCCCGAGCCAACTCTCTAGTCAAATTAAGGAGATATCTCATAAAAAAATCATGCCGTTTTTAAAAGATCATGGATCAAACATTTTGCTAAAATAGTATGAAAAATTACAAGTTGCCAAAATTTGTGTTAAATATTTATGGTCATTCGACTCAACTCAGAGTCGTTAGTCAATTTAGTTGACTAACTTACTTCAAAACTTGAGCCGTGAACTCGAGTTAGGAACTCAAATCGTGAACTCTATTTATAAATCAGAGGACGAGTATTTCATAATTACTTAAAATTAAAAATAAAAATTAATTTTTATTTTAGTTATAAATAGATAAAATTAAGAATGGGGGAAGACCCGCCTTAATTTTTTGATAAAAAACCCTCGGTTTTTTCATCATGTTTTTTCAGTAAATTAGATTTTTATCAGAGACCCACAGGCCTGCCGGTTTAAGCCTGACCCGTTTACCCGGGTTGGGATTTATCCTTTCTAACAATCTTCGTTATTCGAACATCTTAATTGAACAATAACCTTTCCTCACTGCTCTGACTGCAGAACTCTCATAGACAGCAAAGGCACAATTTACTGCAGGTCATGTAAAGATCGAATCCTCAGGCATAATCAATGTAATTTCTTCCAATGAGCTTTAAAATCGGTCCAAATACCTTGCAATACTTGAACCACGACTTTTATATCCGATGAAAACGGTCTGACTGCCCTGATTATATAAAATTATTCTTCTATAGATCCATTTGCTTTTCTTCCAAACTCCAGAATTAATCGAGCAAAAAAACAGCTAAAATTTCAAATATTCGAAAAATTCAGAAGATCATATCTTTATTCCAATAATATAACGTTAACTTCCTTTTGTAAGTTTGCATTATCTTTCTTTAAAGATTTAGGATCTCAAATCTGCTAGCTAACTGGCTATCCTCGAAAAGGTTTCTAGACAGAATTTGGCCATATCAATTCTTAAAGCGAATTATATAAGCTTCAGTGGCAATCTTCTATCCAAAGAACTTTACTAGACTTATTCTTTATTATCTAGTTTTACGCTATATTTCTTTATTTTTTTTTAAATTTTGGATTTATATATTCTTAATATAAATAATTGTTTATTTTTTAAAACATATTGTACATTTTAAACATTTATACTAAAATTATCTTATCATTTTTTAATATTGAACAAAATAAATTTAAAAAAATATTTTATAAAAAAACCTTAACATTTATCAATTATCTAACATGCAGGTAATTCATATTTTACGATAATTTAAGACTTTCAACAATTCTAAGTAGTGTTGTTAAACGGCTCGATTATGATCTATCTTTAAAAAGGGCTCGATTAAGGTTTTAGTCAAAATAATATAATGTAGGCTTCGAGATTTGGCAAATTGAGGTCCAAACCTTTCTGATATCAATAAACAAAATCTTGCTTACTTAATATTAATTTGGTTAAAGGTTTAAACTGGGCTTTTTAAAAACTTTAATGCTCAGAGCAACAAAAAAATTTTCTATTTATATATACCATTCGAAACAAGAATTAATCCAATTTGACGCTTGAGATGATTTTTAAATTTATCAAATAATGTTAAAAACATTTTTTTTTGCTAACTATCAAATTGACAAATAAATATAATATAATTGGCGTGATTACCTATCAGTATAATTTTTGATTCATAAATTAATTTTGCAGCTTAAAGCTTAACGAAATACATTTCCAAAGTACTTACCCATGTATGAGTGTAATAAAAAACCTTGAATTTAATCTAGAATGGGATCGAGTTATTCAACCTAAATGACTATGCATAATGAATAATTATATATTTTGTTTTTTCTAATCAAGCTAAACACATTAGAATTATAATTCGCTTGTTATAAATGTGCTTAAACTAGAGCCTTCTTTTAAAAAGTAATCATTCCAAACCATAATATTACATAAATTATACAATTGAAATTTGAATGATTTATTAAAACGCCAAAACTTTTACAAATATAATTATGAATATATTTAAAGTAAACATTATTTTAAAAGAAAAATGATAGAATTAAAATAATGCGAAAATATGCTTGGAAAGTAAAAAATACAGAAATATATGATAATTAATATGGTCTTTCTCCCGACAAAACTCTCTGCACAGCCGTGGTACTATCGTAGCCTTCTAGTAGACATATACCTAAAAATTTTCAAATTTGTATTATTTAATTTTATAATGTCATTGGGGATAAGGAAAAAAAAATGTGTCATTCCTTCTCATTTAATTCGAGAACACTTAAAATATTGTTTTTTATTTTAACAAAATTTCGCGCAAGCTTATATCAAAAACTTGATACTCTAGGTCGTATATGATAAGAGCCATATTATAGATTTAAATTATATTATTTAAAAAAATAGTCTAAATATTCAGAACCTTATACGAGATGACCAATAGCTCAAAGTAAACATGGTAATTGTAATTATGATATTTATCATTTTAAGATTTTAAACTTCTTAGTAATCGTCAAATAGTATGTAAGGCAATATATAAATGTATAATTTTTTTTATTGAAGAAATCGCGGTTCTCCCGTGAAGCGGAGTCGGCGAGAGTCATTGTTACAACACCGATAAACCGAATTTATTTCTAACCTAGAGCTTGCAGGAAAGAATTGGTTCTTTCCGGTTCTAACCCGGCTAAAATTTTTAAAGGATTTGCTTTGAGAGTTTGTCCTTTGGTGAATATAACGCAAAATAACGCCTTTTCTAAGAATAAAGATTTTGTATCTCGATCCTGGTAGTAATCTGGAGTCAATTCTTCTTCCGTATATAACCCTGAGAAATTAGAGAAAATATGTTAGATCTATCATTTTTTTTAAAAAAAATTTTAAATAAGTGTTTATTTTACCTTGCATGAATCCAGTAGTAGTTATAACTTCATGAATTATGTCGAAGAGGAAACGGAAAGGTGGTTTCTGTAATAATTCGGGTTTTAATGGAGGCTTTTTTATGATTTTTCCTGGCAAATATATATATGAAATTCAATATTTATTTTTTAAAAAATATATCTATATACCTAAAGTGACTTGAGTTCTTTTAATAATCATATCCCAACTTTCTGGTTGTGCGATGTTTGCAGCAGCCATTTAATTATATAAACTTGAATGGAATAATGTTTAAGATGTATGTTTATAATCTACAATACAATAACAAAAAAAAATAGAATTGATTTTTCTATAACTTATAATAATTTTGATTTATTTATAAGTTAATGTTTGTTTAGTTGATTATTTTGAATACTAAATTATAATATGATAATCCTTAAAATAAAATGCGACCATTTTTCGTGCAATAACATAATAAGATCAAAATAACTGAATAGGTAAAACGGTGATAGAAGCCATGTTTGACTTAACCCTTTGTTGCACGGGTTAAAAAAATCCCGCGAGAGACTAGCTGGGGTCCCCTCAGACTCCAATTTAGAAACACTATATCTTAGAATCAAATTAATTTGTAGCTTTTATATTGTTAAATATATGCTAAATAAACTCTATTTTAATGATTTCAACTGTTATTTTATAATTTAATGTTATTTTATCATTTTATGACAGCTTTTGTTAAGAGAATCAAAAACGTGACTTATTTTAATGTCACTATGTATATAAAAAAGTGAAAAAAAAATATATATAAATAAAATTATCTAGAATGTTTATCAAATATTAATATATTATATTTTTTAATTAATAAAAATGATATAAATAAAGTATTTATTTAAGCATAACATATCAATACTAAAACAGATGAAAAAAAATTACACGGATGATCAGGTGGGGTCTATGCAAACTTCATTTTATAATTCATTTCAAGAACAAAATCAAAAATTAATTTTGCACACAAATTCTTTACCTAAAAATGCTAAACTACTAAAAAAATTAAGTAACAACGTTTTAAAATGACTCATATATGCATAGTCCCACCTTTGCAACGAAAGATTAAAAGATGAACTATAATTAAGATTGTAACAGTACTTATGTTACATGAAACTATAGGTAAATAACTTACGACACCTTTAACCGACATGTACCCTCGTTTTTTCTGAAATATAATTCCAACCCATATATAAATATTATTTGGTAAAAAGAAACTCTAACAAACATCATTCCAATATCCAGTATGTAGGGGAGACCGGGGTAAAACGATAGGCATTTTGCATATTTACCAAAATTTTAAACAAGAGTCAAACACAACAAATTTTAAATCAATGTGTAGCCCCATCTCTCTTCTACAAGATAAAAAAAAGTGTAGCCCTCTACCTATAATATTTTAGGAGCTATGATTAGTTATGTAAAACTACTCATTTTCGCCATTTTACCCTGGGTACAGGGTAAAATGGATAAGCACTAGGGTAAAGTGGTTAAAATAATATTTGACACATATTTATTGTTTTATTTAACAAATATTACAAATTTAAGATTTATTTATGATTTTTATTTAAAAACTAATCGATACAATAAGGACATGTAAAATAATTATCATAATTAGCACATTTAGAATGTGCCCATTCAAGGCACATTGTACATTTTAGCCATTCATCGCCCTCGCGACTATTTTTATAGTTTTTATTACAAATAACACATAAACAATTTTTTTTTGATATCTTTTTTTTTTCTCTGAATTAATAATTTTTTTTTATAAGGTGTAGATGTTAATATTTCTGAATTCCTTTTTTTAGATATTTTATCCGATGAAATATTGAATAATTTTGGAATAGGTATTATAGATGAAGGATTGAATACTTTATTATAATTTTTTGAGCATGATGGTAACATATCATGATAAGGTTCATCAATATCATCTGGAACATTTTCGTTCAATAATATAGATAAATCACTATCATTATTTTGAGTCACTGTAAGATTTTGAGTCACTGTAATATTTTCATCATTATTTTCAAATTCAATATTTGAGTTAGCATTTGAATTATTACAGCAGATATAATCTTGTTCTGTAAATATATTTGGGTTTAAAGGAAATATGCCACATGCAAAGAATCCATTTAATATATTATTTGATGTCACTGCCCTTGGTATTTCATTTTTTAACACTCCTGGAATATCATAAATCTGAAATTGTTGCCCCACATGATTTTTAGATTGAGCATTATTAAAATTATGAAATACAATATAATTTCAATTGAGCATTTTTATTAAAGTTACCAAATTAATAATATTTAGATTGAGCATTATTAAAATTATGAAATACAATATAATTTCAATTGAGCATTTTTATTAAAGTTACCAAATTAATATTGATATTTAAATTGAGTTATTAAAATTATGAAATACAATATAATACAAACAATATAATTTAATTATTTGTTTAGGCGTTAATCCCATAAATAACCTACTTGCTTCTAATATGTAGTCACACAATCTAGATTCTTCTTCATTTGTAAATATTTGTTTATGATGATCTGAACTTTTAATACCAATTTTACATCTCCTTCTCAACGTTGTATAAGGTATGTTAAATTTTTTAGCAGACAAATTTAATGAAGTATTATTTGTTATTTTATATTTTATGGCTTCATTTATTACATTTACATCTCTGTATATGGTTTTTCTTTTATAATTTCTCATTATTTGGTTGATACAATAAAAATTATAATAAATAAATTAATGAAAAATTAATGTGAATAATTTTATATTTTAACCGTTTTACCCATAACAGCTTTACCCCTAGGTGACATATATTATAAATATCGTTATTGCGTGACTTCTAATATAGCTAAAGATGTCAGATAAATTTTATTTTATACCTAATACATTAAGGAACATGTGTGCCAAATTTTGAATCCTGAGGATATGTAAATTTTACTAAAAGCAAAATATACTAGAGAATGATTTTTATATTTTTTGGGTAAAAAACAGTTTTTTAACAAAATATATAAAACCAGGTAAGTTTTTTAAAAGATGAACATAGGTAAGAAATTAGATATAAAAATACATCTTCACACCAAATTTAAGGTCTTTATACTCAATGGTTAAAAAGTTATTCGCGTTAACATTGTTACCCCGTCAATCGCTTTACCCCGGTCTCCCCTAGGTTCTTAAAATAATTTATCCATATTGTTAATTGTTTAAATTATTCATAATTCTATCTTTTTAAATATGTAAAATCCAATTATATATATTTTTTTAAACATTTTGTAATTAATGTTAATTTCATCTATTAAGGAATAATTTATAGAAGAAACGAAATGCTGAGCTATTGAGTTAATAATCTTCTATCAGATCCAAATAGTATATTCATCCATTTTAGTTGAATGCCCATATGAAATAATTATAATAATATGAGACAATTATAAAGTTAGTATTAATATTGCCATAATCTCCCACACAAATTTATTCATTTATGAATATACTATGTTGTATAAATAAATCATTTTTGTATAAAAATGAAGTATTAGAAATATAATTTAAGTAACTATTAAATATATAATATAATTTAGCATAATATTTATGTAAATATAATAAATATGGTCTCTCGCCTAACAAAACTCTTTGCATAGCCTTGATACTATTGTAGCTTTCTAGCAGACATATACCTAAAAAAAAATAATCATATATTTTTTATCTTTCATCATTATTGGGGATGGGGGGGGGGGATATGTTCCACATTTCTTCATTTAATTCTAGTACTTATTTAAATTTTTCCAAATTTTCTTCCACACATAAAATAATTGATACATATAAATTTAAATTCTATGATAAAAAAAAGGGTCCAAATATTTAGAACCCATTTTTAAGGTTTAAATGATCAGAGGCTCAAGCTAGATATAGTAATTTTAATTATTATATTTATCTTTATAAGATTTTAAACCTCAGTAATCGTCTCATTGTATATAGAGCAATATATAAACGTGTAATTTTTAATTGATCAAGATATCATGGTTCTCCTGTGATGCGGATTCGGCGAGAGTTATTACGACGCAATTAACCGAATTTATTTCAATCTTACCTATCGATTGAAGGAAAAAAATGGTTCTTTCCAGTTATAAAGACTAAATTTTTTAAAGAATTCGCTTAAAGTTTGTTTCTTGGCAAACATAACGCAAATATCATTTTCCCAAAAATAGAGACTATATCTCGATGCTGGTAGTAATCCGGGGCCAATTCTTCATCCGAGTATAACTATGAAAAATGTAAAGAAAATTGTTAGAAATTACTATTTCCTGCTATTTATTAAAGTTTTGTTAATATATTAAATTATTTAATTCTTACCTTACATGAATCCAATCGTAGTAATAAATACATGAATTAGAAACTTTTTGGCAGCCCGAATTTAAAAAAATTTTGTTCTACGAGAGAGCACAGATTTTTTATCCCAGCCCAACCTAACCCGATGATTAAAATTATTTTGGGATTTGAGTTTACATATTATAATATCTATGAAAAAATTAAAAATTATGTGCAGCACTTATTTATATTGTCACCTTACATTTGTCAAACCAAATTGCAAAACCGAATATAAAATTTTATTTAATTTGTATACATGTGTATGATAATAATGAAGATATAGATTTACCAATAGAATCAGAATATGGATAATTATGATTTTTAATTAGTCATAAAAATATAAATATAGGAAATCTTTAATTTGGAAAATTGTGCTTAAATATGAATACATTACATGTGTAATATTAAAAATAACATGTGATTCTGTTTGACAATTTCTTGAGACATAATCTGCAGGTCTCCGATATAACTGTAGAAAATTTGAAAATACCTGTAAATAGTATTCATCAAAAAAATTACTCCCAAACCAATTTCATTTTATATGTTTTGATCTCGTGAAATTTATTTATTGTATAACATAAGTTTAAACTCATTTTTCTCAATTTAAATTATATTGGAGTTAGAACAATCATAATTGAAAATTTGCAGAAGTTATATATAAAATATAAAATAAATTTCGAGAATTTGCATTAGGTGCACTCTGAAGGGTAAAATGGCTGATATAAAATTTAATAGGGGAAGTGGGTGAGATAATATCAGTGGCATAGGCATGGGAAATAAGAGTTTAACCCCGCCTCCCAAGAAAAAAATTATTTTTTAATTTAGTAAATTGATAATATGTTAAAAAAATTTAAAATAAACTATTTCTATAATTTTTATTTTATAAATAATAATTTTGATATTTGATTATTTAAATGTTTTTTTAAAATAAATTTAAAAATTATTTTGCAAAAAACTTGTCTAGTTTGTCATATTCTTTTTTTGAAAAATCTACTTTGTAAATTTCATTATGAAAAAACAGTCATTAATGATAGGATAATTTTACGCTTAATAAGTGATATCTTATTTTTTGGTTCATAATCCCAGTTACTTTTTTAATGGCTTGCGAATGTACTAAATATTAGCGCAGACCGGATAATTCTATATTCTTACTAGCATGATGCTAATTTTGACAATTTTTTATTTTTTATCACTAATTTGTTCCCTCTTTAAACCAACTACCAAATAGAGTAAAGCCATAAAATATTTAAGTTTTTCGTTTCCAAAAGCTTGACTCACTCCACACTTAGAGCGTGACGTCATAGTTTTCATTTTGTTAATAACTCAGTTTTTTTGGTGGTTCTCATATTTGAATAAGGAATTGAAAAAACTAGTCTAGCATTAAATATTAGCGCACACCAGATATTGTGTTTTATATTTTATATTTTAGCCCGATATCTATTTGGGCAATTTTCGAAATTTTCTTTTTTCTTAATACTGTCTACTAAGATTAAATTAATATCTACATGATAAAATTTACTGAATAAATGCTTTCAGATTTTATGGTTGGCTAAAATTTTGTTACTAATTTTTTCCTTTATTCTGGCTACTATGCTGATTAAAGTGAAAGGAGAGTAGGGGAGTCCGAGGTTATATTGTCCATAAAAAATTGAAATGTTATAACTTATTTTTCATGTAAAATGTTTACGTTTTATATATTTTTATTTTCTTTTATATTTATATTTATATAGTAGGGAAGGGAAGAGGTGCCTGTCACAAATAATGGGGAATAATAAATGGTGGGAATCTATAGGTATATTGATATAGAATGCTCAATTATTTAAAAATACAACATTCTCTATTTGCAAAAATTCAACATTTAATTTTTTTATATTTTATTTAAATCGTCTATAAATATAAACTACAAGATATATAATATGAAAATTAAAGTAACAAGAAAATTTCATTTGTATATTTTTTAACAAAAATAGCGGTTTAATTTACAAATGAATATATATTTTATAATATGAAATGATATAAATTAAAATATCATGTAAAAGTTTTTTGATATTTTTGGAAGAAAAAATATATTCATAAATTACAAAATTTAAGAAAAATTAAATATAACCCCATATAATTCATGAAAACACAAAAGTTTATAAAAAAACAGGAAAATATGTTTTATAGAAAGGTTTAATAAAATTTTAGAATGAATTATTAGTAAAAAAACAAAACTATATAAATTAATGCTTAATGCATCTTTATTTTTACTGAACAAAAAAAAACATTTACCTGAATTTTTAATTATGTCATTTTATATTATAAAATATATATTCATATTCTGTTGCAAATTAAACCGCTATTTCTGTTATATTAAAATAAATGCATCATCTTGCGTAAATATTTTTGTAACTTTATTTTCTTATTATATATTATTATTATAATTGTTTAATATTTATATTTAATTTTCTACATTTATTAAAATATTAATTTTTAAAAAATAATTAATTATATCTTAATACTTAGTGCACATTCAAAAATAATATGCAATCAGTATTTTAAATCAGGGATAGGGAGAAGTTTCTGGGATAGATTATGAAATTTCTATTTTATTTTAACTTAGAATGAATGTTTTGCAAACAAAATTAAAATGAATATGAAAGAAAGTTTATTTTTTATATTTAAAATCTATCTTATATAAAATAATTTTTTTACTGGGTTTTTTTTTGTACTCTTTTTTACAATGACATTAATACTATAGACTGCCGATCGTAATGCTAAAATCAAATTTGAAGTGGCAAAAATTGAAGTGACTGGTGGCCATTTTGTGTTTGTATCTTTTACGAAAGAAGCATATGATAATTTCATAAATTTCAGGTATATTTTAATTATTTTATATTTATAATATATATATATATATTCTAATTAAACACCAATTTATTATTTACCTTATATATTATAGTATATATGAATCAAATTAAGGTCACTACTGAATATTTTACTTGAAATATTTCTGCTCTTTATTAACATTTGCAATTTATTATTTAATAATGAATATCTTTTATAAGAATTCAATTTAATATATTTTAATTACTAATAGATTTAAAATGGTAGTATATTGCTGAGGAAGCAAAATTTCCTTTCATAAGTATGATATCTCAAATTAATTATTCTATTGTAAAAATTATATATGGCAGATTTCCTATGAAAGATAAAATATTATTATAAAAGTGGACCCATGCTGTGAAGAGAGAGAACTTCAATGTAACAAAATATAGTAAATTATGTTCAAAGCATTTTACACCAGATTCATTTATTCCATCTGTTACAAATCATGTTCAATTAAGAGAGGGAGCAATACCATCAATTTTTAATTTTCCAAAGCATCTTCTAAAAGTAACAAAATAATGAATAATAAGTTATAACATGCAGGTTTCCTAGAAGCCAGATTAATTCAAAAATACATGAATATTTTTTTTTTAGAAATCAATTCTAGATTTCTTTTGTATTTTTATAATTTATGTCTTTTATGTTTTATTTTTGCTTATAATTATGTTATTCCTTAATAAATATAAACTATCCATTTCTAAATATATTTCTTTATTTAAATTTAATTCACTAAAGTATAAAAATCAATAATGTAAATATATATCATGAAAAATACAAATAATATATATTATGTTATATTTACATCAAATAAAATAATTGTATTATTATAATTAATATGTATCGCAAAAAGAAAATATTAATCTTATAAATCAATAATAAATACAAATAATATATATATGTTATATTGTCTAATAAAATTAATTTATTATAACCAATAAAGTCATTAGAAATTTTCAGATAATTTGTTCTTCACCTATAAATATTTAAGTTAAATAACATATTTTTATATTACTTGGTTTATTGCCCTTGAAAAAGTACAGCCTTGTTTAGTTTTTGCCTGATATTTAATTGTAATTTTTGATTTACTTTAATACCAAAATGATGCATTCTTATGTGCAGGTATCTGAAAATAAATTTTTATTAAAATCAAGTAAATATTATATATACCTTTTTATTATAAGTCTTACTATAATTTGATAATGACTTAACCCTGCCTCTTGATCAAACATATGATCTTGCAGGTCACTAAGGATATTTGTGCCTAATATTTTTGACTATATTAGACATTCTATTTTTTTAACAGCATGTCTTTTGGTTATTTCATCTACTTTTTCAAAAGCCCTGAATGAGCTCTCTATTATTTTGCATAAATTTGACACGCTTTGGGATGGTATTATCAATCCACCATAATTCTTAATTTTTATTAATGTATAATTATTGTCGTTTGCGGAATTATCAATTAGGGAATGTAAACAGATATCACATCTAACATTCTTTTCTTCATATTCAGTCGTGACCTTTATTTGATTCATATATACTATAATATATAAGGTAAATAATAAATTGGTATTTAATTAGAATATATATATATATATTATAAATATAAACATAATAAAAATATACCTGAAATTTATGAAATTATCATATGGTTCTTTAGCAAAAGATACAAACACAAAATGGCCACCAGTCACTTCAATTTTTGCCACTTCAAATATATTAATCGGCAGTCTATACTATTAATGTCATTGCTTTTTTATTTTCATTTCGGTCTATTCCCATTAAATATTTACATGTAATAATACTATTTACTATAACTATATAAAAATATGTAAAAATTTATAAAATGACTAAATAAAAATATATATTAAAAGTATCGAAGGCTCTAAAAAGAGCTTAATTTTATAATGAAAATGTACCTAAAAAGCAAGCTTAAACAAAAACTTCAATTAGAAATTTTTAAACACAATTATACTTGCTTTTTTTTATAATGAAAATGTACCTAAAAAGCAAGCTTAAACAAAAACTTCAATTAGAAATTTTTAAACACAATTATACTTGCTTTTTAGGTACATTATCATTATAAAATTAAGCTCTTTTTAGAGCCTTCGATACTTTTAATATATATTTTTATTTAGTCATTTTATAAATTTTTACATATTTTTATATAGTTGTTTTGATATTTTAGTGTTTTATCATTTCTTTATAAAATTTAATATAATGAGATATGAAGTAAATAAAATGGTACCCTGGGTTTACTATAATAACTATAAATATTGCATGTATGTATTTATATAAATTAATTAAATAGTTACTTGTGGCTATTTATTTTGAAACAATAATAAATACGAATAAAGTCCTTCCCTATTTAATTTCTATTGGATCCACATTTTAAGAACTAATGAAAATAAGGGAAATAGTTCTATTTTTCGACTACTTATAGCTAAACATTTAAATTTAATTTTTATTTCCATGGGGCTTATAGTGATTATAATTCCACCAAAGAATAAAATTAATATTTAATAAATGCTTAAATTTATAGTATATAAAAATTATTTTGTTTTAAAAAAATTCCTTTTTTCTTTCATGAGGCCCATAAATTCTTCCCAAAATACCCCCGAATTTTTAAAATCTCAAGGCCTCGTGGGTCTATTTCCCAATAGATACTGGCCTGTTAATCCCGGCGATCCGGCCTGGATTTTAAAAAACAAAAATTCTGGGCCGGCCTGAATTTTTTTATTTTTAAAAATTTTCAACCCGTCCAGTCCCGGATTTTTTTTTAAAAAAATTTCGCTCTAGACTGGCCCAGGTTCCAGGTTTTATATTTCGAGACGCGCCCCGGATAATTTTTAAGAAATAATTTTACGTTCATGAATTTAAAAAAAAATTTTTTTTTAATTTTTATAGATCATAATGGAGATTTAAAATATTCGGTTTCAAAATATTTGGCCCAGATACTTTTAAATTCTAAAAAAAATTGAAATACGAGTTCGGATCATGTTTTATACATTTATAGAGTTCAAATTAGGGTTCAAATTGAGGCCTTAGTAATCTTTCTGCCTTTCTGACTGAGGGGGGGGGGGGGGTGTCAATCAAGAAGTAAAAAAACATTTTTTTTTGCTAATTATGAATCTAAATATAGTACAAATCTCAGCATTAATATTTTATTTGAAATTTCTTTAAATAGTCTCGCATATTAACAATATTCCTATGTAAAATTCAATTATATAAATTTTTTTAAAATATCATTTTTTTAATAAATATTAATTTCGGCCATTGTAGAATAATTTATTGAAGAAACTGAAGGCTGAGCTGTGATATTCTTCTATTATATCAAATAAATATTTTAATCTATTTAAGTGGTAATTAAAGCCCATATGAGATAATTATAAAGTTAATCTATTATTGGAATAATCTTATATACAAATTTATAATATCCATTAATGAGTATATTGCATTTTATAATCAATATTATATAACTGGATTATATAAATATGGTCTCTCCCCCGACAAAACCCTTTGCACAGCCGTAGTACTATCGTAGCCTTCTAATAGACATATACCTAAAATTTTTCAATTCATAAAAATATATAATTTAAATTTATGGCGTCATGGGGGATGAGGGAATATGTTAATCCTCATATAATATGTAGGGAAAAATATAAATGTGAAATTTTTTTATTGAAGTTATCTCACTATGACCCACGGAGCAGGTAAGAATCATTGTTACACACTGATTTATCGAATTTATTTCAATCTAACCTAGGGCTTGTAGGAAAGCATTGGTTCTTTCCGGTTCTAACCCGCATAAAATTTTTAGCGGATTCACTCTGAGGGTTTGTCCCTTGGTGAATATAACACAAATTAACGCTTTTTCCAAGAATAAAGACTTTGTAGGTAGATCCTGATAGTAACCGTGGGTTAATTCTTTATCCGTGTATAACCCTAAGAAATGTAGAGAAAATATGTTAGAAATAATTATTTTCTGTTATTTACTACAAAATATTATATGTTAAAGTATTTAATTCTTACCTTGCATGAATCCAGTAGTAGTTATAACTTCATGAATTATGTCGAAGAGGAAACGGAAAGGTGGTTTCTGTAATAATTCAGGTTTTAATGGAGGCTTTTTTATGATTTTTCCTGGCAAATTGTTTATTGAAATTCAAATACTTATTTATTTTTTTAAAATATATATCTATTTTACCTAAAGTTACGTGAGTCCTTTTAATTATCATATCCCAACTGTCTAGTTGTGGGAAGTTTACAGCAGCCATTAGTTAAAACTTAGAAAGAAAACAATAATGTTTATAATCCGCTATACAATAATAACATGAGAAAAATAGAATTGATTTTTCTATAACTTATAATAATTTTGATTTATTTGTAAATTTTTTTTAATTTGTAATTAAGTTAATTTATTTTATATCGTAGAATATAATAAGTAATCCGTAAAAGAAAATGCTGTGTTAGAAACATTTCTTCGTTCTCCTAGCAAAATTAGACCCAAATAAATAACAGATATATAAAGCGGAGCTAAGGGAACATGTTTGACTTAAAGGATGGCCCATAATTAAAGGTGTTATACTCATGCTACATGAAACTATCGGTAAATAGAAAAAGGTTCTCGATCTAAATCGCTAAAAACAAAATTACAAATTGGCTTAGATCTCTTAGAAAAATTTTTATAAGTAAATTTAATTAATAGATTCTAGGGAAGGAATCACTTGTGTTTAAATTAAATTTATTTTAAAACATCGCTATAATGAGAGAAATATCATCGGTATTCCAAATAGTTGTTCCATACTTTAGGAACAATGATAATATTTTCTCCATTTTTAGCAATTTTTATTTAAAAAACTTAATTTAAATACAAGTATTTACTTCCTTTACATATATTTATATTATTTTCGGTAATAATTTTAAAATTTTTAAAAGAGATATAAGCGAGATTCCTAACGATTTATAAAATCTATCCCTTGAAAAATTACTATGACATTTAAGCTCATTTTTTGAAATAATACCCCAATATAGAAGTATTTTTTTGCTAAAATTTAGACAAATGAGAAGACAAATTTTTTGAATAATTTTTAAAAAATTAACCCTAAGGTCTTGACTCAAGTCCAAATATTTTATTTGAACCAAATATAAGATAATTTTTCAGCATGGAGCTATTACGTACGTAACACCTCATCTAATTAAATATTTTTTAAAAAATTATTAATCATAAATTTTATTAAAAAATTATATTTATGGATTATAAAAAAAAATACAAGAAATTGTGTTATAAAATATTGTCTCAAATATTTATTTTGCTAAAAATATCAAGATCAATTATCCGGGACCTTAAAAATAAACGCGGGAATAATTTAAAGAACAAAACTTTAGGTTATATACTGCATAAATCTTGATAAATGATATACTTATAAATACTATTAATCCAAAAATGATAATAAAATTGTCTTGGTCAACAAATAAATAATATTATTATTCTCATTTTAAATTATATTGGAGTTGGAAAATTGAAAATTTGCAAAAAAAAGGAATAGATAATATATAAAGTACAAATTGTTTTGAGTATTTCACATTGAGGGCGGCCCAACTACTCCCCCTAGAAGGTGCACTTTGAAGGGTAAAGTTAATATAAAATTTAACAATGGACGGGGGAGGGGGTGTAAGACTAACGATGTAACCCACTATAATCTCACGGTTCTCAGTCATAACAAATTAAAACTATTATAAGTTAATTGTTTATATTATCCATGATTAAATCTTATTGAAATAGGCATCAATTAAAATCCTAGATCTAAGAAGAGTATATAAGCTTTATTTAAAAAATTCTGACTGAAATCCGTCCCAAAATATATATTAAGAAAAGAATACTGGGTTTATCATTAAAAAGAAATAGGGGAACACTTGATATATGAATTAGTGATCTGCATCGGGCCTAATTTTTCAAGCCCGGCTCGGCCCCATATTTATTTAATAAAGTTTTGCCCGGCCCGGTCCACTCCATCTAAAAATATGTCTTCCTGGGATCGGGGAATGCAAGTTTCATTTTAATACACTAAAATTATTTTTATTTTAATAATTCTAATTAAAATCATTGAAACAGTGTCATACGCTAATGAGGATACAATATATTTAAATATTTTAATGATTATAATTATTCCAGAAATAATGCTTAAGAGTTTTCTTTCAACATATATAGGATTACTTATTAGTTAAAAAAAATGCTTTAAACAGTGGAAAAGTTTGAACAATAAAAGGGAAAATGATTTCTTAGAATATTTCTTATAGGCATTTATTTAGTTGTAACGATGTTTTATTGTTAAAATAGATACTCATATCATATTTATAACATGATTGGGATAAGGGAGGGGTATGAAAGAAATAGCTACTGAAATTGAAGGTGGTTGTTTATATCTAAGATGGCATGGCTATTAAAATATAAGAGGAATGGAGTTAATAAATGTAAAAGGAGGGCATCTAACTTTGATTTTCTATTTGATTCAGTTGTCATAGATGGGGAGGAGGGGGGGGGGGTCATCTTGTAACTTGGTAATGTTCTAAGAATTCTGAAACCTAGTTTTTACATCTTCGATATTTAAAAAAATAAAACAAAAATTTAGAACTTGGACGAAAAAGATTCTGGCTTCAGGTATTTTTAAAAAAGTATGCTATAATGAAACGTGGATTCTGGGTCTCCTTAAATTTGATGCGGCTCAAAGTGGGAACATGAAACTGAACAAAAATGGTTATATGAATAAAAAATAAGTAAAATTTGATTTTTATTTAGGAACGCGTTTTAGGACGGAGTTGGCAGGAACAAAATCCTAATCTCTAATTCCAAATTCTGTCAAAGCAAATTTTTTTTTAGCAAATAATTCTTCTAAAATGAATCACACAGCATTTTAACTTCTATTTGAATCAGCTCTGAAGCTGACTCTTAGAAATTTTATAATCTTAAAAATCGGCTCTGATTCCTATAAAAATTAAATGAGGGTTTCTGATCCTTGATTTATCCCGGTTCCAAGGACTCCGGGTGTGTGATTATTAAACGGCTCGTTTTGAGCCGATATTTAAAGCTAGCGCAATATTTTATCCATAAAAATATTACTAAAGCCTCAAGATATTCCTCATATGGCACAAAGGTTTAAGCATCTATTGGCGAAATCAGACAATATTTTTCTGGTTAAAATATCAAGTTTAGCGTTTTTAAAAATCGTCTCAAATCTAGTCATTTAGCAAGACTATCCAGATACCTGTCCCAAACTCTTAATATAATCATAAAATCTACGAAGATTTCCAAAAAAACTAGATAGTTTTTTAAATATAATGACAAAAAACATCCTTGCAACTTTGATAATTAAAGAACCCATGCTTTTTTTAACATTATATAAATATAGGTTTTTTATATTTTGATAGTTTAAATTGGGGCCTCTTTTTGAACGTTAATAAATAAATAAAAAGCTATTTGTAACTTGGAATATAAATATAATATAAACCCCAACAAATAAATATTTTATTTGAAATTTCTTTAAATAGTCTCGCATATAAACAAATATTTTTATATAAAATCCAATTATATATACTTTTTTATATAAAATATTCTTTTTTAATTATTGAAATTTTCGGCTATTGAAGAATAATTTCTAAAAAAAACGAAATGCTGAGTTATTGTATTGATAATAAACTTCTATCAGATCAAAAAAATATTTTAATCTTTTAAGTTGAAATTAAGGGTCGTATGAGATAATTATAAAGTTTGTCTATTATTGCCGTAATCTTTTATATACAAATTTATAATATTAAATAATGAGTATATTATATAAATAAATCAATATTTATAATAAATAAGTAGTAGATAATTGTTTAGATTTAAGAGTACTCACTAAATATATAATATATTATGCTTATATATGTATAATATTATACTCAAAACAAAGCGCATCACAATATGTAAATTATTGCAATAATTTATATACATCAATTACATTTATTTTAAAAACTTAAACACACAAATATATGATATTAACAGCAAACAAATTGTATAAAAAAAATTTTTTTTGTTCCTATTTAAAAATAATAAGATAAATTATTTCATAAGATTTTGCAATTTTCGGCATATTTCGTCAGTGAATTCGGAACATTTAGAATTGCCGCCTAAATCTATAGTGCGGCACTGAGGTGGTAAAAACATATATATATAATTTTATCAATTAAGTATATTTCTTAAATAATTTTTTTTCTAAAATTTATATCCATATTGATATTAACGAATTCTTTTACTCCTCTCTTTAATCAAATATGAATATCGCAATAATTTCAAAAAAAATTAAATGAAAAGTACTTTTCCGTCTTTGATAGTCTCGAAACAAGCGGTTTGAATATTACTTGCGTGAACGGGAAACCCTAAGTACTTGAGCATCATGACGCCACTAAGTAATAAGGCTGTTGGGTTAGCTTTGTCTTGGCCCGCTATATCAGGAGCCGTACCGTGAACCTTATTGTTTAAATAAAAATCAATGTTTGTTTCCTTCTATTAGTAAATAAAGCCCCTCTAAGAACTTAAAATAAATATAATTATATGAAGTTTGGCAATTCCGCAAATACAGATAAATAATAACACCAAAAAAGCATACATTTTATATACTAATGCAACTGAATAATATTCAGGGTCGCATTTCATAGATCCGAATTTTAGAAAATTTAAAAGCTAGATCATCTAGATCGTGTTTTGTTTTAATTTTGAAAGATCTGATTTTGCCAGTTACCAGAAATCTCAAACAATTTCGCTCATAAATTTTTTTTTTAATTTGTATTTTAAAACATCGATATCTTTTTCTTCGTTGTTTAGTGGTCCTTTTCCAGATTTACACGTGACATTCTTTATTCTAATCACCTTTCTTCATTTTCCAAGGTCCTGGGTATCGACCTGGGTCAAATCCAGCGTTTACATGTCATTATTTACCACTTTTATCCTGATTGTCTTTGGTCGCACTCTGGGAATTGTTCCCTTCCAACCAAAGGCATCAATAAACTAGTGTTGTTAAACGGCTCGTTTTGAGCCGTATTTTAGCCAGAAAAATATTGCCTAAGCTTCGAGATTTCGATAATATATGTCAAGACTATGTTCATTCTATGAGCAGAATCTTCAGACTTGCGTAATATTTTTTCTGGATAAAATATTGAGTTAGCCCTTTTTAAAAATCGGCTCAAAATGAGCCGTTTAACAACACAACTATCAACAAATCATCCTTGCTTTCCGTTCAACATGTCCAATTCATCTCAATTTATTTATTCTGACATCATCTATTGCTTCTATCCCAATCCTTCTCAGTATTAAAATTAATATAAATTTAAAGTTGGTTTAAAAGTTCTCAGTAAAATTGTCTGATGCATTCACAGGGTAAATACTCTCTACATGTTGAAATACCATTCCGGCATAAATCACTTTCAAAATTTTTTAAAAAACGAGCTTTAAAGATTTGCTAAACTCCTATGATATAAAGCAACAAGATTTTATATGTTATACCTTTCTTAAAACAAAAAAACTCAGCGCAGGCTTAACTGGCTTGTCGTTCCACGAGGCATGCCAAAAAAAATCAATTTTACTGGGAAGGGATATATAAATTTTGCCAGTGACAAAAAAAAGTTGAAAATTAACATTAATCTATGCTAAAAAAAATTTATGGTTAATTACCCTAGCATGGCCCAAAATTTTAAAAAAAAATTTAATTAATAGTTACAGCTTCGAAAACGGCCCCTTTGTCTCCTATATTTGCGCTGGGAGTGAGTCCTAGTCCACCAATCAATCCAGCCCCCATATCACTAGTAAATTTTAAAAAATTAAAAAAGGAAAATATATAATGTATAATGTTGAATTGGGATATGGAATTAGTGGGGATATAAGAATTTCAAGATTATTATTTAACTGAGGGCGATTTTATAAAATTTGAATAATCTAATTTGACCGGGAATGTATTTTTAAAAATATGTAAAATGCCTTACAAATTATTTTTGTATTTTTTTTTATTTATAAATCTATATATAATTTAATCTAAATTATGAGTAAGTTTAAAATTTTAAAACAAAATTATTTTGAAATTCACCCTGTGGGTAAATACTCTATACACGCTAGAATATGTGGACTATTTCAGATTTCTTCAATTTAAAAAATCGGTCAAATGTAAAATTGAAAGATTTTGCCCAATTGATTAATTATCCCAATATTTTATTGATTTAAGAAAAACATTTAAATAATTAGCTATCAACAAAAATTTTAAGAACGAAGAATTTATAAACAGTTACAAATATTTATTTATTTTTCATTTAGAGAGAGAAATTAAAAGCTCAGAAATTTCATAAATATTATGCATATTTTTATAAAGAACATAAAACACTTCAATAATGATCCATTACCTTGATATATGTGATGTTGTTAAGTTAAATAATCTTTTTTTAAATATATAAAACATAAATTGTCGAACCTAAGTATGTCGCCGTATAAATTTGGCATGACTAAAACATCGAACCTGGCAGGATTTGATACCAACTTTTATTATAAAAAAAAAATTAAATAATATTTAGCAAATGAAAAAAATCGTTTTTTTTATCCATGATGATCTAAAATATTTATCGTTGTAAACAACAAAATTTGGGGGAGAGGGGTTGTACAGAACGGATAATAAATTATACGTGGTCCTTGAAATATAATTATTTCTTCTTTGCTTTTTTTTTAAATATGGCTACCTTATAATGTAAATTTGAAACATGATTATTTTATTACTCTTTCATTTCCCGAATCTGATTATTCTAAAATTTAGGAAAATCAATAATATTCATAATCGAATAGAAAGAATTATCAATTTAGTGCTAACTGCTAATCTAATAATAAAAATTTGTCATTATAGGGTTTCCCACAAAAAAGTTAAAAAAAATTCATCAACCATAAGAAAATTTCAATCAAAATAAAATGGAAATAAAAAGGAAAATCGTTATTTATTTTTTGTAATTTTTATTTTAAAAAAAATGTCATTCAATCCCTAATCCTTGAAATTTTATTTTTCTTTGTTGGTTAATTTTAATTTTCTATCATTTTTTCCTATTTTAGCAATTTCTGGCTCAGGCTATTTAATAAAAAATTATTTGTTATTTTTAAGGATGGTACATATTTTTCTTTTGAAAATAATTTTTGGCCAGCTCCGGTTCAAGTGTACCTGCATGTGTCTAAATTATATACATTATATATAATAATTTACTTATCATTTTAGTATTGAAGTTCATTGATTTTAGATCAACTTATTTTCCGCAATCGCAAATAAGATACAGATGAAAAAAAGGGAAAAAGAATAATTAAATAATACAGAGAAAAGATCATAAAAATTCCAGGACTAGACTGACAAAAAAAATTTAGAATTTTTTTAAAAAAATATATACAAAAATAATTATTCGTTTTTGGATATGGGAGTTTTCCTTTTCGATCGAAAATTTCCCTTTTTTTTTGATTGGACCTTTCTCCTTTTTGATATTGATTGTGTATGTAATGTTATTTTTCTATCATATCTAATTCTTCATATATATATATATATCTTGTTCTACGTATATTATATAATAACCAGTAATTCTTCGTTTAGTAAAGCCAATAAGCAAAAAAAGAAATTGGGCCAATTATACAAATAAAAACTTGGATATTAAGTTATTAATTTATATTGAAATAAATTTAAAAAAGTATCTGTAAAATTTTTGACATTTAAATTGATCAAGAATAGGATATAAAATACTTTAGAAAATATTCAAAAAAAATGGTATCCTGTATCTTATATATGAGTATCCGCGATACTGCTCAGCCCTTTTAAGAAGAATTAGGTTTTGAATAAAAAAATATATTTAATTCCACGTTACTTTCATATTTTAATATTTAAAACGGTTCCGAGAAGTCCTGATGGGATAAATGAATTTAAATGAATGTTCAAATTTTCTTGTTTATTCATGAGACATTTTTTGGTAAACAAGTCGAAATAAAATTTTCAGACCCAGGTGATAAATTATATATAATTTGATAAGGAGCGAGTAATATTAGATCTTTTACGAACATTAGTGACTTGCAGGCAGGGCTCAATTTTCTAAAATCTGAGGGGGGGGGGGGGGGTATAAAATGTAGACATTTATAAACTAGGACCAGAAAGTTTTTTATTACAAACTATCGAGGCCTTTGTATGCTTGATCTTCCACGTTTACTAAATTCTCTCACAAAAAAATTTGTGTAGGTTATGTATGAAACCGGTTTAATAGTTGTCCACCTCTTCTCTCTCCATAAAAAAAAAAATTCATGTTATTTAAAATATTGTGTAATAACCTTTAGGCAAGCCGTATCCAAGAACATCTCTTCAAAATCAATGTCTTTGTTCCTTTCGGCGGCGAGCCTACAGCAATGCAAGAAAAGTCCGTCGGATTTCTTCCTGGAATCAATTATTAAAATCACATTTGAAAGGTTATCTATAATCAATAATATTTTGATAATTTGACAAGAAATCATCGACATTATTCGTAAAACATTTACGAGGTTTCAATAAGTAAAAACCAGATGACTGGATATTTTTTACCCGATACCGATACCATAGTTAACTATAACAGAGTATCGTTCAAAGACAAGTAATTTTTAAAAAGATATAATTTTGGAAAATAAGATATAATCTAATGCCATCTGATGGAACACCCAGTGACATGTAATACTTCCCTAGACTGACAATTCATTCATTAAAATATATTTTAAGCGTCGATTAATACAAATCAACTGGTGACAAGCCATTTTAAAAAAAAAAGTTTAAATAAAATTTTAATGTAAATTGTTTGTAAGGGAAAACTAAAAAGTCGTCTATTATTAGGCACACCTAATGAATTACATAGGTGATTTAATGAAAGGAAATCTTATGGTCGATTTGATATAACTACTTTATTTTAAAATAAATCTAGTTCAATTTTGTTCAACTATTGTTTTTTTTAAAAAAAAGTGCAAATATTGGTACATAAAAATATATGAACATGATATTGGCCTTGTGAACAGCACTAACTCTTTTGCGTTTGTTTTCCCGAGCGTATTTGAAAGCGAAATCCGCGATGCGCGTCGATGCCACTTCAGTTATGAGCTTTATACTTTGAACGACCCCGTCGACAATCTACAAAATAAAATAGTGAATGCGTAAAAAGGGTTTATTTTGGTTGTTCGGCTAATCAAATAGCAGCTGATCCAATTTTTAATAATACAATTCTCGAAAAAAACGTTTTACAAGGAAAAAGGAATAACCCAAAAAATATATCAATAAAATAGATATTAAACATATAAATAGCAAATGAACTATTCTAGTTTAGAAAAAAAATAATCACTATTTAAAAAAAATGTAATCATAATTCAATAATATCTTGCAAAGCCCGTACTCACATTAACGGTCGGTATCAACTGATAGTAAATTTTAACCAATGCCAGGGATTGGGTAATAGCTCAACTCAAGTTCAATCGAAGGAGATTTTTTTTGTATTTAAAATTAAACAAGTATTTGAAGTAAGAGGTAGGAAAAAGGTTAAATAGATATAGGTTAGGGTTAATTAAAGAAAAGACATAGGTTAGTTAAGATTTTTATAAAAAAAAATAATACAATATTTTTATTAGGTTTAAAAAAGAAGATATCATTTCATTCTCAGGCTATTTATAAAAAATATACAATGTGGAACCAAATTAAGAATTGTTTCTTAATTATAAATAAACAGAAAAACCACCAAGGTGCTGTGTAATTTTAGATTTAAGCATTGTTAGGCTAATGGTGTCAAAAAACCTAATTTGTGTCCATTTTTAAAAATGACCCGATTAAGATTTTATAGATAATATTATGTGAGCCTCAAGATTTGTCAAATATAGTTCCAAATCTTTCTGCCATCTATGACTATGAGATTTATAGGTTTTTATAAAAATTGGGCCTCTTAGCAACCCTAGGGGAAATAAATGATAAATAAAAATTTTGTAGTAAATTTAGAAAAAAAACTTTTTTTAAAGAATTCACTCATGTAAAATTTATTTTTAATTCAAAAAATTATTATGTATAGAAATTGATAAAAAGAAATAGGAAGACCGACATAACCATTACAATTTAAAGAAAAAAAATCAAAACTGGTCATCCAAACCTCCAACAACCATAATTGCAGTGAATTTTTATAAAAAGTGTGTAAACATGATGAGTCATAATCGACTATCCAATCTAACATTAATTTGAATTGTAAAAAATCATTTTAATCTAACAATATCTTTTTGATTTAATGACTAGAGCATTTTACTCAATATCGTAGTATTTTGATATTTTATATGATTTTGCAAAAAAAAAATAATTAATGGCTCCAAAGCTCCACGCTTTGTCACTGAGTTAAATAAAATTACATAAGAATTGTTCTTTAATTTGAAATGGAGTGGATTCCTCTATAAGTTTGTATGGTCTGGTATAAAACTCAGCAATATTTTTATAAAGGGGCAATTGGACTATGGTTATGTCTCAGTATACCATTTAGGCGATATTTATAAATTAAATTTAAGCATAAAATTTAATTGATTTGCAATCAAAATCATGATATAAAATTAAATTTTATAGTTGATATAAGTAATCTTTGGTAAGGTGAAGTGGTCATAACCTCAGACTATAAACTTAATTCCATATTTAAAATAATATTAAACGATTAATATAAATTATCTAAGTTTAATATTTACAATATGTTCGATTCCACTGTATTCACCTTCCGTATTCTCTCTTATAATGATTAAATCAACGTCGTTGTATAAGGTTTTGTACCCTTCGAGTGATTTGCATGGCCTCACATTGGCATATAATGAAAAGGTTCTAAATTATTTTTGTAATTAATTGAAATTTGTATTGAGCTGTAATCAGTGAATTTCAAAAGTTTAAAAGTTAAACAATTACTTTATTTCCTCTTATTATATCAATAAAATATTTTGTTAATTATAAGGGTTTGAATAAAGGCAATATAATTCAAAAATAGAACAAAAAGAAGTAGGACAAAACAATCAAAATTCTACTTGTAAGATAATATATAATTTATATATTATGAACTTTCTAATAGCTAAATTTAATGAACGATGTCCTGTACCAATAGGTGTAGCTAATGGCCCTTTCAACCCTACTTTGTTCCTCTTAAAACTTTCAATAACTGCTTGCGGTATCTGAGAAGTTCCATCTGGGGCTTTAACAGGGGTTACATCTACACTTTCCCATTGAATGGGTACCTAAATTATTGAAATTATTATATTTATTAGGAAAGGGGGCTTTTTTATCACACTGCATTCACAGTTAGCATAAATTTGTGGCATATTAATTTTTGCATACTTAACTGTAAATTCGGGCTAACGATGATTGCAGAGTAAAATCATAATAGTCTTTTTTGAATGCCTTTGACCAGTTATATTTTTACAAATATGATTTTAGTTTTTTTTAAAAAAAATTTAAATTATAACCATTATTTTAAAATATTAATTTTTATTTTAAATTATTGTTTATAATTAATATAATATTCATATATTATATGAGGTAGAGAAATGTGGTGGATATTTTTTGATAGATAATAAAAGAGGGTCCAACCTTGGTTGAGTCGTTGGTATATCTTGACAGAAATGGTTATGATAAAAGGTAGTCATTTGAGAATTATTTTATCTATAAGTTGATGCAGCCTACCCTAAACTTTTTTTAACTCAAGTCAAAATAATTTTAATCAGCCCATAAAATATATTTCATATATGTTGTCTGATTTGGCTGTGATAATTAATTTTTATCAAAGAAACCAGCACTTTGTTTAATTAACAGCTTTAAAACCATTTAAAACTTTAGATCAGCCATAAAAAAAATTTAAACCATTTGTCCAGCACACTAAAAATCTTTCTTAGGTCTCACTTATAGGCAGGCTGTGCTGACTTCTAATGTTTATAAAATATTTATCATAGGCATAACCAGGATTTTCCCAAGGGGGGGGGGAGCTTTTAAATGGCCTTTCTCCATAAATCTATCAGCACTCTTTTTTTTATAGGCCATCAACTTAGTTACATTTTTATAAAAATAATTTTGGTTTTTTCAAAAAGTAAAAAACTCAAATTATATATTAATTTTATTTTATTAGATTATTGTTTATAGTTGATATAAAAATTTTAAAGGTAGATGGATATTTTGATAGTTAAAAAGGTGACCCCCTTTGGCTGGCTAATCAAATATAATTATTTTATTATATTAAAAAAGTTACTATAATCTATATATAATATACAATTTTGCTTAAACTCATGTCATTACTTCAGATACTGCAAATATCTTTTTAACAGCATCCGCAATTTCTGGTCCAATACCATTGCCTGGTATTAAAGTTACAGTTTGAGCCTATTTATAATAGGTATATTATATAAAATATTATTACTTTATTGGAACACTTCCTAGATAACAATAAATAGCTTTCCAACTATTTAATATATTATAATATTTATAAAAATATATTAAATTAGTTTACCGATGATTTTTTAACTAAAGTTCGAAAGATCATTTTTTTTTAAATATTATAAAAGCATCTGTTGGGCATGCCAATTTGAGCGCACAACCGAAAATAATTTTTAACAAATCTTCAAACGTTTAAATAACATTTTTCGAACTATTGCATGAGTAGTCGCTAACTTTTTACAAAATACGTGATAACGTGATAAAAGCATTTTCGCCCTCTGGTTGTGGACACAACAGTGCTACGCTAGGTTTTCCTCAAGTCCATCAAACTGGATAATTAATTTAGAGGGGAGAAAAATAAGGAGCCCTTCACACATTTATGGGCAGGTAAACAAAACAACCTATAGCCGAGAACTACAAAATATATTTAATTACTTTAAGGGTGGGTGGTCGCTGATTCTAAGTTTTTTGAATATTACTATCAATAATTGGGAAAGTTCATATCAAGAATTTAGAGTTATCCTCATAAATTTAAATTAACTATTCTGTTTACAGCAATTTTTGAAATAAAGCCTGAAAAATCCATTGAATGAATAAAAGCAAGTCAGCGATGAATTATGTACCGATCCGCATCTCTCACATCCTGTGTCTCAAAGATTTTATATGGTTACGGAAAAACAAAGCTCTGGATAATATCACAGCAGAATATCTAAAAATAGCACCTATGACAATATCTTCCTTCCTATTTGTCCTCTTCAATAAAATATTGGAGAGCAGAAATACTGCAGTGAAATGGAACAAATTCTTCTACCTATGTAACTTCCCTAAAATCAATGGCCCACAGAAATTTACGGAATACCTCTTAGCCCTCACATCATGTGTCTTAAAGTTTTTTATCGTTTCTTAAAAAAACAGAAACATATCATCTATTCTTCATCTTATCCCAAAAATACATATGCGTGTACAGGTCAAATTGTGAAAATAAAGAAATTTCAAACAATTATTATTAAGAGAAGCAAGGTGATAGTTAAACAATGATAAAAAAGTTTTTAAGAATATGATATGGAAATCATATATTAGAAATGGAAGGCGAAATAAAATTCTTTTTAGAAATAACAATTTAAAGAGAATTTATGATATGAAAAAGTTGTTTATAATGAAAAATAAGGGAGTAAAATTTAAAAAAATAAAAATAATTGAAATTTAATATTAATATTAATATTAATAAAAAAACTATTATACAAAACGCTACAATTAAATATATTTAAAAAAAAAATGATGATAAAATTGAAATTTAATATTGATAAAAATTATTACATAAAACGCTTAATTAACAATAAACTAGTAGAAAGCCCGTCAAAATTGACGGGGAATTAGATATTATTCATTTTTTACGATAGATGTCATGCCAGGTTCAAGCTCACAATATTAGGAAGCATCCATGATCTTATAATGATAAAAAAGTTTATCAAACCCAGCTCAACCCTTAATAATTTGTAAAAGATATTCCCAAGTCAGGTGCAAGCTAATATTAATTTTGAGGTTCCAAGCCCTGTCCTACCCATTATAATTTTGAAAATTTTTTCCCGCCTCGGAGATAGTTAAATTTTTAATATCATCACATGCACGGGAAATATCTGATTTACCAATTAGTCTAATATGGAAAAAAAAATACATGTGAATTCCGTATTAAGGGAAACTGGGAAGGCCTGGGCACCACTTATTAGAGAATCATGACAAATAAAATAAAAATAACCGACTCTTATTCTTTTTGGTAATATGATCAATTAAAATTATATCTAAAAAATATGTTGTTTATTGTATAAGGTTATTGTTGTTTTTCAGATAAATTTAATGTATGTCTTGCATTTCTGAAATTATTTGTCAAAGAATTTGATAAGGGATATATATTTTTTTATGTTAAGTAAAAAAAAATGCTGTTTATTTAAATTACAAAAATGCCATTAAACACTAATGAAACTTATATGCAAATTATTTATATATTTTTTAAGTTTTTTTTTTTATTGACATAAATTTAGAATAATTTTTTTCAAAAATAATGAGGAATATTTATTATGTATTTGATAAAATTAAGAGCAAATCCTTGTTGACATTTTAATTTTTGATGGAAAAAGTGACAAAATAAATCTGGGCGGTCGTCAGGAGAGGAAATAATTAATGTATAATTTTATATCATTTAGGGTTGAAGTAATGAAGTTAATGATGCTTACTACCAAGTGAATGTATGGAAATATTTTAAATACCAATCTAATTTGCTAAATACCGACCAAAATTTATTAAAATGTAATAAGACCCTTATTATTTAATATATTAATACGGAATCACGTGGTCGAGTCCGGCCTTCTATATATCATCCTCCCAAGGATGGAACCATCAAGTTAGAATAAGAAAAAAAACATGATCATTCTCGGGATTCGAACCCGGGAGCATAGGATAAGTAAGCCAAGCTCTTGCCTACTAGGCCATAGAGGCTTTCCAAAAATCACGATTTTTCAATTATACATTATAAATATATTTGGTAGTGCCTATCCAAATGAAAAATGAACAAAATTCAAATTTGATAGATGGTACCTTAAGGTACCAAGCATCATTAACCAAGTAATGACGGATTACCAAAGCAGTGTACAAAACACAATACGTCCTGATAAAGATGATATGCCTATGCCTTGGGATACTGGTAAAAAAAGAACGCAAAACGATATTTCTGTCAATGTTAGCATTGGTATCCCCTTCTAAAATAGAATCATGAACGACAATGTTAACTCAACTATAAAACGGTCGTAAGTATTGTTATAAAGGCCACGACAAAAATACTGCATATTTTTCCATTAATAAAGTTGATGAAATTGGCCGTACTGTACATTCAAGTTTGAACATTCCTCTAAATATTCATGAAATTTTCTCAGAGAATCGGATAAAGTAATATTTATATTAACTCCTAGTGAAGTATGATAGTACAGAATTAAATGTTTTATTTGTTAAAAAATAGGCAGAGGTGGCATAGGGATTGTGGTGTGGTGATCGAAATATCATTTGGAGAAATGGGTAAAAATAAAATAAACATAGATATAAAACATAAGATAAAAAAAACAAAATAAACCTCCAGATGAGTTTATTTCAAGCGTATTTCTTTATTATTTAGTCTACCAATAACTCTAGAACGGGTAAGGCGTTTGTTTAATCCTCATTATTTTCTTAACTTATCTTTATTAATAGATTCATCATGTTTTGTAGCAATGTGAGGGATTAGGGTTAGCCTAGACGAATAAAGAAATCAGGCAAAAATATAAATAAAATATTGTTGAAATTAAACAAACATTAAAATAATGTAAAACCGGTGTAGATGGGTCAATATTAGATGCATATTTCTAGTAGTTGGAGGGATATCATCTAAAAAAATTTTTGGGGGACTTATCAAGCCTATTATGATATCTAAAAGTTAAAAAATAACATGATGAATGTAATGTTATTAAGATTAAGGTTAATTAATTGTAAGGTAATTAAAAAATAAGATTAAAAAATAAGATTAAAAAAGGGGGGAAAAAAGAAGGTATAAATTATTACATTATAAAAATAATAAAAATAAAATTAAAGGAATTGATAAGGTTTTGAGAAATAGTGGTTAATAGATAATAGAGATAGAAAGAAAAGAATGGGATAATAAAATTTAGTGATAAATAAATTCATTAAGGGAGGAGAAAAAAATAAAGAAAGAAATATTTATAAGGATTGGAGATTATAAATAAGTTAGGATAAGGATATTTAAATATTTGAATATACTTGATTATCTTCTTAATTATTGGTTATGAAAGAAAAATATGAGTATAAAAAATTGCAATGTAAGTACTGACAAAAATTGTGAGTATGTTCAAAATAAATATACAAGTTGAGTATCTTGTAGAGATTTCATTAATGTGTAATTGATAATATGAAATGAAAATTGATAAGGTAATCTAAAAAATAAAGAAAGGATTAAGTGAAATATTAGCCTGAATCTTTTTATTCACATCATTTATTTCATTCTTATTTAGAAAGTTGAGGGAATATTGTTTATATCAATTCAAAGACGATTTTTCAAATCTCTCAATCCATGTTAGGTATGTGTACAGTACACCATCAATTCTCGAAATTCCATTCATCTGTTTTTATAAAATAAATAAATAAAATCAACAAATAAAAAAAATAAAAATAAATACGTACCGATGACATGACGTAGCGATGACATGACGCAGCAATGACATGACGTCACGATGACGTAGTGAGGACATCGGAAAATTATAATATAGATATAAAATGATATATCACTAAAAACGCTGTATTAAAAAAAATAAATATAAAATAATACATTATGAAATCTATTTATAAAACGCGAAATTGAGAAACGTAAAACGCTATTATCTAAAACGCAATATATATGATATAAAATAAAAATAAAACGCGACCAATCATTAATTTTATTTCGATTATTCAATATTTGATAAATTTATTCTACTTCAATTATTCTTAATCAAATTCTATATTCATTAAATTAATTCTATTTCGATTATTCGATGATTCTTATTTTATTACGACGTTATTCAATAATACCTACATTCTAATATCATTTAAAATCTTCGCATATATATTTAATAACAAACAATGATAATAATTAACAGAGGATGACAAAGTCAAATCATATACTAAACCGTTTTTTCAAAGATTAGCAGGGATTAAAGCAAGATTAAACAAGAAGATTTAAATTTATTAAATAAATATATTTTATAAATATAGACCAAGATAGAAAATTTAATATCAACGCTTAGGCCATCATCTGATAATAAATTGGCAGGCTACATGGAGTTATGTTTATTGGCCCTCATAAGAGAACGGCTAATATCACAATTAATCGCATGCCTTGCATGTCTATCTTGACTATATATACTGCTGTAATTGTCATTACTTGTAAAATGTAAATTGATGATATTGTGACCTGAAAATGTTAATTAATTATGTTGTACGACTTGTAGAATATCCTGTCAGTAAGAATATTTTTAGAGTCGCTTAATAAATTTTCAACAGGGCGCTGGAAGAAATGGTAGTAAATAATAAATAAATGTTTAATACTGTAGAAATTATTAGAAATGACAATATTTTT